AAAATTATATAAAACAGACAATCTTTTTAATTAAATATTAGATGATACCTATTCCAGGCGATGTATTTGTTACAGTGATAAGTCACATGTAAAAATTTAACTTGATGTAACTTTATGATGTAAAGTGGGTATCAGTCAAATGTTACAAACTTGATGTAATTTTATGATGTAAAGTGGGGGTATCAGTCAAATATAACAAACTTGATGTAAAGTGGGTATCAGTCCAATGTTACAAACTTGATGTACCTTTATGATGTAAAGTGGGTATCAGTCAAATGTTACAAACTTGATGTAACTTTATGATGTAAAGTGGGTTTGAGTCAAATATAACTTTATGATGTAAAGTGGGTATCAGTTAAATGTTACAAACTTGATGTAACTTTATGATGTAAAGTGGGTATCAGTCAAATGTTACAAACTTGATGTAACTTTATGATGTAAAGTGGGTTTAAGTCAAATATAACTTTATGATGTAAAGTGGGTATCAGTTAAATGTTACAAACTTGATGTAACTTTATGATGTAAAGTTGGTATCAGTCAAATGTTACAAACTTGATGTTACTTTATGATGTAAAGTGGGTATCAGTCAAATATAACTTTATGATGTAAAGTGGGTACCAGTCAAAATGTAACTTTATGATGTAAAGTGAGTATCATATTATATGATTCTGGATGCTTGTAGCATCGTATTAAAGCAGCTGTCACTATAGGATATGACACATAATTATGTATGACAAGCGCATGAAGAAATATTTGAAAAAAATTGCTAATGCGCATAATATTATTTGCGCAGATATATATTTGAGATAGGTTTGGTATATGGCATTTTTGACACACACTGTCATAATTATTATGTCATTTGTAGAATTCATATTAAATTGAAAGCATGATTCATTTGACTTAGGCCGTTAACACCTGTAAATTATTTAGATTTCTCTTTAATGTTACCATACAGTCATGTAAAAATGCTTTTCCTAAATTGGAAATTAATAAAAAAACAACTTGGAAATTTATAAAAAACAACATGATCATTGCAAGATCTTTGATAGAAATTCAATAAAAAATTGATTGCCCGTAAATATGTGTGGCACTACAGTAGTGAAAAAAATACTAAAACAACATAGAATTCTAATAATCTTCTTGATGCCGTCAACTTGTCAATAATGTAAGGTATTATCTCGGAGAACTAATGAAAATCATGACTTTTGCTAAGTTTTAGGAATTACAATGTTTTCCATATATTTGCTAGATTATTTTTTTTGCCATACATCATCATTGGAAATGAAAAACGACGTTCATTATAAAACCTCTTTGATTAACCTTTACTTGATCCTTCTGGTGGCATCTGATTATATATAATATATACATGTTTAGCCAAGTAACCAGTGCAGACCAAGATCAGCAGGCGGGCACATCTGTATGGTGTCCGAACTTGGTCTGCACTTTTTGCTAATAAGTCAGTTAATATTCATGACTATTTTCTCTATAAAACTGATGAATGGTATTGTTCAGATTGAAAGATGGTCAAGTCCATTTAAGATATTTAGTACGGTAAGGGTCAATATAAGCTTTTGATTGATGAGCATTCATTTAACCTTTGATTTGACCTTTTTTTAATCACGTTTTTTTCTTGAGTCTTTGAACTGCAAACCAGCCAAAACAATTGATATTTTCACAAGTAATCGATTATGATTATTAAAAAAAAATGCCATTTAAAAGGTGACTCATGTACAGCAAACCTTGTGAGCAACAAAACTATAACTGCCTATTACTGTCTTAGTACCATAGGAATTGTTTGTTTCTTAGTATAATTTAGGTCAAAATAACTGTCACAAATACATCCACGAAACATAAGACAATCTTATATCTTCTGCAGTTTGCTGTATTTCGTGTCATACCATATTTATTGTTTTCTAGAAAACCAATTACTGTCATAGCTAAACACCACTTACTGTGTCGGGGACTGACGGTTGACGTGTATGCAGAGGAACATTTGTTCGCTTCCGATCGAGTTTTCTTAGACAGCTTAATTGGAGATTATTTTAGCCTTGTAAAGACACCTTTTATGCAGTCGTGATTTTACATACGTCGCAAGGTGTTGAAACAACGCGTAGCTGTGACGCGTCAATTCTGTGTAAATGTTTTGTTTCGTTAATCAGACAACAGAATTTGATGCACTAGTGGAAGCTTAAATCAAATTTGAGCAAAACAATTCCTATTCCAATTTAAGACCTGCCAACAGTTCATTAATTGTTTTTATACATTAGTTTATATCAATACATATACATGTAATATACATGTACTTACTCCATTTTTGACTTCTCAAGATATCTTTTTTTTTTCATAATAGCATTTTGCTCCCGAAATACATGTGTTATATTAAGGTAAGCACCAGGAACGGATTAGAGAGTGTTTCAATAAGCTTATAGCTTCCAACACAAAAGAACTAAAATTAATTTTATAAACTAACATGCTCAAACAATTTCAGTACACAATTTAAAGGATATAACCCTTACATTTTACACAAGAGTTATTTAAAAAAAAGGAAAAAAGTTGAATGAACTTTCTTTACAACTATTCAATTGATGTGCTCACCAGTAAACAAAACTTTTTGCTCAACAAAATGTTTTTACAAATTTGTATTGAGCTTTCTCTTATCCTGACTAACTGATAAAGACAGGGTTTAAAAGATCAAAATGTGTCTGCGAAACATTTTATAAGTTTAATTCCTGAGACCGAACCGCTTCGAATTTCCGTCAGTTTGGCTTCATATAAATCCAATTTTGACCCGGAGATGTCAGCTACAGAAATGTTTAAGAAACGTAATATTGCCTTATAAGATTTTCTCCACAAAAGAAATATAAGATGTGACTGAAGGTGGCAGTGTGTCAATTGAAAATGGCGAGCTTTAATTGGTATTTACGCTGAGAAATCAAATAAACTTGCTGTTTTTACTGCATTTGTTCGGCAATCAATGTAACGTAATATTGAGGCACTTTAACTACGACAGTGACGTACTCGCCACCAATTCTTCTCCGTGATGAAGTGTTTGCGTATTGATTAAAGAATCAAATGTTCTCGCTGATTAAGAAATGTATGTTTGTCTGTTAAATCCTCCATGCAGTCAAGACTATTCAGAACTGAGTTACATGTAGAGCAATTTTCATCTAGAAAACTGAAACAGTTCATTAGATCATAGTTTCAGGAGTTTCTGTTTCAGTTTACATGTCCTTAGAATTAAGCAGCCTTGGTAACAGTTGAGTGTCACTCAGGAGTCAGAGAGTACATTTAAATTCAGGCTGGCCTAGCTCAAATTAAGTCAGGGGTGACATATTCTAAAAGTCAATTCTGATGGTTGCTTAAACACTTAAAGCGCCAATAAGCACGCCTCCAGATTCCTGCCAATTTTAATGAAAATTTTAAAAATGGATTTAAAAGTAGAATATTTTGAAAAGAACAAAAATAAAAATATTTATTGCAAACAGCATTGGCAATGCACATATTATTTACAAAAAGGAGGTCAAAATAAGCAAAAAAAAAAGCCTTTTTATGGTGGTAAATACTGCAAAATCAGTTCTTAGTCACACATAACAATTATAAAATTATTATTTGAATCTTATATCTTTTTACTTTTCTAAAAATCTCAGTACATTTTTCTGAAGGTTGATTTTCTATAAATATTTTGGCTCATCTTGAGGTATGCAGCTTTAAATGATTACATATATATATATTTAATTATTGTCATATTTGTCATCTTAAAGCTATTGATGGCGAATACCACTCCATATTTAATAAATAAAATGGCCTTTTTGACTGTTCAGATATTTGTTATACTCTAAAATTTGTTAAGACGTAACCCAGAAATGTATGATGAAACAAGTTACAAACCTTTAATTGGCAGAAATTAGATTTGGGTATCATAAGAAAATGTCTTACAAGTACTATCTAAATGGATTTGATAATTTAGGGTGGTTATCGGAAACACGCAATTTGATAAAAGCTGTCTAAGACGATATTGGCATTTTCCTAATATTGTTAAATTGTGTATTCTTTATTAATGGATTTTTGCTTTGTAAATGGATGGCTGAAATCTCTCTACTGTGAAAATATAAATTATATTTCATGTGAATGTCAATATCATATATCATAACCAGAGTTGACATATCGTAGTAAATATATAATTATGACAGGGAAAAAAAATATTGATTTATGATTAAATGATATTAATGGCATAATTTATGATAGTGGTGCTTGTTTAATTAATGAGTTGTTATTAAACAGTGTGATTATTTGTGTGCAACTAGATATAGCATTACTACCAGCTAGGGGCGTCCATGGCTGAGTGGTTACAGTCTTTGACTTCAAATCATATGCCTGAGAGTCATTGCTGTAGGTTTGAGCCATTCTTCAGATTCTTCGTGTGTGAGAGCTGTCCAGCTAGCTTACTGAACATTAGTGGTACTTACTCAGGCGCTCCTTTGTGCCTGAAATGATGTACAGAGGGGCACCAGAAATCTTTCTCAACCAGTAAAGTTGGAAAGTCGCCAAACTGTACTAAAAATTAGAATAAAACCCAGATTGCTATTTAAGTGCAAATCAAACCAATACAATTATTTCAAATCATTAATAGTGAAATCAGACAAAAATCAACATGTGTCTGACTGTTTAAATAATGGAGGGTAAGTAAAACCTAATATTTCCACCCGAAAAGAAGTTAAAGGAACCTAAAATTCCACAAGATGGCTGGGAAACAACAACACTTTACCCACATGGCCAATTAACCCAGCATTATCCACATGAGTGCAAAGAAAACCAATTTAGCTGTTAATGTGCAAAATTTTATTTTTACAGGCAATCAATCTAAGACAGCAAATGAGACCAATTTTCCTATAAATGAGCAAAAACCAATTTTACAGAGTGCAGGCAATAAAGCCTAGGGTCACAAACATAAATAAAATTGTCAGGTTATTGATGCCACGTTTTTTGTTGTATATTTTCAGGAAAGCCATATCAAAGAATGCCTTGAACCATTCGACATATCTTCATCCCCATTACAGTGGTGGTAGCGGAGACAGTCATCCGTCACGTCGACAAATCAATTCCGCTGTCGACTGGACAGTAAGTATAAGTTAAATGATTATTACCTTATTCGTGTATGTCTTTAAAAGACAAAGAGATGGGCGATATTTGTCTGTCTGCTTCCTTATAAGTCTCTTTTTGGTTGACTAGCGAAAATGAAGCTTTTTGAGGAAACGGGAAATAAAGCTGATCATTTCATGTCAGTAATGTATATGTTGATTGTATGAATTTAATGAAAATTAAGTGACATTTTATAAGCTACACTACATATTTATATGATAAAATTATTTCATAAGCTAATGTGTTTTATGCACCACAAATTGGTCATTTATGTTTTTTGTCACTTTTTAGCTTAACTTGTTTTGGTGTCAGTCCTACAGAAGTAATGTCCCTTGTCAGTCATGCTGAAATAATGTCTGTTGTCAGTCTTGCTGAAATAATGCCCCTTGTCAGTCCTGCTTAAATAATTTCATTTGTCAGTCCTGCTGAAGTAATGTCTGTAAAATGTCAGTCTTGCTGAAATAATGCCCCTTGTCAGTCTTGCTGAAATAATGCCCCTTGTCAGTCTTGCTGAAATAATGTCTTTTGTCAGTCTTGCTGAAATAATGTCATTTGTCAGTCCTGCTGAAGTAATGTCTGTTATCAGTCTTGCTGAAATAATGCCCCTTGTCAGTCTTGCTGAAATAGTGTCATTTGTCAGTCCTGCTGAAGTAATGTCTGTTCTCAGTCTTGTTGAAATATTGCCCCTTGTCAGTCTTGCTGAAATAATGGCCCTTGTCAGTCTTGCTGAAGTAATGGCTGTTGTCAGTCTTGCTGAAATAATGTCATTTGTCAGTCCTGCTGAAGTAATGGCTCTTGTCAGTCTTGCTGAAATAATGCCCCTTGTCAGTCTTGCTGAAATAATGTCATTTGTCAGTCCTGCTGAAGTAATGGCTCTTGTCAGTCTTGCTGAAATAATGCCCCTTGTCAGTCTTGCTGAAATAATGTCATTTGTCAGTCCTGCTGAAATAATGTCATTTGTCAGTCTTGCTGAAATAATGCCCCTTGTCAGTCTTGCTGAAATATTGTCCCTTGTCAGTCTTGCTGAAATAATGTCATTTGTCAGTCCTGCTGAAGTAATGGCTCTTGTCAGTCTTGCTGAAATAATGCCCCTTGTCAGTCTTGCTGAAATAATGTCATTTGTCAGTCCTGCTGAAGTAATGTCTGTTGCCAGTCTTGCTGAAATAATGCCCCTTGTCAGTCCTGCTGATGTAATGTCTGTAAAATGTCAGTCTTGCTGAAATAATGCTCCTTGTCAGTCCTGCTTAAATAATGTCATTTGTCAGTCCTGCTGAAGTAATGTCTGTTGTCAGTCTTGCTGAAATAATGCCCCTTGTCAGTCTTGCTGAAATAATGTCATTTGTCAGTCCTGCTGAAGTAATGTCTGTTGTCAGTCTTGCTGAAATAATGCCCCTTGTCAAGTCTTGCTGAAATAATGTCATTTGTCAGTCCTGCTGAAGTAATGTCTGTTGTCAGTCTTGCTGAAATAATGCCCTTTGCCAGTCTTGCTGAAATAATGTTAGTTGTCAGTCCTGCTGAAGTAATGGCTGTTGTCAGTCTTGCTGAAATAATGCCCCTTGTCAGTCCTGCTGAAGTAATGTCTATTGACAGTGAGTCCTGCTGAAATAATGTCTCTGAACAGTCCAGCTGAAATAATGTGTCTTGTCAGTCCTGTTGAAATATTGTCCCTTAAATGTCAGTCTTGCTGATATTAAGTCCCTTGTCAGTTCAGCTGAAATAATGTTCCTTGCTTGTCAATCCTGGTGAAATAATGTTCTTTGCTTGTCAGTGCTGCTGAAACCTTAGTCCTTTCATGTCAGTGCAGCTGAAACATTGTTCCTTGTTTATCAGTGCTACAGAAATAATTTTCATTCCTGTCAGTGCTGCTGAAACATTGTTCCTTGTTTTTCAGTGCTGCTGAAACATTGTTCCTTGTTTGTCAGTGCTGCTAAAACATTGTTTCTTGCTTGCCAGTGCTGCTGAAATAATGTTCCATGAAATAATGTTCCTTGCTTATCATGCTGCTGAAACATTGTTCCTTGCTTTTCAGTGCTGCTGAAATAATGTTCCTTGCTTGTCAGTGCTGCTAAATAATGTTCCTTGCTTGTCAGAGCTGCTGAAATAATGTTTCTTGCATGCCAGTGCTGCTGAAACATTGTTCCTTGCTTTTCAGTGCTGCTGAAACATTGTTCCTTGCTTGTCAGTGCTGCTGAAATAATGTTCCTTGCTTATTAGTGCTGCTGTAACATTGTTCCTTGCTTGTCGGTGCTGCTGAAGCATTGTTCCTTGCTTGGCAGTGCAGCTGAAGCATTGTCCCTTGCTTTTCATTGCTGCTGAAACATTGTTCCTCGCTTGTCAGTGCTGCTGAAATAATGTTGGTTGCTTATTAGTGCTGCTGAAATAATGTTCCTTGCTTTTCAGTGCTGCTGAAACATTGTTCCTTGCTTGTCAGTGCTGTTGAAACATTGTTTCTTGCTTGTCAGTGCTGCTGAAACATTGTTCCTTGCTTGTCATTGCTGCTGAAATAATGTTTGTTGCTTATAAGTGCTGCTGAAACATTGTTCTTTGCTTGTCAGTGCTGCTGAAACAATGTTAAACTTCCTTGCTTGTCAGTGTATTGAAACATTGTTCCTTGCTTGTCATTGCAGCTGAAACATTGTTCCTTACTTGTCTGTGCTGCTGAAACATTGTTCCTTGCTTGTCAGTGCTGCTGAAATAATGTTCCTTGCTTTTCAGTGCTGCTGAAACATTGTTCCTTGCTTGTCAGTGCTGCTGACACATTGTTCCTTGCTTGGCAGTGCTAATGAAATAATGTTCCTTGCTTGTCAGTGCTGCTGAAACATTGTTACTTGCTTGTCAGTGCTGCTGAAACACTTTCCTTGCTTGGCAGTGCAGATGAAGCATTGTTCCTTGCTTGTCAGTGCTGCTGAAACATTGTTCCTTGCTTGTCAATGCTGCTGAAATAATGTTCCTTGCTTTTCAGTGCTGCTGAAACATTGTTCCTTGCTTGTCAGTGATGCTGAAACATTGTTCCTTGCTTGTCAGTGCTGCTGAAATAATGTGCCTTGCTTGTCAGTGCTGCTGAAACATTGTTCCTTGCTTGTTAGTGCTGCAGAAATAATGTTCCTTGCTTTTCAGTGCTGCTTAAACATTGTTCCTTGCTTGTCATTGCTGCTGAAACAATTTTCTTTGCTTGGCAGTGCAGCTGAAGCATTGTTCCTTGCTTGTCTGTGCTGCCTGAAACATTGCTCCTTGCTTGTCAGTGCTGTTGAAACATTGTTCCTTGCTTGTCAGTGCTGCTGAATTATTGTTCCTTGCTTGTCAGTGCTGCTTGAAATAATGTTTGTTGCTTATAAGTGCTGCTGAAACATTGTTCTTTGCTTGTCAGTGCTGCTGAAACAATGTTAAACTTCCTTGCTTGTCAGTGATATTGAAACATTGTTCCTTGCTTGTCAGTGCAGCTGAAACATTGTTCCTTGCATGTCTGTGCTGCTGAAACATTGTTCCTTGCTTGTCAGTGCTGCTGAAATAATGTTCCTTGCTTGTCAGTGCTGCTGAAACATTGTTCCTTGCTTGTCAGTGCTGCTGAAACATTGTTCCTTGCTTGTCAGTGCTGCTGAAACATTGTTCCTTGCTGGTCAGTGCTGCTGAAATAATGTTCCTTGCTTTTCAGATTTTACAGAAAATATTTATATATAGTTAAATGTCCTAGAGTAAAATCTATTAATCCCAAATGAGTTTAACTCCAAAAAAATTACAATGTTGTTGTATAGCAGATATATAGACATGTCTGTATATCTCATGTATGCACCAAATAGCTTTCATTGGGGACATAATTGCACCCAATGTCAAGGGAAACAGAAATGAAATATTTATCTGGTAAATCTTCATAATTGCAAAATCATTCATATTTGTGGGTATTAAATTTCATAGATTTGAGTAAAGAGTTGAAAAAAAAATGACAAATTCATACAAACATGAATCTTAACATGACTGTATATTTTGGAAGATTAAAGTGACTTAACTGAGGGTTTTTCACAAGACCGGCTGAAAATATTTTTTTTAGATTATTGCTCAATTTGATGTAGGTCTAATATGATAACTTGTGTGCAAAATTTGGGATCACTCACTCACTCCCTTTTTCCAAGAATAATGTGCAAAAAGTGGAAAACTTTGCAACACCACTCTAATCTGGCTAAAAATAGTACAAAAAAAAACAATTTTTAATCTATTTTTTAATAATTTATTTATACCTTTTGCATATCTCTCTATTTTAATTGCCAAAGCTGATTTATGTAATAGAAAGAGCATCGAAACACGAGGCTATCTGATTTATACGAGGGGGCGTTGCCCCGAGTTTACGCCCCCGAGTATAATTATATAAATCAGATTGCCGAGTGTTTTGATGTTCTTTCTCTTTTGTGTCATAGTCAAACATAAAAACACGTTCCCTGATACCACAATATGAAACCCCACAAAAAAGTAACCAAAAAGTAACCAATGAACGAGCATCTGAATATGACATTTCCTTCGCAATCCCTTTCTCTGTCGTCACAATATGTAAACCCCGGACAAAATGAACCAATCAGTGGGCAATATATGCTCTGGAGTGCGGGTAACTAATACCTGCACTCCAGTTAACGCACTGTGCATGTATATGTATAGGATTTAAGTCCGACACATTTTCAACAGAAATGTCCCCAAACTATGATTCAAGTAATATTATTATGTTTCATATTTTATAATTGAGGACCTCAGTTGAGTTCCTTTAACATATTTTGGAATATTTATATTTTGAGAGAGTCATGTTATGAGGAACTTTACATTAGGTCTTTCTATGTGTATGATATTGATGTATTGTTCTGTTGATCGATAATCGGTATACATTTGAAAAAATCGATAATTTTGATTGATTATTTTAATGTTTATGAATTATAAAATTCACTTAAAACATAAACAAAAGCAGGTGATCATGTCTAACACTAAGCTGTTGTTTTGGACACATTTCATAGCAGTGTTGACAAAAAATGGTTAGGAAAAAATCCTGCAATGGACATTTATAAACAGGACACAATATATTAGTATGAACAGAACATATATTGTACTAAAATCATTCAAACAGGTTTGAAAGTGAATTTTATATAAAAGAAATAAGGAGTTTTATATCGATATATTGGTGTATTGCCGATATTTCATCCACTATCAATGTATTGTCAATATGCTTTACTATGAATCAATGGCAGCTCTAGGAGTGACAAATTTAAATCACCAATAAATGTTTATCACTTTGTAGCAATTCATTTTGTATTAATAATTGCATAAGGGTGGATTTAAAACAGGAGAAAATTCTTTAGGGAATCTTCTATACATACATTCTTGATTAGAAATATGAATATTTAGTACTTTGTATAATATTATATTTGATTGCAATCAGCAATAAACTTATTTAAAAGGTCAGATGTTTGATTGCCATTTGACGTTTTCTACTAATTGCTTCGACTAATTGCGTAATGAGGGGAAAAAAAGCAATTAGTATTTTTTCCCCCTGTTAATATTTCACTGTTATCATTGTGAAAGAGGTCATCAAGGGCATTGTGCACATTATCTGTTACTACATAGGGTTATAATATATTTATATTGACATAGCAAGCTAACCTGATATAATGCACATTGGGGCCATAAAAGGTTAGCTCATGATCACTCTGATTCACAAAATTTTTTATACACCCGAAAACCATCGGGGTATATTATGGTATGGCGTCTGTATGTCCTTTAATCTGTCTGTAGACAATTGGTTTCCACAGCATAACTGTTTTGAAGGGTTTCAGTGATTGTGTTTATATTTGGCATGTGAGTGTGTTATATCAAAACAGGTCAAGTTCGATTTTGGCTGCAATTAACTTGTTATTGATAGAGTTATGTCCCTTTTGAAAAAATTTTTTATGCGGAATTATTGGTTTCTGCAGAATAACTTTTGAAGTATTTCAGTGGTTCTGTTTATGATTAACATGCAAGTATGTTATATGGCAACACAAGCATTACGTTTGACTTTAATTGCAATCAACTCATTTTCGTTTTGGGCGTACATTGCCCTTCCTGAGCTCTTGTTAACCCTTTTCCTGCTGGAACAGAAAGTGACCAGCCTTTGCCACCGGTATGGAACAAGGACTGCGTTGTTTTGTTGTCATGTAAAAACTTTAATGCAGCCCATTATTCAACCATTTCAAAAGGTATCAGCATGAAACTGGCATGACAAAGTGCAGTTGTTAAATAAGGGAAATAATTCTGAAAGCAATATTTTTATAGTTATGCCCCTTTTTAACTTAGAATCTTTTAACAGACAAGCATTAACACCATATTGGGTGCTCTTGTTTTAACTTGTTCAGAACCCATTATTTTATTCACATTGATAAGAATTGCTGAATCAGCTCATACATTTACATTTAAAGATATGTTAGTAATTGTTGCAGTTAAAGTTGTGCCAATGTTTTGTGCATATAGATATAGTTTATGGGTATTGAATTTTTGTAATGTTAGATTTATAAATACACAATACCAGTATTTAAAATTCAAGTTTTAACCACATACCCATCAATTATCTTTACTTCCAGCAGAATAAAATATATCTTATTATTATCATTGTAGACTAGCATTTTAGAAATGATTGATTTATGAAATTGATTATTTTTGGTATAGTATTTTTCATATATGATGTGCCAAATTATCATGTTATTTTTTAGAACAAATTTGGAGGTATTGTCATGAGCCTTTTGGTGGCATCAGAGTTGGTTAAGATTTTGTGTTAACCGGATTGGTTAACTTTTCTTTTATGGTCATTAACAAACAACTTTTACACTGAAGCTTAATATACGTTTAACTTAAGACTTGCGTGTATTTATACTCGCCACTGTTTGCCCATATTGGCGAGTCCTCCAGAAGAGTATTTTCAGTCATTTTAGATTTTGAGGATGGTGCAAGATACAGATTCCCCAGTTCCAATTCAAGAGTCTTACAATATGGGACCTCAATTTACTCATCTGAAAGACTGATTAGTAATTTTAATTGGCAAGCTTGGGAATCCAACACACATTGTCTGACCAATCGAGCTATGTTGGCCCACAGTTCTGCATGAGTTCTACCTGTCACAACTATTTTCAGGTTGTCAAGTTCACTGGTAACACATACAAATGGTCAATAAATCAAATCCAATACTGAGAAAAGTGAAGTGAACTGTTCTTTGGACAGCTTTGGTTATGTTTGAATACAGAAAAACTGGTTTCTCAACTTTTTGTGCCTATAATTTACAGAGAGGCACCATTAAACTGTCGTGCTCAAATTCTGCGGCCTGCCGTTAAAAAAATCTAGAAAGCGGCCCTATGAGTCACTAACCTGTACCCAAGTTTCTGCTTATACATATATATGGCAGGTGGGCACATTCCCTGAAATTTACCTTCATCGGCAAATATATGACTTGACTCTATATCTTCTTCCCAAAATATTATTGGCAATGTGGCGCCATGGGATTTTCTTTGAAAATCAGTATATGGAAAATTGCTACAGTATAATTATAAGATAAGTAAAAGTTATTCAGTGTTACTTAATACTAAAAAAAATATAAGAATCTTCCAATAAACAATCGACAAAATGTAATGAATTTTTTTATGAAAATCTGAGACTAAAAGCAATGATTATGTGCGTGTTTGTTTTTAGCTCACCTTGCACAAAGTGCAGGTGAGCTTTTAGGATGGCCAACCAAATGGCGTCCGTCGTCTGTCGTCCGTCCACATTTTAAATATTCTAAGGACATCTTCTATGATACCGCAAGTCCAATGTTAATGAAACTTGGCAGGAATACTCTTTGTATGAAGCTCTATCAAGATTGTTCAAAGAATTCCATTTCATGCAGAACTCTGGTTGCCATGGCAACCGAAAGAAAAATCTTTAAATATCTTCTTTTAAAGAACCGTAAGAGCTAGAGCTTAGATATTTGGCATGAAACATCTTCTTATGAGTGTCTACCAAGTTTGTTCAAATAAAAGCCCTAGGGTCAAAATTGGCCCGGCCCCAGGGGGTCATTGATTTTCCCTATATGCATATAGTAAAAACTTAAAAAATCTTCTTTTAAAGAACCCAAAGAGCTAGAGCTAAGATATTTTGCATGAAACATCTTCTAGTGAGTGTCTACCAAGTCTGTTCAAATAAACGACCTGGGGTCAAAATTGGCCCCGGCCCGGGGGGGTCATAGATTTTCCCTATATGCCTATAGTAAAAACTTAAAAAATCTTCTTTTAAAGAACTGTAAAAGCTAGAGCTTAGATATTTGGCATGAAACATCTTCTAGTGAATATCTACCAAGTTTGTTCAAATAAAAGCCCTGGGGTCAAAATTGGCCCCGCCCCAGGGGGTCATAGATTTTCCCTATATGCATATAGTAAAAACTTAAAAAATCTTCTTTTAAAGAACCCAAAGAGCTAGAGCTAAGATATTTAGCATGAAACATCTTCTAATGAGTGTCTACCAAGTTTGTTCAAATAAAAGCCCTGAGGTCGAAATTGGCCCTGCCCCAGGGGGTCATAGATTTTCCCTATATGCATATAGTAAAAACTTAAAAAATCTTCTTTTAAAGAACCCAAAGAGCTAGAGCTAAGCTATTTAGCTTGAAACATCTTCTAATGAGTGTCTACCAAGTTTGTTCAAATAAAAGCCCTGAGGTCAAAATTGGCCCCGGCCCGAGGGGTCATTGATTTTCCCTATATGCATATAGTAAAAACTTAAAAAATCTTCTTGTAAAGAACCGTAAGAGCTAGAGCTTAGATATTTGACATGAAACATCTTCTAGTGAATGTCTACCAAGTTTGTTCAAATAAAAGCCCTGGGGTCAAAATTGGCCCCGTCCCAGGGGGTCATAGATTTTCCCTATATGCATATAGTAAAAACTTAAAAGATCTTCTTTTAAAGAACCCAAAGAGCTAGAGCTAAGATATTTAGCATGAAACATCTTCTAATGAGTGTCCACCAAGTTTGTTCAAATAAACGACCTGGGGTCAAAATTGGCCCCGCCCCAGGGGGTCATTGATTTTCCCTATATGCATATAGTAAAAACTTAAAAAATCTTCTTTTAAAGAACTCAAAGAGCTAGAGCTAAGATATTTAGCATGAAACATGTTCTAATGGGTGTCTACCAAGTATGTTCAAATAAAAGCCCTGGGGTCAAAACTGGCCCGCCCCAGGGGGTCATTGATTTTCCTTATATGTGTATAGCAAAAACTTAAAAATCTTCTTTGAAAAAACCCAAATAGCTTGAGTTTAGATATTATACATGAAACATTTTTAAGTAAATATCTACAAACTTTGTTCAAATAAAAGCCCGGGGGTCAAAACTGGCCCTGCCCCAGGGGTGTCATTGTTTTTAACTATATGTGTATAGTAAAAACTTAAAAATCTTCTTTTAAAAAACCCAATGAGCTAGAACTTAGATGTTTAGCATGAAACATCTTCTTATGGGTGTCTACCAAGTCTGTTCAAATAAAAGCCCTTGGGTAAAAATTGGCCCGGGGGGGGGGGGAGGCTATATACAGGTGAGCGACCTCAGGGCCATCATGGCCCTCTTGTTGTGTGTGTGTGTTAATAATACTTATTGAAATATTGTGTTTATTATATATTTTTAGGAGCATGCAGTTAACAGTGAGCATATTTGGCTAGACACAAATGCCTCGGGAGACTTCTGTTATGCCATGGAACAGGACTGCATTGTATGTATTAATTAATTCTTTGCATGCCGCCAGCAATATTGACTTATTTTTTTGCCACCAGTACGTTAGCCGGGTCTCGACCTGTATGACCGTGCAGTTTGTCCAGACTGTATGCTATCTGCTGCTCAATCCTTACGTACTGATTTATAAAGTTCTTGTTTATCTTTATTCGACAGATCCTTATTGTCAAATCGGAAAAAAGTGTTTCATAAATAATAGCTGAATAAAATATCACAAAAACCCCCCTCTGCATCAGACATAGCTTAATTTGTATTCCAGGAATTGTTTTTCCTCTGTAAATTTTTGATAACGGCTATTCTCTGATGGGTTGTTATTGTTTTTGTTCTCACTGTTGCAAAGATTGGTCAGTCTGTTATACAGCTTGTCTAGACCAGTTTGATTCCTAATTAATGACTGGATATAGTCGTCAATCTTTGTAGGATGATAACACTGGTGATTTATTCATGACCCAGTATCTAGTCGCTAATATATTATACATCTTCAAAAGTACCGTCTATTTCTTTTGTTAAAAGAATATATAGATTATGCCATGGCAGACACTTGCAGAAATCTCGTGAAAAAATGAACATATATAGACATCTTAAAGTGCATTTCTAGGGGTGAAAAGACAAGATTTTAGCATAGAACTTCCTCAATAAAGTTTATTTAACCAACCTTTTTAGTGTCGGGTCTTTTTGGATAAAAGCATGCATGCCTACAAAAAGTTGGTCAACGACTAACTTAGTCTAAGACACTTGCAACAAGAGTAAATTAAGTGGCTTGAACAGTGAGCTACACTCTTGTCACCTTTGTGCAATAACTGATTAACTTCTATTAAATTTAGAAGGATTTATTCCGATACTGCATTTAGGTGACAACGTGCTCTGTTTAAGGCATTAATTTTTTTTTCAAGTCTGCTTCATAATCCATTAAACTATTTTAACACTATGACTAACAAAATTCTAGAGTGAAGCTTTCCCTCCAGTAAGGAACATAAAATCTCTCAATTTCGATAGCATTAGATAAGTAGGTCAGGGATCACTTGTTCAAACCCTTAGGGAAATGAAATTTCTCCTTGACAATTGATCTTTGACATTGAAGCTTAAAGTCAAAGAAATTGGTTATTACTTCTTAGTTATACAGGGAAATGGGTTAACTGTTCAATTCTGCTTAAGCTGGGTGCTGCTAGATGACATGAACATTAGCTTGCAGTTATCACTACTGTCCATGAACACTCTCAATCAAACCGAGCCTGCAAATTTTTAAATCTTTACATGATTGGCTTTCTTTATGGGTTCTTTATTTTTAGCTCACCTGTCACAAAGTGACAGGGTGAGCTTTTGTGATCGCTTTTCGTCCGGCGTCCGTCCGTCCCTCCGTCGTCCGTCCGTAAACTTTTACTTTAAATGACATCTCCTCATAAACCACTAAGCCAATTTCATCCAAACTTCACAGGAATGTTCCTTTGGTGGTCACCTTTAAAAATTGTTCAAAGAATTTAATTCCATGCTGAACTCTGGTTGCCATGGCAACCGAAAGAAAAAACTTTAAATATCTTCTTTTAAAAAAACATAAGAGCTAGAGCTTAGATATTTGGCATGAAACATCTTCTAGTGAGTGTCTACCAAGTTTGTTCAAATAAAAGCCCTGGGGTCAAAATTGGCCCCGCCCCGGGGGGTCATTGATTTTCCCTATATGCATATAGTGAAAACTTAAAAAATCTTCTTTTAAAGAACCCAAAGAGCTAGAGCTAAGATATTTAGCATGAAACATGTTCTAATGGGTGTCTACCAAGTTTGTTCAAATAAAAGCCCTGGGGTCAAAATTGGCCCCGCCCCGGGGGGTCATTGATTTTCCCTATATGCATATAGTAAAAACTTAAAAAATCTTCTTTTAAAGAACTCAAAGAGCTATGGCTAAGATATTGAGCATCAAACATGTTCTAATAAGTGTCTACCAAGTTTGTTCAAATAAAAGCCCTGGGGTCAAAATTGGCCCCGCCCCAGGGGGTCATTGATTTTCCCTATATGCATATAGTAAAAACTTAAAAAATCTTCTTTTAAAGAACCCAAAGAGCTAGAGCTAAGATATTTAGCATGAAACATGTTCTAATTAGTGTCTACCAAGTTTGTTCAAATAAAAGCCCTGGGGTCAAAATTGGCCCCGCCCCAGGGGGTCATTGATTTTCCCAATTATGCATATAGTAAAAACTTAAAAAATCTTCTTTTAAAGAACCAAAAGAGTTAGAGCTAAGATATTTAGCATGAAACATGTTCTAATAAGTGTCTACCAAGTTTGTTCAAATAAAAGCCCTGGGGTCAAAATTGGCCCCGCCCCAGGGGGTCATTGATTTTCCCTATATGCATATAGTAAAAACTTAAAAAATATTCTTTTAAAGAACTCAAAGAGCTATGGCTAAGATATTTAGCATCAAACATGTTCTAATAGGTGTCTACCAAGTTTGTTCAAATAAAATCCCTGGGGTCAAAATTGGCACCGCCCCGGGGGTCATTGATTTTCCTTATATGTGTATAGCAAAAACTTAAAAAATCTTCTTTAAAAAAACCCAAATAGCTAGAGTTAAGATATTAAGCATGAAACATCTTTTAGTGAGTGTCTACAAAGTTTGTTCAAATAAAAGACCTGGGGCCAAAATTGGCCCCGCCCCGGGGGTCATTGATTTTCTTTATATGTGTATAGCAAAAACTTAAAATCTTCTTTGAAAAAACCCAAATAGCTAGAGTTTAGATATTTAGCATGAAACATCTTCTAGTAAGTGTCTACAAAGTTTGTTCAAATAAAAGCCCTGGGGTCAAAACTGGCCCGGCCCCAGGGGTGTCATTGTTTTTAACTATATGTGTATAGTAAAAACTTTAAAAAAATCTTCTTTTAAAAAGCCCAATGAGCTAGAGCTTAGATGTTTAGCACGAAACATCTTCTTATGGGTGTCTACCAAGTTTGTGCAAATAAAAGCCCTTGGGTTAAATTGGCCCTGCAACGTTGGTGGGGGTTGGGGGGGGGGGCTATATACAGGTGAGCGACCTCAGGGCCATCATGGCCCTCTTGTTTATTTTACATGGAGAATGCTGAGAATGGTTAAAAAAATCTGCTAAAATTGGCTTAAAAATAACAACAAAAAAAAAAAAAAAAAATCAAACAACTCACCATTTGTTTTATCATTCTGTTTTTGTTTCATCTGCACATGTTCCAGATTTTACAGCCATCATGACAGTCTGCAGTATGTTCTTTCATTATTTCATTGATATGACATTTTGCTATATTTTGTCATTATTATTATTTTATTACTTATCATAATAATCTGCAATATTATTTTATTGTTTCATTTTACATCATGGCCTTTTGTAATATCTATTCATTATCTTTTTCATAACATCAGCAATATCATTATTTGAGCCGTGTCACGACAAAAGCAACAAAAAGGCTTTTTGGCGACCCCAGCATGGATCCAGCCCAAAAGCCCTTGCTTTTTCGCTTCCCCAAGCTCTATTACAAGAAAGAAAAACGGGATGCGAAAAAGCATGGATCCTGTCAACTCCCGCAGCGGTCTGGATCCATGCTGGACACAAACGCATTTTGTTGGTTTTGTCGTGACGTGGCTCAAATTTTTTATTTTGATGCTGGCAGCATACAAAACTGTTTAAATAACCATGGAATTAAAATGATTTTGTTTGAACCCTCAGCCTGCTGAATTTCACAAATGAACTTGTCCAGCTTCCTTTTCTGGGACTGTTTATTGTCAAGTTTAGGGATTTTAAGATTAAAAATTACTATCAGTCAATCAAGAGCACAATCATAGAGTGGCAACATGACTGAGTGGTTAGCTCGTCGGAGTAGTAATTGAAGGGTTGCTGAAGGGGTTCAAACCCTGTCAAGGGCAAGCCATTGTTTCTGTAAGCAAGAAATTTTTGCCTTGTACTGGTTGGTTTGAGAGTGTTTCAATAAGATTATTATATGACTAAGCTTCCAACACAACCAAACTAAAATGAATTTGTATAAACTGAGAGCATATAGCCTGTTCAAAATGCCAAGATGTACAGGTTGACATCTATACTAGTGGCAAAGGCTAATCATTTTAGATTTCAGCAGCATAACCCTTCAACTGCTTGAACCCAAAGTGGTTGGCAAGTGCCACCAGTATTGAGCCAGGCTAGCCTGCACATCCACGCAGTCTGACCACGCTGTGTACTGTTGACGAACCAACTTGATATTCCCCCACCCCACTAGCAAAGATACACTATTTACTCATGCATACAGCTAGTATAAAGATCTGTGCAGTCTGGTCTTCACTGTTAAGTCACTACTTGTTTTGAAATTTTTCGTAAAAAATGAATGGTTTTTTCCAGATTGAAAGAGGAAAAGTCCATGTAAGATGTAAGCCTGGTAAGAGTTAAGTGAATAGAAAGAGCATGGAAACACGAGGTTATCTGATTTGTACGAGGGGGCATATCCCACGAGGGGGCATATCCCCCAAGTATAAATCATATTGCAGAGTGTTTTGATCTTTCTATTTTGTATCATAGTCAAACATAAAAACACGTTCCCTGTTGTCACAATATGAAACCCCAGAAAAAAGTAACCAATGTATGAGCATCTGAATATGAAATTTCTGTCAATTGCCCTTTCTCTGCAGTCACAATAAGTAAACCCTCAGGCAAAAATGAGCCAATCAATGGGCAAGCTCAGGAGTGTATGTAACTAATACCTCCACTCCAGTTAATGAACTGTGCATGTATATTGTATATAATTTAACTCTTGATACGTTTCCAACAGAAAGGTCCCCAAACTATGATACAAGAGCACTTTTTGATAACACTTTCATAGCCTAGTTATTTGATAGCCTAGTTATTTGATAGACTAGCAGTTTGCTGGCATCAAATAACCATTTTATAGAGCTAATTCATGTTTTATTCAATCAGACTGTGTATCCATAACATAATGTAAAAGATCAAAAAATTATTTAAATGATATAAAATAAACATGTCTTGAATTTCAGATTATTAAATTATTATATGTTCATAAAATTTTCTAAAGGAAGGCACATTTTAGAAATTGTTTGAATAACGATTGGCTCAATAGTTTGAAGATCATGTTTCTCTGAAAATGAAAATAAATACCGCGGATAAGAGGAAAATGAAAAAGTACTTTTGCTGCCTTTCCCCTCTAATACCAGTAGAAAATAAATGAATATTTAAAGAAGTTTATTTTTAAAGTACTCTCATTTCAACAATTACTCTTGAGTTATATATCCGATCCCGTTGTAAAATGTTCTGACTAATGTACCATGAAGATTAGTTTTTCGAGAAAAGCTGCATATCATTTAAATGTCTGTTCTTGAAGTGGTTCACATTTCCATAATTGGCAATGAAAGGCTTAAAATATTCAAGCATTGGTCTCAGTTCAGTATTTATTATTATGGTTCAATAACTGACTTATCCCCTTTGCAAAAAATTAATTGCAACAAATATGTAGCTCTTGGGATATTTTATGGAATATAACCAGTCAGAATAATAAACTTTAAAGTTTGATTGGTTGGTTGTGAAATATAGATTTTTGAAATTAACCAATGATGAGAGAGTATGTTTTGACTGGGCTTCAGTTTCAAGCTAATCATACATGTATAAAAGGACTAAGTCTTGCCAATAATAATTTTGACTACTTTTATAATACACCTTATTTGCAAAATATTATTTGCTCATTTCTATGAGGGACAGAGTTATGGCCCCTTTCTCTGTCAAGATATGTTGAAAAGTCTTGACTAGTGAGGTTTTGCCTCTCCTGTAAGAGCAAAGAGTCAAGGCCATTTCTTTGTCAAGGTTTGTTGTTAAGCTCTGAACTGTGAGCTTTTACCTCTCCTACAAGGCGAAAGAGTTATGACCCTTTCTCTGTCATCATTTGTTAAGTCATGACCTGTTCAGATTTGTCTCTCCTATGAAGAAAAAAGTTATGGCCTTTTTCACTGTCAGTGTTTGTTGAACTGTCAAGATATGTGAGGTTTTGCCTTTTCTATGAGGGAAAAGAGTTATGGCCCTTTCTTTCAGGGGTTGTTGATAAGTCATGACCTATGAGATTTTGTCTCTCCTATGAGAAAAAAGAGTAATGGCCCTATCCCTGTCAGGGTTGTTGATAGGTCATGACCTGTTTGGATTTGTCTCTTCTATGAGAAAAGAGTTATGGCCCTTTCTATTAGGGTTTGTTGATAAGACATTATTTGTGAGGTTTTGCTCCCTTCTATGAGAAAAAGAGTTATGGCCCTTTCACAGTCAGTTTGTTGATAGGTCACGAGTTGTAATGACTTGCAATAGAACTTGGCAAAATTACAAGGACAGAAACACAGTGAAACAGCAAACTGGGTTTAGTATGACTGTACTTTTGAAATGTCTGCCATTAATTTTTTTTGGAGACATTTATATTCCTTAAATTCTTCTGTTGCAATCTCGTTAATCTGTAAATGGGCAATGAAAGTAAATGTTTAATTGCTTTTTAATTACAATGAATATTTAATGAAACAGAAGATCTGCATGGCTTTGCATTGCTAATTATAATTAACCAAGTTTTGAAGATTTTATGTGCAATAGTACTCTAGCTTATTGCGGAAAAGATTTCCATGCCAACAATTAGGAGCCACACTAGCTTTCAGTTTTGGCTGTGCAGTATTGTTACATATTATCCCTAAAGCTTGAAATGAACATTTATGTGAAGGTAACTTGCTTGGACATCTTTATTTAGGTGTAGCACTTGTCCTGTTATTTAGCTAATTGTCAAAGCAATGTCAGGAAAATGTCAGGTAGCATGACATTTATGCTTATCTTGTATAAAGTAAATTGACCTTATAAACAAAAAACAAATTAAAATTTCAGTACATGAAATGTCTTTCATTTATGTACTAAAATGTACGAAACATACATCTATTGAATTATTTTATATTTTCAGAAAACTGGTCCACGGAAGAAGTGCATGGCGTGTAAGATTGTCTCTCACATAGGGTGTATTCCAATTTTAGAAGTTGTAAGTCTTTCTTGTTGAAACATTTACCATATTGTGTCTAATTAACACCCCTGGGGGGTGTGCATTTTTTCAGGGGGGGGGGCGGTAATTAGATCAAGTATGGTTGACGTAATCCTGAAAATAGTATTTGTAAAACAGACAGCTGTTAACAGTCTGTCTTACATATGTAGAAAAAGACCTACGTTGATGTCAGATAAATATACTACTGTAGGATAATATATAGGTTTGTTTACTAATATAAGCTTATTATTTATACCACATTGTCTTAGAAATATAGACATAATTATCCTGGCTTCTTCTGCATCATCTGGAGCTCTCTATCTGACCTGAAGGTTATTAAAACAATCATTTTTTTCTAAGAATAAGTAAAAAAATATTTTAGCAAGTATATTTAAAAGGGTGATCTCTCGATAACTTGAAGGATTAGAGATATCCCCTTTTTTGAGTATCGGAACAATGATACCTTTACACTAGGCATTTATATAAATAGACTACTCCGAAATACAAAATATTTTGGTTTTTTTCCTAGCTTATGCGGGGGTTCAAACAAACTTTTACATTTAAAGCTTCGAAAAAAAGTACAACAGGACAGTTGACTAATATTTTGTGACTGGTAGTGCACAGTGAAGCTAAAAGGGTGAATAATTGTTTGTTCCGGGGAATTTTCTTGGAAAAACCCACTTTTACCGAGTTATGGGTAACATCTATTCCAGAATAAAAAAACCTGTTAAAAAATACTAGAAGATATGGTGCAATAAAAGTGTGTGCATCAGAGTTCAATTTCGAAATAAGGATTTTCATTGTTTATTGTGTTTATTCTAAACTGGTTTCTGACCAATCAAGTACCAGAGCTGAGAAAATATCTTTAAAACCTTTGACCCTGGAGTGTTTTTAGCTCACCTGTCACAAAGTCACAGGGTTTTGTGACAGGGTGAGCTTTTGTGATCGCTTTTCGTCCCGCATCCGTCCGTAAACTTTTACTTTAAATGACATCTCCTCATAAACCGCTGGGCCAATTTCATCCAAACTTCACAGGAATGTTCCTTTGGTGGTCACCTTTAAAAATTGTTCAAAGAATTTAATTCCATGCAGAACTCTGGTTGCCATGGCAACCGATAGAAAAACCTTAAAATATCTTCTTTTAAAAAACCCAAAGAGGTAGAGCTTAGATATTTGGTCATTGATTTCCCCTTATAATATGCATATTGTAAAAACTTAAAAAATCTTCTTTTAAAGAACCCAAAGAGCTAGAGCTAAGATATTTAGCATGAAACATCTTCTAATGGGAGTCTACCAAGTTTGTTCAAATAAAAGCCCTGGGGTCAAAATTGGCCCCGCCCCAGGGGGTCATTGATTTTCCCTATATGCCTATAGTAAAAACTTATAAAATATTCTTTTAAAGAACCCAAAGAGCTAGAGCTAAGATATTTAGCATGAAACATCTTCTAATGAGTGTCTACAAAGTTTGTTCAATATAAGCCCTGGGGTCAAAATTGGCCCCCCCCCAGGGGGTCATTGATTTTCCCTATATGCATATAGTAAAAACTTATAAAATATTCTTTTAGCTAGAGCTAAGATATTTAGCATGAAACATGTTCTAGTGGGTGTCTACCAAATTTATTCAAATAAGAGCCCTGGGGTCAAAATTTGCCCTGCCCCGGGGGTCATTGATTTTCCTTATATGTGTAAAGCAAAAACTTTAAAAAAAAATCTTCTTTGAATAAAACCAAATAGCTAGAGTTTAGATACTAAGCATGAAACATCTTCTAGTGAGTGTCTACAAAGTTTGTTCAAATAAAAGCCCTTAGGTCAAAATTGGCCCCGCCCCGGGGGTCATTGATTTTATTTATGTGTTTAGCAAAAACTTAAAAAATCTTCTTTGAAAAAACCCAAATAGCTAGAGTTAAGATTATAATTTAGCATGAAACATCTTCCAGTTAGTGTCTTCAAAGTTTGTTCAAATAAAGCCCTAGGTTAAAAATTGGCCCTGCCCTGGGGGACATTGATTTTCCTTATATGTATATAGCAAAAACTTAAAAATCTTCTTTAAAAAAAACCCAAATAGCTAGAGTTTAGATATTAAGCATGAAACATCTTCTAGTGAGTGTCTTCAAAGTTTGTTCAAATAAAAGCCCTGGGGTCAAAACTGGCCCCGCCCTAGGGGTGTCATTGCTTTTAACTATATGTGTATAGTTAAAACTTAAAAAATCTTTTTTTAAAAAACTCAACGAGCTAGACCTTAGATGTTTAGCATGAAATATCTTCTAATGGGTGTCTACCAAGTTTGTTCAAATAAAAGCCCTGGGGTTTAAACTGGCCCCGCTCTGGGGGCCTATATACAGGTGAGCGACTTCAGGGCCATCATGGCCCTCTTGTTTATTTTAATATTTTGTACCACTTGTAATTAATTTTATTAAAGTTCAGGTACTTTCTTTTTTTTATTAGTTTACAAAGATTATTGATAGGTTATATGGCCCTGTATAAATGTAAAATGTATAACCCGAGCTGCTTGGCGAGGATATATTGCAAACAACCATTTATATACGGTCAAATAACCTGTCAGGAATATTTGTAACAAATTTTTTTATACATCAAACTTTTTTTTTATGAAAAAAAGTGAGATTTCTTAGAAAATTGAGACAGCAGCCTTGTTTACTATATAAACGTCACGATTATCCAGTAAAGTGACACTACAAACATGCAGTGTTATATTATATTTAATAAAGCTATCATCTGAAATGATGTTGCAAAAGTATGAGTTTAAATCTTGTTTTCTATATACTTTTAGAAAAATCTCCGATGCAAACCAACATTCCGAGAAGCAGGTGTCAGAAATTACCGCGAGGTTTGTAGTTTTCATGAAAACATTCAGCAAAATTGTGGTCTGAGGTTATAAGTGCATGACATTGTGTTTTCTTAATGGTTTCATACAAATATTTAAATTACTGTTAAATGCTTTTCTAAGATATTTATTTGCATTAGGAGGAAAGCATGATATTTGCGCTTTGTCCAAGTGATTGTCACAGCTTTAAGATAAAATGTTGCACCAAAGCATGATACTTCTAGCATCTTGGTTGCTATTTATGCTTATCAGCTTTTTTTTTTTTGATCGACAAATTTAAATAATAAGGAGGGCTATTATACTTCCCCCCGTCTTCGGAATCACACTTTGGTAAAGTTTTTGGTTGCATTGAGAATAGTCGAGCATGCTGTCCTAATGACAGCTCTTGTGTAAATTGAAAAATTGCATCATTATTTCTGCTTTATTTGAAAAATACCATACATTAAAATATAGATTAACATTTAAAATGAAATATTGTGGACAATGAATAAAAAATTGCTCTATTTATGTTGAGTCATTAACTAGCACGAAGGAAATTTTCCTGGTATTCCTTTGTGTGCATGAACCATATATTAAAGGCATCGGATAAAGGCATCGTCTTACTTTCTACCTATATTAGAAAATGATAAGTAGGAGATCAAACCTGGTTCAAATGGCAATAAAAACTAATGAAAGCAATTCCCTATAGACATTGACATTAAATTTCTATTAATTTTCAAAAGTGGTGCGGCTTTAGTCTTTTTTTTCATCTCTTTTTTCATCTTTTTTTTAATACCTTAGGTAAATGGCTTTATCAAAGAGTCATCGTTGTCATCAAGAGTTTATAATATATTATTGAGGGTTGTTTCAGTGCAGCTTTGTTATTTTTTGATGAATTTTACAGCCTGATTCTACCCATGTCACCAGTGCGGAGCAGGAACCCCCTGCTCATCTATACTGTCTGTTTATGGTCTGCACTGTTTGCTTATTAATTCATTCACTACAGATATTTTGAAATTTTTGCTAAAAGTGATGAATTGTTTTGTCTAAATTGTTAGATGACATTAACTATTTAAGATATATTGTTGTAAAAATAGCATGTTAGGGTTAAGAACAAGGTATAGGTAAGAAGCATAATGAAGATTAGGTCAATTAATTGTATCAAAAGTATAAGATAGTTAAAATAGGTTTCCATTTTTTAAACATACCTGTTGGCAACTGCACATCTTGCCTGTTTTTACTTGAAGTGGTGTCCAATAAATTGCTTGTGATTTACTTATAATGTTCATTTGCTCCTCTTAAACATATCTCATTATTAAAGAAGCTCTGCTAAGGTCATAAATCCGGAAAAACATATATTTCTTTTAATTCTTACATAGATCCGCTATTGAATCTGCAGATAATAATAAAGAAATATATCAAAAAATTAAATTTAGAAACTACTCTTTGTGACGGTCTTCAGTTTGTATTGTTTTCATTTTTGGGTCAATTTTCACATTTAAGTTTATATTCTGAAGAAATGGAGTGAACAAACAAGTTATTGATGCAGACCTTTCTATATTACCAGTTCATTTATGTCAGAAAACCTAGTTGGGATTTTGATACAAATAGTGCTCCTATAGTACTCCTTAGAATTCAGATTGCACAAATTCACCAGTTTTGTTCATGTCCTTAATGAAATGTTTTAATTTAACAGTTAATTGAAATTTTGGGGTTAAATAAGTGCAAGGCTATTGTATTGAAGTTATTAGATGTAATGTTAATTAGTGCAAGAATCTCTTTAAACCTTGAACATGTTCAACTAAAATAACTATGCAAGCCCAAGAGAGATTGTAATATATATACAGTTTAATCACCATTAATGATATGAAGAACTTGAAAATAGTTCATTGGGAATAAGGGTATATTTGATTCATTTCCATAATTTGGATCAAAAAGTTATATTACCATGCTTTGTATCTTAAATGGACTTGTCCATCTTTCAATCTGAACTGAACCATTCATCATTTTTAGGGGAAAGTTTAAAATATATACATAGAGGATATTGAATGAGTATAAGTTCAATACTGAATTTATTGCATGAGTTGAATAAAATGATATTATGCGAGCCTCTGGCAAGCATAATGTTATTTTATTCAACGAGTGCAATAAATTCAGTAATGAACTTACACGAATTTAATATTCTATTTATCACATACCCTAAATAAAGACCGTTTAAAGTGAAATAAGAGTCATTTTTCATTGACGCACCAATAGTATGAGTCGCTAACATTTAGCTCGTCTTTACACTATGTTTGTATAACGCTAATGACGTCATGTCAAAATATATGCACGGCCATGCAATACCAATATTATTTATGGTGTTGTAAAATCGGCATGGGTGTGTGATAATGATTGCATAATGAACAGTGCAGACCATGATTGTGTTGTCTGATCTTGGTCTGCACTGTTCACATGAGTAGAATCCTTTAGTCTGCCTGAGAAGACAAAAGGTTATTTGCTCAGCTGAGCTATATGACCTAAAGATATTAACAAAAATTAATGCTCTTTTCTTAATAGATTGTGTAAATTTTATTTTTTTCCAAAGTTCAGCAGTTTGAAATCTTTTTTCATACTGCATCAGAACATTATCAGTTTCTCAGTGCATTAGCTATTTGTTCAGTACTTTAATAAGCATGAAACAAATCTAGAAAAAAAAAGAAACGAAAAAAAAAAAGTTAACGAGCTCCTTTGTCAGATATTAGTTTCGTTTGTTCTTTTAATGGGTTGTTCTCCATTTATAGCACAAAATGGTGCAAAATAGGCAATGAATAGAACTGCTGCTATTAAATTATAGCTAATGATGTAAGCTGTGGGAGCAGCAGACACTCCTTACAGCCATTTTGGAATGAAAAATCTCACATGAGGGCAGAAAAATGATGATACTTTTGCATGTGTTTGGCTCATGACTTAAATACTTCCAAAATTTCATAACATCATTTTTTATTTGTCAGTGATCCAAACTGCCCAATTTGATATTTCATTTATTTGTCTATTTTGACGGCTTTCTTCAATTAGTGCCAGACATATTTTCTTCATTTCGTTCCAAATATATCGTATAATGGTTCCCTGCAACAATGATAGAATATCAATATCTGAGTGAGACTGGTTCACCGAATTTAGATACAGCGATGCTCAAAGGTTATAAGATTTAAGTTTTCAAACCAGTCTGAAACTCTAGACTGATTCATGACTGTGAACATTGGTCAAAGGTTATAAAATTTGTATTTTCAAACCTGTCTGAAAGTCCAGACTTGTTCATGGCTTAGAAACAATGATGTCAACATTGGTCAAAGGTTATAAAATTTATATTTTTAACCTGTATGAAACTCTAGATTTGCTCATGGCCTAAAAACCATGATGTCAACATTTGTCAAAGGTTAGAAAGCTTATATTTTCAAACCAGTCTGAAACTCTAGACTTGTCCATGGCTTAGAAACCATGATGTCAACATTGGTCAAAGGTTAGAAAACTTATATTTTCAAACCATGCAGTCTGAAACAGATTTCATTGGCCCTTGGTCTGCAGGTGGCAACAGTAAATTATCCTAAAACCTCATATGTTGTTACATGACAAGAAATACAATGCCCTAGAAAATCATAAATCTCTTTTGCAAAAGTTTAGAATTCAGGAAAAGTGCAGTGCACAAGAACAAAAATTACTCTCTGTTGCATAATTGGAATTATTACCTTTTGAAAAATTTTTACACTTAATTAAGCTGAACTTTTAACTTTAAAGTTATTGCTCTTTGTTTATTTTCTTACAAAAGTTATATAATATACACTTTGTAATATTCATGTTCAATTTCTCTAAAGTACATGTATTTCTTAATATCTTTATTTAAGTACTTTAAATGAATGATCAAATGACAAATAAATAATGTTAAAAATGATATTTTAATGACATAATATCTCAAAAAGATAGCCTTTTCCTCGACACTGCTCTTTTCTTTTGTAGGTTTTGTATCATAATATTACTTTGAGGTAAATTATATGAAGAAATTTCAAAAATATTTGAATCTTCAGAGGAGTGATATATTTTTATCAAGTAAATGAATTTGCTTGTCTGCTTTTACAATAACCTTTCCTTAAATCTCAGAAACAATGTCATGGTTGATTCATTAAGCTAGCAGACACAATTATGTAGGCAAAATTCTGACTGCTCAAATTTTTTTTTTTTTGGTCCAGAAAATGTAGCATTTCTTTGTACTGGTAATTTCCGAGAAATTGATGGATTTTTTTCCCAGTTCAATAGAAATGTTGAATTTTTTCCCCTACATTGCTTTTGGAGAATACTGGAGAAAAAAATTCCAGTAGGGAAATCTCTTTTTTTCATTTTATTCATTTTATTGCTCGAGCAAGAATTTAGTGAAAGTTTTTTTTGTTTGAAATTCGAGTATTTTTTTAATGGTATAGCCCAAGGGATTGATGTGATTGACAATATGAATTTAGGATATGATATTTTTTGGACCTTAAGAACACTGGTATCATTTTAAGACACATTTAATTCTTTAAAACAAAATTACTGGTATGTCATGTTAAAGTGACATGTGTATTTACACAGGATTTTCTTTTTCTAAACAAAATACCCCAAACATTGATTTTGACATAAAACAGATAATGGTAGACATTTAGGAAAATTTGAACCTTTAAATGCTTGTTTGTTTTTTGCATGTTTAAACATTGTTATAATTTCTTGATTATTTTCTTTTAGCCAGCGAGAAGTGTATGTGTGATTTTGTTTTGTATTTTTTTTGGTCACAAATGGCAATAAACCTGATATTTCCCCACATCACCGACTGCGAATTCACTTATATTCGTGGGCATGAAATTTCGTGGTTTTATCAAAACTGGCATTTTCGTGGGTTCTTAAATTCGTGGATTTTCGTTTTCTTGTTGAAAAAAAAATTCAGTAACCTAATGCAAAATAATCTTAAACTTAATCGCCGAACATTTTTACTTACAACATGTACATATCTTTACTTGTCACACAGCGGTTATCAATAAATTTAATCCTTGCCTCTGGGCATAAATCTAACATAGCACAGTTATGCCAAGGTCACAAATAAAACGGGCGCCGTCCGATTAAACGATTTTTATAAAATCGGCAGATTTTTTGATGTCGTGGACGCCGGGCGATTTTAAATCTGATACCTTGCGTGGTCATGAATTAAACAGTCGTCGGGCGATTTTTGCCGAGTGGATTTTACAGAAAGAATTGAACGGATCGGGCGGTCACCACCCGATGTCCGTACGGCGCCTGTGCGATTTAAAAGTGAATCGGACGGTTGCCGCGCGGGCGCCGGGCGACAATGACTTTACATTTAATGACATCCTAGATAAATCAGCCAGTTGTAATTATGCCAGCAAAGAAGTCAGCTGCCAAAGCGAAGGGGAGTCACCAACGGCCAGTATCGAGGCCGTAGAAGGCGAAAATCAATCAGACATTCGCATGGACATTGAAGAAAAAATTCATGTTTACTAGTATTCAAAAGAAAGTCACAAATATATTTTTGAGGCAATTAATGAAAACGATGACCGCCCGGTGCCTGTACATGAATCGTCCGGGTACCGGGCGATAATCGTTTGACTACTTAGCTCTATTCAGGCACCGGGCGGGGCCCGGACGATGTCCGCCCGGACGCCTTTTAAATCGGACGCTGTTTTAGTAGAACAAAAGATCGCCCGATCAAAAAAACCATCGCCCGGTCGCCGGGCGGCGACCGAACGATGTCTGCTTGATGTTATTTATACTCAGTGACCCCAAAAATTATTGTCCGGCCGCCGTTAGCTTTTAAGTATTACTTAAAACTCGAAGGCGCCCGCCCGATGAGCAAAATTTTCAGCTGCTGCCGTCCGATAGTCACTGCCGCCGGACGGACACCGTCCGATATTGCGATTTTTTGGAGAAACAGACGCCGCCCGGCGGCATTTTCTTATTTGTGACCTAGGCTTTACTGCCTATAATTGACTGCAATTAACACATTTATGTGACATGATATGCACCTCCATTGGACACACTGCCCCTGTAATTCGCCGATGTAAACATGGCATAATTTATACGACACCTGACAGGTTTTAACCAGCGAGTTTAAAAATTTACACTTAACATATTTGACAGTAACTACACGCAAGGTCACGTAAATAACACGAGTATATGTGGATCTTCAAAAAGTCGGTGTCGTCTTTGATGTTTACAGAATAGCATTCACACAAATACAGATTAAAATTCATATAAACTGGATCATTTAAAAACGACAAAAGAATGTACAATAGATCTGTTTTAGCGATCGCATTTTTTTTTTATAGTTTTGTGTACTTACGACATTAATATCAAAGACCTTTTTTTTAAATTATTAAGAGCCAATTGACAATTTTTATTAGCGCTAATTATTGCACTGCCTGGGTTCCCATATTTACTCGATTATGTCAAGTATTCTTGTAACTAGCAGAGTAACACCGATCAAGTATGTATATGCGACATTAATTTTGTGACAGTTAATTGAGGACATATAATCGAGTTTTCTTTCAAGTTCCTTTAATATTGCAAACGGATTTAATATGTCACTAACCTGCTTATCTGTCTGTATTTACATCCATTTCACGAAATATCGGCCGGAAAAGAGCCGATGCATGTTTTTAATATATAGAACAGAGACTGGGTTACAGAAGTATTTGTTGGGATAAAAGTTCGTCGGATCTTAAATTCGTGGATTGACCTAACCACGAAAATTCGTGCCCCACGAATAATAATGATTTTACAGTATATTAATTATATTTGATACTATTTTTAGCTTGTACCTCAACAGATGTGTAATGTAAGTTGTCCACAGCTTCCATGTAGAAATTCTGCAGATTTTTTTGTGATATTTTTTTTTTCTCCCCATACCTAACTTAAGGTAATAAATCCATGAATAGTGAAATATGCGTTAAGAAAGAAAAATCAAAGTGCATTAGAAGATAGAAATGACTTAAACATTAATATGAAGTGCAATTTTACATAATTAAATTAATGACAAAGTACAAAATTCAGAAAGCAGTCAATGTGCATCAGAAGATAGAAATGACTTTAAACATTAATATGATACATAATTGTATACATAATTTAAATAATGACAAAGGACAAAATTTTGCATAATTTTATCACCTATTTGTCAGTAAAATCTTATTGTTCCTCATTATAAGGGCTTTTATTTATTGTCCAAAATATTTGTAGATACTTCCATTTGGTCAGGTTTGAGGTTTATGGTCAAGGTCAGGGATGCTAAATATAGCATTTTATTGATTTATTATGGTCCCCGAAAAATTTCGGGGGAGCATATAGTCGTCGGGTTGTCCGTCCGTCCGTCCATCAGTCCGTACGTCCGTCCCGAATTCGTGTCCGGCCCATAATTTTGTTATTTGAAGTCGGATTTTAAAATTATTTCACAGAAATGATCACCATATTAACACGACGTGTCGCGCGCAACATTTGGGTCGCTACCTTGAAGGTCAAGGTCACAGCATGACCTTTCAGCAAAATCGTGTCCGGTCCATAACTTCATTATTTGAAGTTGGATTTTGAAAATATTTCACAGAAATGATCACCATATTGAGACGACGTGTCGCGCGCAACATTTGGGTCGCTACCTTGAAGGTCAAGGTCACAGCATGACCTTGCAGCAAAATCGTGTCCGGTCCATAACTTCATTATTTGAAGTCGGATTTTAAAAATATTTCACAGAAATGATCACCATATTGAGACGACATGTCGCGCGCAACATTTGGGTCGCTACCTTGAAGGTCAAGGTCACAGCATGACCTTGCAGCAAAATCGTGTCTGGTCCATAACTTTGTTATTTGAAGTCGGATTTTAAAAATATTTCACAGAAATGATCACCATATTGAGACGACATGTCGCGCGCAACATTTGGGTTGCTACCTTGAAGGTCAAGGTCACAGCATGACCTTGCAGCAAAATCGTGTCCGGTCCATAACTTTGTTATTTGAAGTCGGATTTTAAAAATATTTCACAGAAATGATCACCATATTGAGACGATGTGTCGCATGCAACATGTGGGTCGCTTCCTTGAAGGTCAAGGTCACAGCATGACCTTGCAGCAAAATCGTGTCCGGCCCATAACTTCCCTATTTGAAGTTAGATTTAAAAAGTATTTCACAGAAATGATCATCATATTAAGATGACGTGTCATGCACAACATTTAAGTGGCTACCTTGAAGGTCAAGGTCACAGCATGACCTTGCAGCAAAATCTTGTCCGGCCCATAACTTCCTTATTTGAAGTCAGATTTTTAAACTATTTCACAGAAATGATGACCACATTAAAATGGCGTGTCATGCGCAACATTTGGCTCGCTACCTTGAAGGTCAAGGTCACAGCATGACCTTGAAGCAAAATTGTGTCCGGCACATAACTTCATTATTTGAAGTCTGATTTTACAACTATTTCACAGAAATGATCACCACAATGAGACATTGTGTCGCGGGCAACATTTGGGTCGCTACCTTGAAGGTCAAGGTCACGGTATGACCTTGCAGCAAAATCGTGTCCGGCCCATAACTTTGTTACTGGAAGTCGGATTTAACAACTATTTCACAGAGATGATCACCATATTGAATCGACGTGTTGCATGCAACATTTAGGTCACTACGTTGAAGGTCAAGGTCACAGCATGACCTTGCAGCAAAATAATGTCAGGCGCATAACTTTGTTATTTGAAATCGGATTTTACAACTATTTCACAAAAATGATCACCATATTTAGACAATGTGTCGTGCACAATATTTGGGTTGTTTTTACACTTTGAACTTTGTCTGTGACATAACTCTGACACAACAAGAGGTATACCTTCCTGTGTCCAAAACCTATTCGGGGAGCATCACCCGGTTCAACCGGCTCTTGTTACCTTATATACCAATATTAGAGATGGCGAGTGCATTGCTAACTTGCATTATTAATTACCAATCCTTTGACAGGTGTTTTATGTAGATGGTGTGAAGGTCAGTCTGATCCAAAAGATCATGAAATGTTTATCGATGCCACCAAAATTTTGTTTAATTGTAATGCTTGTTAAAGTTAAAGTTCTAATAAATTGTCTTAAGGTTATAAAAAGTCAGTAACAAAAAGAGCTTTTTGCATATGACCATCTAGGATAATGTTAATTAACTTAATTATTTATATACTGAATTTATTTAAGTTTGATTTTGTAGGAAGCTATAAGCTTATATTATATTGATGGATTTATTACCTCCTGTTTTAGTTGAAACAATCTGGTACTGAACTACTAAAACATTTTTGAAGTGTATTTTGTCCAATTAACAGCTTACTTGAGTGACATATCTTACATGTACTTACAAACAAAATTTCATTCTTGCTGCAAGTGTTCATCTGTAGTAAATTTGGTATTTATTCACTTGATCTTGATCAATAATAATTTTGTAACCAATTAATTCATATATTTCTACTTCCTCAAATAATAATGCTGACTAGTAGATTTGCTTTAATTGTTGAACTTTTCTTTGGTCTGCATTTAAAGATATTAATATAGAATATGGAGGGGCACCTTAATATGCCCAATGCTATCAATACATCTTTAATGTCAGGGTCAGATTTGTTGACCTCCATCAGACAATTTGAATGTCCCTTGGACATTTTTGTTACCTCCATTGATAAAACTGAAGAGTAACTTTGTTAACCCTTTAATAAAGCTGTAAATTGTCAGGGGTATTATTGTTTACCTCCATCAATAAAGCTGTAATGTCAGGGACATTTTGTTTACCTCGATCAATAAATCTGTAATGTCAGGGATATTATTCTTTACCTCCATCAATAAAGATGTAATGTCAGGGATATTATTTTACCTCCATCAATAAAACTGGAATGTTAGGAATATTATTGTTACCTCCAGGTACATGACTGTTTAGCTCCATCAATAAAGCTGGAATGTCAGGGACATTATTGTTTACCTCCAACAATAAAGCTGGAATGTCAGGGATATTATTGTTTACCTCCATCAATAAAGCTGGAATGTCAGGGACAATTTTGTTTACCTCCATCAATAAAACTGGAATGTCATTTACCTCCATCATTAAATCTGGTGAAACTTTATTGTTTACCTCCATCAATAAAGCTTGAATGTCAGGGATATTATTGTTTACCTCCATCAAAAATGCTGGAATGTCAGGGACATTATTGTTTACTTCCACCAATAAAACTGGAATGTCATTTACCTCCATCATTAAATCTGGTGGAACTTTATTGTTTACCTCCATCAATAAAGCTTGAATGTCAGGGATATTATTGTTTACCTCCATCAATAAAGCTGGAATGTCAGGGACAATTTTGTTTACCTCCATCAATAAAACTGGAATGTCATTTACCTCCATCATTCAATCTGGTGGAACTTTATTGTTTACCTCCATCAATAAAGCTTGAATGTCAGGGATATTATTGTTTACCTCCATCAATAAAGATGGAATGTCAGGGATATTATTGTTTACCTCCATCAATAAAACTGGAATGTCATTTACCTCCATTATTAAATCTGGCGGAACTTTATTGTTTACCTCCATCAATAAAATTGGAATGCCAGGGATATTATTGTTTACCTCCATCAATAAAGCTGGAATGTCAGGGACAATTTTGTTTACCTCCATCAATAAAACTGGAATGTCATTTACCTCCATCATTAAATCTGGTGGAACTTTATTGTTTACCTCCATCAATAAAGCTTGAATGTCAGGGATATTATTGTTTACCTCCATCAATAAAGCTGGAATGTCAGGGACATTATTGTTTACCTCCATCAATAAAACTGGAATGTCATTTACCTCCATCATTAAATCTGGTGGAACATTATTGTTTGCCTCCATCAATAAAGCTGGAATGTCAGGGATATTATTGTTTACCTCCATCAATAAAGCTGGAATGCCAGGGACATTATTGTTTACCTCCATCAATAAAACTGGAATGTCATTTACCTCCATCATTAAATCTGGTGGAACTTTATTGTTTACCTCCATCAATAAAGCTTGAATGTCAGGGATATTATTGTTTACCTCCATCAATAAAGCTGGAATGTCAGGGACATTATTGTTTACCTCCATCAATAAAACTGGAATGTCATTTACCTCCATCATTAAATCTGGTGGAACATTATTGTTTGCCTCCAGCAATAATGTTGGAATGTCAGGGACATTATTGTTTACTTCCATCATTAAAAGCTGTTTTAGTCTTAGAGCTTATAAGTTAGAAGAAATTGAATAGATTAAACCTGCTTTTTCATCATTGACCACACCTCTTTCACCAAGCCCCTCCTCTTTTTTCTTTACCATACCTTATGCATAAACAGAGTTTTCATATACCACCTTTTCAGCATAATACTTTAAGTGTCTTCATATTAAATTTTGTTTATAACTATGTATTTAAAATAGTTTAGCTTAAAGGCTGCAGAGTAGAAAATTTCTTTGCCTTCATTTGTTCAACTGTGTCACTATAATAACATCTCTTTGGGTTAATTTGACTATCATTGTGTTCAATATGGCTCAACTATCACAATACATGTATATTAGCTCACTCTTTTTGGCATATATTATGTGTGTTTTTATCTTTTATATGCACATTATCACTTGGTGTGTGTTACAAACACTGTACACATTTAAAGTCCCCCTTCTCCGTAATTGTTGTGAAATATTCTTGTGTTTTTTGTTTTTGGTTAAATTTAAAAAGGAAGTGAATTTAAATGCTTAATTTTAAATTATTCATTATTTTAGAATTTTTTTTTTCATCGGCTTTCTAATTTTGTCCATTATTGCTGGAATAATGTTGTTTTGATTTAAGATACAAATGTTGAGATTTTTTTTTTTTAATAATATATTTTCACAATTTATCATTTAGCTAATTGTATAGAACATATATAATAATATTTGTATGTTCTAATAATTTAATACTATTTAAAAATCAGTTTTTAAAAAGCATTTTTGTTATTCATAATTATGAATATTATAATGATTAGTTGTTAAGATTTTGATAAAATGGTCAATTTTTGTACAAAAAAACCCCAAAAAAAACATCACCTGTTAACATGATAAATTTAAGGCTGCAGGCTAATCAACATTTCAATGAATCGCCTGTTAAGAGATGCATAAGAAAAAGTGCTTATATTTGAGCCGAGGCAGGACAAAACCAACATAATGCGTTTGCGACCAGCATGGATCCAGACCAGCCTGCGCATCCGCGCAGTCTGATCAGGATCCATGCTGTTCGCTTACAAACCCTATTACAAGTAGAGAAACTGATAGCGAACAGCATGGATCCTGATCAGACTGCGCGGATGCGCAGGCTGGTCTGGATCCATGCTGGTCGCAAATTCATTATGTTGGTTTTATTGTGACGTGGCTCATTTGTATTTATTTCATAAACATAAAGGTCATAAAGGACATTGCGCTCATGGTTCAATATAAACTTACGATTCTTACAGCAGACGGGAAATGATTACATAATTTTGTCAATCTACTGTATCCTGAAGTCAGCTATGAAGATGACTTAATTGGACTTGAGATTGGTCGCCAGTAAATTAGTGGTCACAGGCCTCCAGTAAATTAGTGGTCACACGCCTTACAGGGATCAATTCTGTCGTATCACCCTTGAGTTATTCTCGTCTCATCTAATGTGCTAAAGGGATGATAGAATTAAAACATCTCATTTCTTTGGTAATGCAGTAATATGCTAAATGATAGACTGTCCGACGAGGTTTTTGATTATTCGTCTGGCGTAAAGTTTGTATTTACAATATTGTAAAGCAGATTGAGTTTCTGTAAGATATGTACATATTTAATAATATTTTGATAGGAGATTATGTCATTGTTTATTACTTGAACATTTCTCCATATGTGGAACAGTATAGTTTGATGCTATTTTAGTGAATAAAGAAGGGGGTTCTTTGAATATAATTTTGTCTTCAACTTGACCTTAGAAATAATTTTCCCAGCTTAAAGAAATGGTTCTTATAGTGAGAACAAAATGTTTAAAAAGTACATGTATTTGCATAGTCTGACCTGTGGAGTGACATCATTATTCTGATGATTAAAGATTTCATTTTGATATCCCCAAAAAATAATAATGGACAGTTCCATTGAAAAATGATAATGGACAGAAATGGATTCAAGAAATTCAGTAGGTGAAGGTTAGGGATTTAGAGAACAAGTCAAACACTTAGCATCACAGAGTCTATATAGACGAAAATTTGAGTCTCTTACATAATACGGCTGACAATTGCAGCCAAAATAACTAATTGCTTGTCCAAAACAAATCACTGATGATTACATCCTTTGATCCTCTCTTACAGAGAAGAGGTTCGAATTCCCAAAAGAACAGAATCTGTATGTGGTTAGGAAAATTGTTCTGTACAGATTATTTCAAAAGATGTTAGCTGGAAATTAATAAAATCTGTACGGAATTCTCAATTCAGATTAAGCAGTGTAAACAGTAAACACAAAACCAAGTGAAAATAGCAGTCAGGTTGTCTTAACAGCGTAATTGTTTTATATGAAAACATTATCATTTGCATGGTGCTTAGGGGAATAATTGAGACGAACACTTAACCATCTCCTGTAGAAAATGATATTGAGCCGAAAGGACTGAGGGTCATAAAATAGTCTAGGGAGATGCTGGCAGGGCTGGTTGAGGGGGGGATAACTATAAAATTACATGGCATGACAAAAGGTATAAAACAATGCTGCGGGCATATACAGTGGTGGAATTACTTGTGAGAAAAAGAAGTCTACAATTCCAAGAACAACATTTCCTTTATTGTTGAGGCTGTTTTTTTGGTTTCCAAAAATAGTTGGTTTATGGACAGTTTGCTTGTTTATTTTTAATGAACAAGTGCTATGTCAGAAGAAAATGACAGACTTATTACCCTTTTTTACATAGATTCCAAACAGTTTCCTTGGTTACTAAAATAATAATTTGGCAGAACAATATTTTATTATGTCACCCCATTTGAATTGTATGTTTTTTGTTTTATTTATTACTGGTATTTATGACTTTCAGTGTATTGAACATGTATCTCTTGAACATATATCTTTTACTACTCATTTATTTTATACATTTTGTGCTCATAAACTTAAAAGAAGAATTTCTATATTAAGAGAACTTTTTCAGAATTCAAGGGGTATGGTATAATACTTGGCCTTTATTTGATAATTAATACAGCTCAGTACTGTCTGTATTTCAAATTTGAAGGATAGCAGATGTTGAAAAACTATTATTGTTGTTGTTGTTTTTTTTGTCAGAGATATGCAGAAGTTGTTGTTTTTATGAAGTGAAACTTGCTGAATATTAATCAAGTGGTGTTATGTTAACTACTTGGTTTTTGACTAAAACAACACGAAAACAAAGATTAGTCTGCCTCTGTGTTTAAAAATGTGACCGTCTGCTTAGTCTGGGACAATGTCCGGGACAATTACCATAAACAACTGTATTTATGCATATTTATGTACAATATGTGCACATTCAAATCTTTTGATGATGAATTTGGGGACAGTAACACAAATTTAAGATAATGTGATGATATTATAAGCAGTATAAAGCCTGGGTCAAACTTCAAAGGTGACGGCATAGGCATGTCTAATTATTACGGTTAGCTAGTAATCAGACTGTTATTCAAATTTAGCAGAATTTATTTTGTGGTTTTTTTTTACAAAATGATGTACATGTGATCATGTGATTATTCTGTTTTCCAGCAACAGTTGATGCGACACCACTGGGTTCATAGACGAAGGCAAGATGGGAAGTGTAAGCAGTGTGGAAAGGTATTTTAATATTGATACATATCATTTTAAAAATATCATCAAATAAATTTAATTCGAAGCAAGATATATGTTTTGATACTACTACTTGTAGCTTACAAGAGGTCAGTAGTTCTACCTTCATAACTTGCTTGTGTATAAAGTAATGCATGAAAATTATGCATAAGGGGGTGGCAGGGGTATTCCTTCACAAGTAAAAGCTGAAAAAAAGTTTAATTCATATAATTTTCACCTGGTCTGAATGTAATCCAACATAACATAATTTGTCACCTTAGTGCAGTAACAGGTTAACTCCTATTGTATTATATAAGGAGTTAACCCATTACTGCACTAAGTTGACAATATAACCAAACTAATCTTGATATATTCTACAAATTTATTGGTTTGGACCTACAACCAGTTATACAAAAATCATGAAAAAATATTTTCGGTCCATTCTTGTCCAAAAATCCTCAGTGGAGACAAAAACATGCTTTGTAATAAAGTCATCTTCAGAAAAGCTTTGATATTTTTTAAAAGTCCCTGGAAGCAAACAAAAATGATTTTCAGTAACCTATCACTTGTTGGTGGAAATCTTCAGATTTTCAAATCAATATTAGGTTGCATGGCATAAAATGATACGAGATTTTTTTCATCAGTAAAAAGTAAGTCGTTAAGAAAAGGGAGAATTATAGCACAGCCGAAATAAATCGCAGCAGATTCTCATTTAAATCCTCATGCTGATTGAGTGTGCTAATCATCCTTAATTTCTTCCCTCTAATTTCCCTCGTACTATTATTATTGTTGATGATTATTGACTGTCCCAGATATTCTAACAGACACAATTTCACATGAAATCCATTTAAGGGGCACAAATTATGCTGAATGCTAAAAGTATGTGTTAGCATGAAATGTTAAATAGAAGTCAGGTTAAAATATTATTAAATAGAGTAAAAGCTTTAAATGGGAGCCTCTGTAAAGAAGGGGCATAAAGGAGTAGAGTAAAAGCTTTTATATGGCAGTCTCTGTGGCTTAAAAGGGCAAACGAAATAGACTAAAAGTTTTAAATGGCAGCCTTTTGAGGCCAAGAGGCTGAATGAAAACAGCTTTATATGGGATCCTTTGTGGCTGAGGGCAAAATGAAATAGAGTTAAAACATTATACGGCAGATGCTTTACATGGATGCCTCTGAGGCTGAGGGGCATATTGAAATAGAGTGAAAGCTGAATTTATATTGGAACCTCTAAGTCTGAGGAACATTATAATGAAATAGAGTAAAAGCTTTGTATTGGAGCCTCTGAGGCTGATGGGCATTATAAGGAGTTAAAGATTTATATGGCATCCTCTTAACCTGGGTCTGAATTTAAAAACCACTGTCCATCACAAATTGCTATGTGCATTGAATGGTTTCATATGATGAAGCTTTGTATAATTCATGTTGCAGATAGTTTATGGATATCTACATGGATGCAGTGTCTTCTACCTGAAATAATTCAATTCATAGTTCCTTATCTTCCACCAATGAAACTTAGGAAATAGCCATATTACTTTATATTGCCCGTGTGACTTGACGACAAACATAGAGGGAAAAATCTGTGCTGTAATGCACTGGTTGCAGTTAAGTGCACAAGAACTGACTGTTTGCTTAACCTGAGTTACCTCCACCTTGCAGACCTTTTAAAAATCTTCATAATGTTTTTGCCTCCACTAATCTCCTGATATACAGCCATTGTAAAAGACCTTTCCTAATGGTTTCTGTACTAATGTACAACAATAATAGAAAATCTTAGTCCATGCAGTGTTGATCAGTTAAACCCCTAGAGAATTATCATTGTCTAGCTTAATCTTTCAGAAATAATGACAGAATGTCCATTTAGTTTAGCTTCTATGGGAAAACAAGATGAAAGACATGTCTCGGAGTTATGTTTAGGATGAAAGCTCTGTTTCATGTGGGATGGTTCCCATTTTTTGACAAGTTTTCTATGTCTTATGCATGCAAGGATTATAGTTTGAGTTTCCTTGTATCTGTCATTTTGAATTACGGGTACTTGTAAACTTGAGTCTGTAATTGCTTATTTTTAATCTTTTTTTAGCTCACCTGTCACAAAGTGACAGGGTGAGCTTTTGTGATACTTTTCGTCCGGCGTCCGTCCGTCCGGCGTCCGTAAACTTTTACTTTAAATGACATCTCCTCATAAACCACCAAGCCAATTTCATCCAAACTTGACAGGAATGTTCCTTTGGTGGTCACCTTTGAAAATTGTTCAAAGAATTTAATTCCATGCAGAACTCTGGTTGCCATGGCAACCAAAAGAAAAAAACTTTAAATATCTTCTTCTAAAAAACCCAAAGAGCTAAAGCTTAGATATTTGGCATGAAGCCTACAAACTTGGTAGACACTCACTAGAAGTTTGATTCCTAACGGTTTAATCATTAATGGTTTAAGTTTTCTATTTTCTTCAAAGGTTTTAGTTTTCTAATTCCATCTAAGGTTTCGCTTAAAAGTTTACGTTTTCTATAGGTTGTCTATTGCTAGCGGTTTCAGTTAAAGGTAAATGTTTTCTATTTCCAACAAAGGTTTCCTTTAAAGGTTTCAGATTTCTATTCCCTCTCTCGGTTTCAGTTAAATCTATTTCCTCTAAAGGTTTTAGTATGTGAAGTATACAAATATGATACTAATTTAGTCTTGTTGGAAAATTTGTAGAATTTCTATCGTTTGATTTGTACAATTTCTAATAATTGGTATCTACGTTAACTCTTATACAATCTATAATGGTAGCTGTTTGACATTTGGAAAAAAAAAATATGAAAGAATGAGAATTGAGTCATCAATCTTGTGTCTCTTAGTATTTAATTATACAGAAATGATATGATTTGTATTGACAGACATCAGTCAAAGTTACTGGGTTCCATTATGCTCTATGTACTTTTATCATCTAGGGATTCTAAACTGTCTGAGTAATACAAAACATAATTGGCATCTTGTAAATGGTGATCTATTTAAGCTGGCACTTATTTTACATACTCAGCTGGGTATGTAAAATCTGTATATCTACATTTATATCTACATTTATGAAGCCAAAAATTATGATTTTAAGAAATTTGAGTCAGTGGACTAGTAATTATTTTTGTATGGTTTACTTTGAATCTCTGAAATTGTCTGAATAGTTTAAATTAAAAGGACTAATGTCCCAAGACTGTGTTTATATCGAAACACCCATGACTTCCTGATGGTGGGAATTAATATGACATGAACGTAAATAATCAACATCACTACCATTTAACTTGAGAGGAGAAAATATAGAAGCAAGACACAGTGCAAATCTTTTATCCCCTCAGCTAGCTTCAGGACCACTTAGTCTCATGAAGTGTAAATTTGTATGGAAGCTTTGACTGGCATGACTTCACTGTAGGAGGCAAGGTTTGACAATTATATCCACTACTCTTCAAAGGGTGAACAGAATATTTCAATGTTGTTTGGGGTTTTGCGAGTTGACAAGCCTTGCAGAACAGGTTTGATAGGTTGTTAAGGAAGATCTGTAACTTAAACGTTTGTTTAACCCTTGACCTGCAGAATTTATGTTGTGGACTTGTTTTGCTTTTAAAGTTGTGAGTAAAAGGGATTTCAATATCACTATAAATCAAATTTAGCAGACAATAGTATTATAAAAGTTACAAAAAAATGGACTTTAGTAGTAAACGGGCCTGGCTCTATCACAAGTTGGCATAGAAAAGTCATTAGAAAAGTCATCTGCAATCGGTTATTCATAATTTTTGTTTTTCCCAGCAACATGTACCAATATACCATTTAGCTATCTGTAATGGAAATGTTATGCCATCTTATGTGATATACATGAAAGCCAAGCGTAAAATTTATGAGGTCACGATCTATCTGCCGTACATCCAAAAGATCTGTCACGTTGTCAGGCATAGTTCAGAAAAGATGTCTCGCCTAATTCTTGTACAGACAGGAAAAATATAAATCTAACAGCATGTATAATTATCTTTCTGATTTATGTTGGACACATTCTTCCCTGGTAACAGATTGAAGGCGATTTTTTCCTTTAAATGGAAATCGTGTATAAAATCCATTCATACTTTGTATCATACGTCTCCGTTTCAACAATAAAGCTTCACTCTGGCCTTGACATTAACCTTAAAATTATAGGTTAATTTTGAAGTTAATTTCGGGATAAAATGTTATTATAATTTCTTTTATTGTATGGTTGAAATAACAAATTAAATTTCTCATTATTTTGGACCCGTTGGCTGTAACGTTTTTCAGTGGCACGGCACACTGGTTCGTGACATTTGAATTATGCAGGGCATTAAATTAAAACCAAGAAAAAAATATTAATTGTTGAAGTAGCTAATTAAAAATAAAGTTTTTTTAAAAAGAGTTTGCAGAAATGCAAACTTAAGTTTTTAAAGTTGAGTCGAATTAGTTATATATTTAAAAAAAAAAAAAACGACTTAAATACATAATGTGCTTGGGGGCGTGAGGGATGTTGCACTTTTTCATTATCCCTGACATGTACCGACTCAATCAAACCGAGTGCAATTTCCATGTAATTTTGTTGTGATTAAATTGCTTCCATTGAAAGCATCACTCTTTTTCCATTTTTCCAGATTTTTATAAATCAATTGTGATTGACCAGTAATAGAAAATTAAAAATGATATTAAAAAGACATAATTATAAAAGGACGGCCCCACTTTTTTATAGAAAAATTTCGCCTCGTGCGATGATGAAAAGAAGTGACCTCTGTATTTCAAATCATTGAGGCTATTGAAGCAGGCAAACAGGGATGTTTTTAGTTCACTCAGAAATGTTATGTAATGTAATACTAGTTAGAACACATATGTTACATCAGAATATTAAAAAAATATAGAAATGCGTTTTAATAAATCTATATCTATTATGGGTTCAACATCATGTATTTAACATTGATTTAAACATTCAACTTGTGTGGTTGATAAAATACCGTACTTCCCCTATTAACTGATACCCAACACTTATACAACACTTGTAAAAGTTGATCTAATCTTATGGTCATATATGCTCTTATTGTGGATTAAAAAATCATGGGTCACTTAATGCGAAGATGTTAGTAGTTATTGGTTAGATTTAAGTTATTATAATACAGGAAGGGTAGGTATAGGTAGACTGACTGCCGAGATATTACAAAAAAAGTGTTAAAATCAGTGCGAAAACCAGATAAACAAAGAAACTGCAAATTAAAATGGCGGCCTGGTTGAGTGGTTAACACGTCTTACTTGTAACCTAAGGGCTCCTGCCTGCGTACGTTCAAACCCTGTCATGGGCAACTGATGTTGTTTCCGTGAGCACTTGTTGCTGTACTGATTGGTTCCAAGAACAAATTCGAGAGTTTGATTAAGCTTAATTACAGCTTCCAACACATTCCAACTATATTGAAATTAAGTATAAACTATAACTGCAAACTGCTCAATGTTAAATGAAATGGCTTTAAAAGATTGCAACAAAAAGGGAAAAATTCCATTTGATGTAGATCTAGACCAATAACTAAATGTGTGCAAAATTTTAGATCATTCGCTCATTCCGTTTTTCCATATTTTTTTTTTTTTTTTTGACATTTGGCCCACTGTGATCGAGTACCTTTAATTAATCCTGGAGTGCGAGTACCTTTAATTAATCCTGGAGTGCATCCTTGCTTAAATTGGCTACTACTGGGTTGATGATCATTATCCCTCATTATGACACCAGTACTGGTTTAAGTTCCTTGAAGCACACAAGAATAGTGATTAAATATAGATTGAAAGGACTTGTTTTGCGATCAAGCTTAAATAAATATATTTAAACTAACTTGGCTAATTTATAATGTACATTCAGTATCTCTTAAATGTCATCTTGCAAATTTCTATGAATGAAATAATTCTATCATAAATGAATTTGACTTAAATGAATACAAAGTTGTTGGGGTTTTTTTTTTTACCAGAACTGATTTTACAATATTTATTGCCAAAAAACTTCTGTTACATAAAGTTATATCAAGTTTCTCAAAGATCTCAGGTGGTTGAAGCTTAAAGTACAAAATGTCATTAAGTAAAGGCACACCTATGTGTTCTAGATTTCTGAATCTTATTTATGTCAATTTTACACGCTAGCGTTTCATCACCATCTAAGATAATTTGCAGAGAAAATGATGCAGTAATGGTTTGAACTTTTACATTACATGTAATTATAAATTGAAAATATTTTCTATGAAAATATTGAAGTATGATTATTATTTTGTTGCATTTAAGTGAAATATATTAAATATAACTCATAGTGAGATAATAACTGTAAAATTATATTTGTGATGTGAATGAAATACTGACGTAGAAATAGTACAATATAGTTTAATGTACCATGTTTTTCAATGAGACACATAATTATACAATATTTATTGTTTATAATTTGGCAAGCTCAACAATTTCTGCCCCAGCATGTGACAAGCTCAGCAATTTCTGAGCCAAATGCTGGTGGCAATTTCAGTAAATTTTGCCAAAATAGGCAAGCTCAGCAGTTTCTGTCCCAACATGTGGCATGCTCAACAGTTTCTGCCCCAACATGTGGCAAGCTCAACAGTTTCTGCCCCAACATGTGGCAAGCTCAGCAGTTTCTGCCCCAACATGTGGCAAGCTCAGCAGTTTCTGCCCCAACATGTGGCAAGCTCAGCAGTTTCTGCCCCAACATGTGGCAAGCTCAACAGTTTCTGCCCAACATGTGGCAAGCTCAACAGTTTCTACCCCAACATGTGACAAGCTCATCAGTTTCTGCCCCAACATGTGACAAGCTCAACAGTTTCTGCCCCAACATGTGACACGCTCAACAGTTTCTGCCCAACATGTGGCAAGCTCAGCAGTTTCTGCCCCAACATGTGACAAGCTCAACAGTTTCTGCCCCAACATGTGGCAAGCTCAACAGTTCCTGCCCAACATGTGGCAAGCTCAGCAGTTTCTGCCCTAATATGTGGCAAGCTCAGCAGTATCTGTCCCAACATGTGGCAAGCTCAGCAATTTCTGAGCCAAATGCTGGTGGCAATTTCAGTAAATTTTGCCAAAATAGGCAAGCTCAGCAATTTCTGCCCCAACATGTGGCAAGCTCAGCAGTTCCGCCCCAACATGTGGCAGGCTCAGCAGTTTGTGCCCCAAACATGTGGCAAGCTCAGCAGTTTCTGCCCCAACATGTGGCAAGCTCAGCAGTTTCTGCCCCAACATGTGGCAAGCTCAACAGTTTCTGCCCAAACATGTGGCAAGCTCAGCAGTTTCTGTCCCAACATGTGGCAAGCTCAGCAGTTTTCTGCCCCAACATGTGGCAAGCTCAGCTGTATCTGCCCCAACATGTGGCAAGCTTAGCAGTTTCTGCCCCAACATGTGACAAGCTCAGCAGTTTCTGCCCCAACATGTGACAAGCTCAGCAGTTTCTGCCCCAACATGTGACAAGCTCAACAGTTTCTGCCCCAACATGTGGCAAGCTCAGCAGTTTCTGCCCCAACATGTGGCAAGCTCAACAGTTTCTGCCCCAACATGTGGCAAGCTCAGCAGTTTCTGCCCCAACATGTGGCAAGCTCAGCAATTTTTGCCCCAACATGTGGCAGGCTCAGCAGTTTGTGCCCCAAACATGTGGCAAGCTCAACAGTTTCTGTCCCAACATGTGGCAAGCTCAGCAGTTTCTGCCCCAACATGTGGCAAGCTCAGCAGTTTCTGCCCCAACATGTGGCAAGCTCAGCAATTTTTGCCCCAACATGTGGCAATCTCAGCAGTTTCTGCCCTAACATGTGGCAAGCTGAACAGTTTCTGCCCAACATGTGGCAAGCTCAGCTGTTTTTGCCCCAACATGTGGCAAGCTCAACAATTTTTACCCCAACATGTAGGTGACAATTTCAGTAAATTTTGCCAAAATATGGCAAGCACAGCATTTTTTTGCAAAGATGCATGTCATGATTAGGCATCATGTGATAAATGTTTGCAATTTTAGTGCAGCAAATTTTCTTGTTTAATTTAATATTTTCGTTAAAAGTTATTGTGGTTAATATTATAAGTGTTGTTTCAGCCATGTTCACTACACTAGCACATGAACATTGATATTAAACTGTCAGCTGATCCTACTGAATAGAAAGCATGATTGAGAAATTATTATTAGTACAAAGCATGATGTTATATGATATTAATGTTAATACATTTTCTTTATATTTCAGTCATTCCAACAACGATTTACGTTCCAGAGCAAGGTAAATATATTTTACTTCTTTGCGTTATAGTTTACATTTAACCTGCTAATGAGAAACTTAAAGCCATAAGCCCTTGCCACTAGTATAATTTAGCCATCGGAATGTGCAGACTGGCCTGAGGCTCTGACAATCGGCCAGGGTTGCATTTTATGGAAAGTCCTAGGTCTTAAATATGTCTTAGACCAGTCTACTTAAAGCGATTGGCCTTTGCCACCAGTATAGAGCCATCGGAATGTGTAGATATCAATGACCAGGTTCTATACTGTTTGCTGGGATTGCATTTCATGGAAAGTCCTAACATTTGAATAAGTCTTAAGACCAAAACTGAGACAATTTTCGTTTCAAAGAAAATGTCTAACTTACGACTCTTATGTTATGACTGAATAGTGATGCAGATAAACATTTCGTCACCTTAGTGCAGTAACATGTTAAGTCCTAAATTTAATAGGAGTTAACCAGTTATTGTACTAAAGGTGATGTTTTCTACATAATGGTTTAACTTTTCTCAGGAGAATGTTAGATAAAACTTTTACTTAAGATGTAAAAATTTGTTGAAACGGTCTTAACTTAGTCTTATAGCTTTCATTAAAGTCCTAGGATTTAGGATACACTTAGGACTTTCTATGAAATGCAGTCCTCTTTTTTCTTGAAATCTCAAAAACCTGATAATAGTTCAGCAGGGAAAGGGTCAATTGTGTTTAGCATGGCCAAAAAGAACTTTTGGAATGAAGTCAAGTTAAATTACTGTACATATCAGGTACATAATGATACAAAACTGGAAAAATTATTTTATAGGAAGTTGACATATTTACCTCTCAACCTAGAAATAATGGGTTAAAGTCCTTTAATTATGCAGGAAACCACCATGATTCCTTATTTGAAACCAGTATTGATTTGTTCAGAAAGCCAACTTGATGATGGTTCATGTGAGATGCAAAAATTTATTTCACAATCAAGCTATAAAATAATATAAAATGAAATTGTTTTATATTTATGAAGGATATAACATAAATATATTGCATTTTATTACAATATTAAATGAATCAACTATAGGTCTCTGTTCCCAGTTATGTAGACTATTTGATTTTTTCAAATGTACAAAGTATTAACGTAATAACACTGTAATTAGCTTGAACATTAAATATCAGTAGTAAAAATATAGCCTGTTATTAATGGACCATTAAGAGACTACCTTTGCCTATTTAACAGAGATTATTGCTTTTGTTCTACATTCCGAGTCTTTGTATATTATTTTTGATAAATACCTCTATCAAAATGACATAATGACTGTTCCACTTTTAGCTTGTCTGTTTCGAAGAAAAAGTCAAGCCATTGCCGTGGCAACGTCATTGTTGTCTTTGTTGTTGTGCAACATGTAGCACATCATACATACATTTAAAGCATAATTATTCCCTGCGGGCCGGAGCCCGCAGGGTATTGGTACGCGTTTAATTTTTGATGCATGGAGGAGCACGTGACCTGTATTTGGTACATGGAGGAGCATGTGATCTGTTAACCGCACATGATTGGTTAATTGACCTTTTCGAAAACCTAGCTAAATACTGTTTGCCGGTACGTTAAGGATTTACCTCTAGGAAATTAGTCCGAATTACAACTAATTAAGATCAAAGCACAGAAGGCGCTGAATTTGTTTGGGTCAGAAAGGTGAAGGTTGTGAGATTATAAACCAGTTTGTTTGTATTATTAGTGCCCCAATGCTGTTTCTAGTGTTTTAACTATAGTAAATTGGCTATAAGTCTAATTGCAACACTGATATTCAATTCAATGTTTATTTGGCTTAAACAATTAAAAAAAACCCAAAAAACAAACAAACAAACAAACAAAAAAAAAGAAAAAAAAGAAAAAAACATGAACTGCCTGTACTGGGATTTGAACTCCAGACCTCTCACTTCAAAAGCGAGCCTGTAAACCCCTTGACCATGGGGAGTTGTCAGATAACAGCTTGAAGACTACAATGTCATGTACCATATTATTCTAAATTAGAGTTTGTAACCCTTGTTAATTTCGATATATTTTGTTCACGGTAAACCTGTTGTTTAACGTTGTTTAACACTGAAGTAAATAATCATGGAGCTGAATATAAGCATGTATATCTATAAGAATAACATAATATTAGAAATCTTCGACCAATCAGAAACTATTTTTTTCGTTACGAAAATGAATGCGCCTGTCATTTGACGCAGTGATCGCCCCTTAATTTTTCGGCGTTAATGTACATATGAAGGGAAGAAACTGTTTGAGGAGTTTGGACTACTTTGCAAATAAGAACATCAGGGTCTGAAATTTCGCTACCATTATTTGTTTGGTCTGACGACCCAAACAAATAAAAATAACACTATTACGTGATATTTCTAATTTTCTATTATTGTTTTACCGTTTAAGGTGGAAAAACTTCAATAATGTGTTTGAAAATTTTACAAATAGTAAAAATCTACAGAATTAATTAAAACATTCGTAGTGGCATCTGCCATAATAAGTAGAGATATTTTCCGCGTAAACTTGTGTGTTTGCTTTATTTATTTTTGCAAGGAATTATTCATACAATGGTATTTAATCATTTTCTTAAAAAGAAATCATTGTTTTATTTTCGACCTTCTCCGGTCTTCAACGGGCACCAGTCTCCAAAGACCTTCTTCTATTGATCGACTTTTGTCACAACTGTTTATTTTTTATTTATTTTTTGTGTGTGTTTTTTGTTTTTCTTTTTTTCCCAAACAATGTTGAAAAAAGTTAAACGAAAAATCTTTAAATTATTAAAAATATTCCCCGCAGGAAACCATTTTACTTGTTATGAAATTTTGGAATACTTGCTGAGCAAGACAAGGTGCAGTTGTTAGACAAGGGGCATAATTCTAAAAGCAATATTTTTGGAGTTGTGCCCCTTTTTAACTTAGAATTTTTAGCTGACGAGCGTTTACACCGCATGCTATGATTTTGTTTTTTAAATTAAATGTGGTCCTGTGAAATTCTGAAACATATTCATGTGAGAAAAGTATTTTGACATTAATTTTGTAGAAAACCTTGAATCTTCGATAAACATGCCTAGAAGAAAGGTCATCAGAGACAATTTTTATATCTATTTAATCAATGCTGTAAAAGGGTTGTAAATTGCAAGCTTTTCATTTCTTGCACAGAGAAAAGTTTCTGTAATAAACTTCTTGAGTTTATGCTCTTATTGGATTAGTAAAACATGATATTAAAGAACTTGAGTGTTTTACACATGAAAAAGCTGATATTTGTATAGAATTAAGGGTTGTTGTTTTTTTTCTGAGAAATCTAGGACATTTATTTTATTGCGTGGTAAATTTGAACACTGTTTGTTCCATTGTTAAACAACTGTTATTTAATTTGCCATATTGTTGAATGTATGACTGGAGTTTTTATTACTTTACTACAATGTTTATATGATATTACTATCCCATAATGCATTTATCTGGAGTCGGTATTGCGTGTTTATATTGTTACACACAACTATCAGAAAATGGAAAATTTTTGCTGAGTTTGCTGTGGGTTGAATTTGGAGCAGGCCATTTAAAGCTTTAAATGGATTTCAATTTTAAAATACAAAAATTGGCCTACCAACATTATTGTGGTAAAGGCTAGTAAGTTTTGTGTCTAGCTTCGTTTGAATCCAAAGTCCTTGGAAGGATTTGAACCCAGAGCGGTGAGGGGCAAGTTGTTCAATGTGAAAGATGTTTACCACTCTGTGACCGTACTTTTCAGGCTCAAGCAGCTTAAGGGGTTTATTTTAGCCCTATGAAAATAAAACTAGATCTGTGTGACAAGAATCATGCATGGCTAAATCTGCATAGCCATTGGCCGCTCACTTTTAGTTCTTTGATACTGCTGAGCTAAATCCTTCAAATTGCAACTGATTTGTTCTGTATATTTTATAAATGAAATATTTATTTTAAGTATGTAAGATACAAGTCAGAAATGTTTTAAGTTTTGTAATAAAATAAATGAAAACTCAAATGAAAACTGTTGAAAAAAGACGTTGCCCATCCAAAATTATCTTGATTGACCCTTTGACAAGTCTGATTTAAGTTGGACTAGTAAACCCTTAGTTTTCTTTAATAAGAAAGTGGAAAAAATACAGATTGTATTGCCCTGCACATATGATATAAAATTTTGAAAAAAAATAATCTTCAAGTCATTATGACCCGGCTCTTAAACTATGTTATTGGCAATATAATGCAAGAGTATGATTTCTCTCAGTTTGCAGAATTTCCAATTGTCAAAATGGCATATTATGATGTAGCATGCTGTTTATGTCAAGTCTTATTAAGCTTTCTGCAACAATATTCAACCTTGTCATATTTGGCTAATAGTATACAGTATGAGTCATGCATTGTCTCGCATTGCTGTAGGTATTATATGAGAATCTGAGAGTCTTAAATTCAGCTCATTGACTACCAATATCAAAATGATAAGTATTTTAACCCTTATACCACACTAAATATCTTAAATGGACATACATGTATCTGTACAAGCCATTCATAATGTTAAGGGGGAAAAAAATCAACATAATTTTATTTCTGTACTAAATGAGCAGGGAATTGTCAGTGCAGACCATGATCAGTAGGTACAGATATGCTGGTTTATCTTGGTCTACACTGGTTGTTGCATGGGTAAAATCAGTCACAGCAATATCAGGCACTGGACAAAATTATAGATCATTGACAACATATATTAAAATATTTGATATTGTAGTACTAGTGGACTTGTTATAATGTCCTTTGGATATAGAAAATTCTCATTTTTAGTTTTTAAAGCTTTTCCATATGAACAAATGCTAAAACCATTAGCAGCCAAAAGTATTGAGAATTGAGACTGGTTGACTCATACTGGCCTGACTTATATACTAGACCATCTGTAATATTACTGAATGCTTAAATGTCCACCTGACTTTCAGACCTATACTAGACCATCTGCAATATTACTGAGTGCTTAAATGTCCACATTACTTTCAGACCTTACACTAGACCATCTGTAATATTACTGAGTGCTTAAATGTCCACATTACTTTCAGACCTACACTAGACCATCTGTACTGATAACTGAGTGCTTAAATGTCCATCTTACTTTCAGACCTACACTAGAACAGCTTTAATGTTACAGAGTGCTTAAATGTCCACCATAATTTCAAACCTACACTAGAACATCTGTAATATAACTGGGCGCTTAAATGTCCACCTTAATTTCAAACCTACACTAGACCATCTGATATATAACTGAGTGCTTAAATGTCCACCTGACTTTCAGACCTACACTAGACCATCTGATATATAACTGAGTGCTTAAATGTCCATCTTACTTTCAGACCTACACTAGACCATCTGATATATAACTGAGTGCTTAAATGTCCACCTGACTTTCAGACCTACACTAGACCATCTGATATATAACTGAGTGCTTAAATGTCCACCTTACTTTCAGACCTACACTAGACCATCTATAATATAACTGGGTGCCTATTTGTCCCCATTACTTTCAGACCTACACTAGAACATCTGTAATATAACTGGGTGCTTATTTGTCCACCTTACTTTCAGACCTACACTAGACCATCTGTAATATTACTGAGTGCTTAAATGTCCACCTTACTTTCAGACCTATACTAGACCATCTGTAATATTACTGAGTGCTTAAATGTCCACCTTACTTTCAGACCTATACTAGACCATCTGTAATATAACTGAGTGCTTAAATGTCCACCTTACTTTCAGACCTACACTAGACCATCTTTAATGTTACTTAATTTCAGACCTACACTTGACCATATGTAATATAACTGGGCGCTTAAATGTCACCTTAATTTCAAACCTACACTAGACCATCTGATATATAACTGAGTGCTTAAATGTCCACCTTACTTACACTAGACCATCTGTAATATTACTGAGTGCTTAAATGCCACCTTACTTTCAGACCTACACTAGACCATCTGATATATAAACTGAGTGCTTAAATGCCAACCTTACTTATAGACCTACACTAGACCATCTGATATATAACTGAGTGCTTAAATGTCCACCTTACTTTCAGACCTACACTAGACCATCTATAATATAACTGGGTGCCTATTTGTCCCCATTACTTTCAGACCTACACTAGAACATCTGTAATATAACTGGGTGCTTATTTGTCCACCTTACTTTCAGACCTACACTAGACCATCTGTAATATAACTGAGTGCTTAAATGTCCACATTACTTACACTAGACCATCTGTAATATTACTGAGTGCTTAAATGTCCACCTTACTTTCAGACCTATACTAGACCATCTGTAATATAACTGGGTGCTTATTTGTGCACCTTACTTTCAGACCTAACACTAGACTATCTGTAATGTTACTGAGTGCTTAAATGTCCACCTTACTTTCAGACCTATACTAGACCATCTGTAATATTACTTCGAGTGCTTAAATGTCCACCTTACTTTCAGACCTACACTAGACCATCTGTAATATTACTAAGTGCTTAAATGTCCACCTTACTTTCAGACTAACCTAGCCCTTCTGAATATTACAAATGTTTAAAATGCCCCCTTTTACTTTAAACCTAATAGCATCTGAAATGTTACTGAGTGTTTAAAATTTCCACTGATTTTTCAGATTATACAAACCCATTTTTTAAAATTTACTGAGTGCTTAAATGCCCCCTTTCTTTCAGACCAAAACTGGGACCTCTGAATTAACTGGGGTTTTAAATCCTCCCTTTTACTTTCAAAACCACACTAGCCCTTTTCTGTAATATTACTGAGGTTTAAAATCCTCCCTTACTTTCGACCATACTGGCCCATCTGAATTTTACGATGTTTAAAATGCCCATTTTCTTCCCTGGGGGCCATTTTGAAATATTCGGGTGTTAAAAGCCCCCTTATTTAAACCACACTGGGCCATCGCAATGTTATTAAAATTCCCAAACCCTTAAACTTTAAACTCCCTTTGACCTTTGTTAGAAAACGAGGTTTTTAAATCCCAAACCCTTATTATGACCTACACTGCCCATCTTTTCTGAGTGCTTAAAGTCCCCCTTACTTTCTAAGACATTTTAATTTTGCAAAAATGTGGGGCAAATTTTTGACCTGTGAAATTCCATTTTTGGGGACACCCTTAAAATGGGGGAATTTTCCATTGAAATAACTTTGGTATTAATGATAAAAAAAATTTTTTGTATAGAGTTGGGTTATAAAATTGAAAATTTTGGGGAAAAGAAAAAAGAGTTTTCGGGGATTTACTTTATAAAAATTTTGGAATTTTTATTTTAAAGGTTTGCAAATTAAATTCAAAAAGAGTTCGGGGAATTTATTTTCAAAAGGGGGTTTGGGGAGTTACTTAAATATTTAATTTCCCTTAAGTACCCAAATTTCTTTTCCAATTAAAAAATTTTTCATCAAAATTTTGGGGCCCCTTCCCCCTTGATCTAGGGGGGACACGGGAAAGGGGTGTTATTTTGATTTTTTTTAAATCTTAAAAACCTTTATCCCACTTTAAATGTTTTAAAAATTTTAAAAAAATTATTTAAATTTACTAAAAACAAAGATTTTTTATATGGGGGAAAAATAAAACCTTTTTTTTCAGTTTTTAATTTTTATACCTTTTAATTTTAAAAGGGATTTTAACTTTTTTGTTATTTTAAATAGAAAGAATGAAAATGGCCCTACTTTTTATATTTTTAAAAAATTTTAATTTTCAAATTACAACAAAAAATAGCTTTGAAAAAACCTAATACCACCATTTGTAAAATTCCCCTAATCTGTTTTTTTGTAAATTTATTATTTTAAAAATCACTCCTTAAACCCTTAAGTGGGGGCAATAAAATCTGCCCCCTCCGGGCCCCCCATGAAACCATGCTTTTTGATATTTTTGCACAGCTTATAATCAATCTTTACATTTTTTAAATTTTCCGTATAATAATGAATGGTGTTCCAGTTTTGAAAGATAAAATTTCATTTAATAAAGTATATTTTTTTTGAGGGAAAGGGGTTAAAAATACAAAACTTTTTTTGTTGTTTTTGGCAGGGTTGTTATTTATTCCCAAAAACATGCACATTTAGTTTGTTTTTAAATAAATTATATCCTATTTTTAAAATTATACAATATTTTTTTTGGGATCTGGGGGAAAAAAACTTTTCCCAAACAAAATTTTCCCGATATGGGCCTCGGTCCCCTTAAAGGGTTAAATTTTTAACCAACAGGTTCCCCTTTTTTTAAGGGGGAAAAAAATTTGTATTTCCCCGGGATTACGGGGAAAAATGGAAAAAATTTAAAGCCAGGTTTTATTTGGGGTTACAAAAATAAAACACTGTAACGATATATTTAAATGTGCGGGATAACTGGCTGTACCCTTTTTATTTGTATATTTCGGGAAATTTTTACAAAAAGTTTTTTTCATGGTGCAAAGACCTATCAAAACCAAAGAACCCTGGTTTTTGAGAAACGATTGAAGGCTTTGCCCAAGGGGGAACATCGGGAAAACTTACCCCCATCTTGGATTAAAAATTTCCCAAAAAAGGTATGATCTCCATTTTTTCAGGGTCTAAAAAGGTTGTATTACTTATAAATTAAAGGGGCCTTTAAATTTTTGATCTTTTATCTTTGGGCCAAAAAATTCCTTCATTATTATAAAGGCCTTAGGAAAATTTTAATACATTTTTTCAGGGGTTTTGGGAATTAAAGAAAAAAAAAGTTATATTTTTTATAAAAATTCCCAAAAAGTTTGCAAAAGCTTTTGGTTTTTTAATTGGGACCTCATTAAAGTAAATCTAAAAACTGTTTTAGAAATTTTCTTGGGCCACCGGGGAATAAACCCCCAAAAATAAATTTTTCAACAACTTTCCTTTTCTAAACGATTGACGGGGATTGGAATTTGGCAAATTTAAATTATTTGATACTGAACCCTTTTTTGGAAATTTTTCGGGGGCTTTAAAAGAGATTTAAATTATAGAAAACCCTTTTCCCAAAAACCCCACTATATGGGTTTTCCCTTTTTTCCCAACTTCTTATTCACTTATGGGCAGTTTTTTGCAATTTATCAATTTTTTTGTCTGTTACAAAAAACACTGAAAATTAGTTTTTTATTACTCTTTAAAATTAATAACGACTGATAAAACCATTCAGTTTTGAAGTTTAAAAGCCAATTCTAAATTTTTAAAATTTAAAATTATATCAAATTTCCTTTTTTAGTTTTATCCTTACTTTCTTTAAAAATTTGTAATTTAAAAAACAAAATTTATTTCCCCTTTTGGCGAGTTTTTGGGTACATGAAAAACTTTTGCTTTTCCCAAAAATTTTCCTATATTTTATTTTTTTTTTTTCCCTTTTCCTGTTTAAAAAAAATTCAGTTGTTTTTGTATTTTGCGATGGATTTTTTTTTTTGGCGCTTTTTTATCTGGGATCACCCCATATTGTTAAAATTTTTTTGGGAGTCCAAAATGCTTTTCCCCTGATTATACTATTTTTAAAACCGGAACCCCCTTTATGTCGTTTTAAAAATTAAAAACAAAAATTGAAAACCAGTACCATTTTAAAATTTAAAGCTTTGCCCCTTTTGGTTAAATAAATTTTCCAAGCGCAATTAGACACTGAGTTTAAAATTGGGTGCCTTTTTAAAGCCTTTCCAGAAAAATTCTTTTTTATTTGACATTTTATATTTTATGCAGTGAATGATTTGCTATTTATATGAGCCGCATCACGACAAAACCAACATAGTGCATTTGCGACCAGCATGGATCCAGACCAGCCTGCGCATCCGCGCAGTCTGATCAGGATCCATGCTGTTTGCTATCGGTTTCTCTACTTGTTATAGGGTCTGTAAGTGAACAGCATGGATCCTGATCAGACTGCGCGGATGCGCAGGATGGTCTGGATCCATGCTGGTCGCAAACCCATTATGTTGGTTTTGTCGTGACGCGGCTCATATTACTTTGTTTCTTAAGTCTGACAATCTTTTGTTGCTGTCAAAATATTATATTGACCTTCACTTTTTGTTTCAGGGATCTTTTAAGTCTTCTTTACGTAAGAAAAGTAGAAAATCTTCATTAAAACGTAAGAAAGGAAGTAGTAAAGAGATGGGTGAAGTTCAACGACCTTTTATTATTAAACCGATTCCTTCTCCATTGCTCAAACCTCTCCTCGTGTTCATTAACCCAAAATCGGGCGGCAACCAAGGGGGGAAACTCCTGCATAAATTTTGTTGGTTGTTGAATCCGAGACAAGTGTTTGATCTTAGTAATGGTGGACCAAAGATGGGGTAAGTATACGTTAAAACTAGAACAGTTAATGCAGTTTTACATTTTTGTTTAGTAATGTTGCAGTTGTTCAGATAATAAACCTTGCAGAAATTATCAACATCATCATACTGCAAAGTGTTCAAACATGATGAATATTTCTTCAAATCACTTGCCCTTCACCATTGTGGGTGCCAGTCTCGCCACAGTTTTCAAACATGATGAATATATTCCCTCAAATCACTTGCCCCTCACCATTGTGGAGTCGAATCTTGCCAGGAATTGTGGAAGGAAGCTATACTGCTAGCTTACGGGTCGGTGGTTCTACTCTGGGTGATATGCCCATGCATGAAATATTTAGCACAAATAGGCACATGAGGTCTTCCTTTATCAACGCAGCTGGAATGTGCTAGTGTGAGTAAAAACTTAATTACAACATCGAAACTAGCTTACAGAACACTGGACACTGGTGGTTCTACTAAAGTACCTGTTTGTGCCTGAACTAAGGCACGGAAGGGCAACTGAGGTCTTTTTTTGTTTGTTTTTTTTTTAATGCGTTTATTTAAGGTCGCGGCCGGAAAGCCCATATGGGCGACCGTACACTCAAGTCGGGCCATCGTAGAGCGTCCTGCCGAGATTTTTTCGTCGTTTTTTTTCCAATTTTATTGGTGGAGGAAGACCCCATGTGCCCCTTCGGGTATTATTTCAGACGCGAGCGGGTACCTGGGTAGAACCACTGACCTTCCGTAAGCCAGCTGGATGGCTTCCTAACATGAAAGATTTCGACCCGAGTGAGGATCGAACCTACAGCGGTGAGGGACCTGTGATCTCAAGTCAGCGACCTTAACCACTCGGCCACGGAGGCCCCCACTAAGGTCTTCCTCCGCCTAGTAAATTTGGAAAAACGCCATATGACCAAAACTGCGTTGGTGCGACTTAAAACCCAACGATTAAAAACAAGCAACAACATTGAACAAAAGTATAAATAATGAATTCTTGTTTATTTAGATAAGAAGATGACAGTATGAGAAAACATTCAAATGTTTTTTATGTTTGAGGAATAGTTAAGGTTGACTGTATCCAGACAGTTTGTAATTTGATGATGAATCTATTGTCAGAATTCTGAAGAAGATTTTAATTATATTAGAATTGTTAAATTTAAAGGCTTGTCAAATCCGCATTGAAAGAAAATATATGACAGAAGAAAGAAAGCAGACGGAGTTTGCATGTAAAGAGGAATATAGATTTATATACATTGTCACCTTAGTGCAGTAATAGGTTATGTCCTTCTAAATTTAATAGGAGTAACCCAGTCACTAAGGTGACAACGAGACATGAGCCTTTGTAGTAAATCATATTTTATTTTTTAGGCTGGACCTCTACAAAAAAGTGCCTAATTTGCGAGTGTTGGTGTGTGGTGGGGACGGCACAGCGGGCTGGATCCTGAGTGCCATAGATACATTAAACCTACCAAGCCCACCACCTGTAGCCATATTGCCACTCGGCACTGGCAATGATTTGGCTCGAACCCTTAACTGGGGTGGGGTAAGTATTGTTTAATAAGAACAATCACTGACTTGATAATTCCAGTAAAACTTGAATATCATTGAATTGTTGAAAAAATTTGCCTTTTGTGTGTTGAAATCCTACCAAGATAGATAGCTGTATAGCTTATAATAAGTTGGTAGTTTTACTAAAATTGAAACTTGATTATAATATGTAATACAGAGTAGCTTATGAAATCTTTCTGTCATTGGTAAGGCCTATGAAGTGGTCATAATTATCACATGAATAGTGTCCATCTGACTTTAAAGTTAAAATAAAAAAATAAATAAAAAAAAACAAGCCATGTGACTTTAAAAGTACAGTGATGCAAGTGTCTGCAAAATAGTGTAGCCACATGGTTTAAAATAAGCGTGATATTTATAGTGCACACCTGCTACCTGCCACTTCAATGTTTATTGTCTATTCCAATTTAATTTATAGTACCTTTGTACTGAAATGAAAGAAATAACCATGTTATATAACCCTATTGCAAGAACAAATATTTATAATTATTATTATTAGATTCCTTTTTTCTTTATTTTCAAATACGAAGATCACAAATATATTTTTTCTAATGGAATTAAAATTGCCAAGATGTGGTACATTTGTATTTTAGTATTTTGTACTTTGTTCACTTTCCTCGGTCTTGCCGTAATTTGTTCACTTTTTTGGTGAAGAGGTCTTGACATCATCGTCTATGATTTCCACTGGAGTAGCATTTCATTGGCTTAAATAGTTCATTGTTATTGTAAAATTACTTGTGTTCCATCATACCGTTGTTGTAACTTGAGTCAAGACGGTGTTTGTTTATAGTTCCAATATTCTAAAACAGGTTCAATTGCTGGTAATAATGCCAGTATTATTGGACTATAGCTCTAACAGCACTGTCAATCAACAAGAACAATAACTCTACCATTACAGTCAATTAACAAGGGCTATTACTCTTCCATTACTGTTAATAAACAAGGGCTATTACTCTACCATTACTGTCAGTTAACAAGGGCTCTAACATCACTTTCATTCAACAAGAACTATAACTCTATAACTATAACGTGATGTGTTAGTTATTAGCATGCAATACAGAATAGAGAAAGAAATGCAGATTTTATTAAAATTGATGCCTGTTAAAAAAAAAGTGAGAAAAGTGCTTAACTTAAATATTTTTTTTATGTTTCATTTGTTTGTTTCACTTTTTCTCTAGAAAAGACATTAATTTTACTTTTCTAGAATATCTCTCAGCTGCACTGTTTGCTGAAAGTGTGAGCCAAAAGGCAATAAACAATGCTCAGTCTCCCATCAAGTGAAAACAAATATTTCCACAATGGCTTTAAGTCTTCGAAATGTCAAATGAATTCCATGTGAATTTAGTTTTCCTTTAACTAATTACCGAGCTGTCTTGTGAACTTTATCTAAATGCCATGACACTGAAACACAAATGTTTTGAAGACAAAATTCTGGAAGAAACAACAAAAAATTGTTGTTCACCAGGTTTTAGATTGGTTTTCACACTTTTATTTTCTCTGAGTTTTCTTTAACACTGTCATGAATTTTATATGACTGTTGTTTCGTACTTGAACAGAACCTGAAATTAATTTGTCAAGGTTTTTTTTGCTGTGTTGAAATAAAACTTTTAAATGTATCTCTGAATGACAAAATATTTCCTTGACTAAAATCAAGAGCAGAATGATGCACTTCCTGTTATGTAGATGAGGTACGCTTGATAATTATTTCCATTATTCTTGGAATAATGTTCCGGTACTGTTAATGTTTCTGTCAAAAGAAGCTCATGAATATGAATGCATGTAAAAGTGACTTAATTATATTGTGTGTTGATTCTTAGTGCTATAGGGGTTATCAATTATGCCATGGAAAGGACAGTCTGCAATTGTCAGTGCAGCTGCACCAAGTTCCCTACAATGTTGATAGCTCAATTTCAATACCTTAACATTTTTTTAAGCTTATAAAACTCACTTATCTTCAAATCCAGATTCAGCAAGAAACTGAAAAGGTTCATTTGCATAATGTTCAATTTAATTTAAAAAATGTCATGTTTTAGGTGTAAAGTACTTGCTTTTATTATATTATATAAATGAAGGTTACTAGTGTAAAAATATTTTTTAGATTCAGATACATTGCCTTTTGTAATGCAAATTTATTGCTATAAGGTTATAAAGGAAAAGCAAAATATAAATTTGACAATAACAACAGGGTAACAGTCTAAGTTGTGGCCCTTGTTAATTGACAGATGTGGTAGAGTTATAGTTCTTGTTGAATGAAAGTGATGTTAGAGCTATAGTCCTTGTTAATTGACAGAAATGGTAGAGTTATAGTCCTTGTTGAATGCAAGTGATGTTAACTTAGAGCTATAGTCCTTGTTGATTGACAGTAATGGTGGAGCTATAGTCCTTGTCAATTGACAGTAATGGTAGAGTTATAGTTCTTGTTGGTTATAACTTTTAATTATATAATTATAATACCATGCTTAAAGGGACTTTACTGAGGTTTTTTGACGTGAAGGGTTCCGAAGCTATTTTTTCAAGTTTTTTGTATAACTAGATTTATGTCTAGACCAATAACTCATGTACTAAATTTCAGATCATTCGCTCACTCCGTTACCCAGAAATAATCAATTTTATTGTGCAAATTTGCCCAATAAATGAAAACCGTTTAAACGCTTTTCACTCAAATCGGCCAAAAAATCACATAAAAATCAATTATCAATTTCATACCATGTATATTTATATATCATCTATTGCATAGTTTCAAATTTAAAGCTACATTAAATAAATTTCATAAAAAACAGAAATAGCGACATTTCATTTATACATTGGGTTTCTGATATCGACTCCAGATCTTATTATGGTGGCAAGACAACCAAAATGAGTTTTATAAGCATACATATCTGCGACCTCATTGTGGCGAAATCGGAAGTACAATTTCTGTTTGCATAAGAAACTCCGCCTTCGGATTATCCGTACATCAATAATAAATCAACAAACATGGCGATAAGTAGCAGTCCTAATATAACAGTATATTTCCGCATTGTAACGGATGTTTTCATACAAATTTAATATTTTTATCAGATGATTACTCTTTCTTGAACGCCATGCCAAGTGTACCGTGAAGCTAAAACGGTTAAAGTGTGTTTGCACATGAAAATCTCATATTTGCTGTGATCTGTTTAGCAACTATAACACTGTGACGTAGCACATACACGAACTGATTATAGTCTTCATTTGCATGTTAAAATTCGTATACGAACTTTAGTGTTACCGTGGGGTTTTCCGATTATAATCCTAATTTATGAACAATGTTTGACGAGATTTACAACAATACAGTTAAAAAGGTTAATGAAACTGCATAATGCTTGGTTTTTATGCTGACTGTAAAATATTTTTTTCCATATTTATTTAATGTAACTTTAAATGTACCAGTTGATTTAAGAAAGAATTTCAAAATTTATTATTTAAGGCTATTGGACCTCAGTGGAGTTCCTTTAATACAATCATCAGTAAAAAAGGTTTTAAAAGAAGTACCAAATTATTAGTTGTTCAGATTTTAATTTCTGTGTAATTGTAACAGAATAATCAGTAAACTTTTAATCATTGATTTTGTTTAGAACAATTGTGTTTTATATTTTAATTTTGCAGTTTAATAACTTGAATCTCATTCCCATAAGAGCAATCATTGTGACATATGATGGGAAGTATGTGATGCATATTAAAATGATCCCCAGTGATATAAAGTGCCTGTGTACTTTCATTCTTTTATGTACAATTTACCAACGAAAAGGTGATAAAAATGAATTAAGCAAGTCAATATGGGGAAGATAGCTACCAGTTTTGTAGATTAATTTTACTTTTTCAGCTTAGTGTTTTAAGATTTATATTATTGCTTGTTTTTTTTAATGTCAGGAGATTGATTTGGAAGGCTTCAATGTCAAAACATGTATTTTATTGCAGACAAATTTGTAATTTTTTTCCCTTCTAATATTCCTGAAGGCATTGTGATAAGGAATCAAAGTTTTATCGTAATGGTGTTGTGTTTGTTCTTCAGGGTTTTTGAATGTTGACATCGTTCATTAAATATATTGAATTTTAGACATTGTTCTTTAAATTCATTTGGCTAGGGAATTTCCTCTTAATGCTGATTGGGTAAGGACACTGCTCAGTCTGTTCAATGAGTAGGACATTGTTCTTTGTAGTCATTGGCTAACACATTGTCCTATAGGTTCATAGAGCTAGAACATTGCTCCCTATGTTAACTTGGCAAGGAGATTTTTCTTTATGTTAATTGAGCTAGTTCATTTCCCTTTATGTTCAAAGGGCAAGGAGATATAATATATTCATTTAGCTAGGTTTTTGCACTTATGTTCATTTGGCTAGATCATTGCTCCTTTTGTTCATTGGGCAAGGAGATTGCTTTTTATGCTCATTGAGTTAGAACATTACTCCGTATGTTCATTGGGCATGGACATTGCTCTATATGTTTAATGGGTAAGGACATTGTTCTTTGTTGTCATTGTACTAACACATTTCCCTTAAGGTTCACTGAATTAGAACATTGCTCCCTATGTTCATTGTGCAATGAAATTGCTCTTTATGGCCATTGTGCAAGGAGATTGTTCTTTATGGCCATTGGGCAAGGAGATTGTTCTTTATGGCCATTGGGCAAGGAGATTGTTCTTTATGGCCATTGTGCAAGGAAATTGCTCTTTATGGCCATTGTGCAAGGAGATTGTTCTTTATGGCCATTGGGCAAGGAGATTGTTCTTTATGGCCATTGGGTAAGGACATTGTTTTTTGTAGTCATTTGGCTAACACATTGCCCTATAGGTTCATAGAGCTAGAACATTGCTCCCTATGATAATTTGGCAAGGAGATTTTTCTTTATGTTAATTGAGCTAGTTCATTTCCCTTTATGTTCAAAGGGCAAGGAGATATAATATATTCATTTAGCTAGGTTTTTGCACTTATGTTCATTTGGCTAGATCATTGCTCCTTTTGTTCGTTGGGCAAGGAGATTGCTTTTTATGCTCATTGAGTTAGAACATTACTCCCTATGTTCATTGGGCATGGACATTGCTCTATATGTTTAATGGGTAAGGACATTGTTCTTTGTTGTCATTGGGCTAACACATTTCCCTTAAGGTTCACTAAATTAGAACATTGTTCCCTATGTTCATTGTGCAAGGAAATTGCTCTTTATGGCCATTGGGCAAGGAGATTGTTCTTTATGTTCATTGGGCAAGGGGATTGTTCTTTATGTTCATTAGGCAAGGAAATTGCTCTTTATGTTCATTGGGCAGGGAGTTGTTCTTTATGTTCATTTGGCAAAGAGATTGCTCTATATATTCATTGGGCAAGGAAATTGCTTTTATATTCATTAGGTAAGGAAATTGCTCTTTAGGTCCAATGGGCTAGATCATTGCTCTTTAGGTTCATTGGACAAGGACCTTGCTCTATATCATATTTTGCTTTCGGGCAGGTACATTATCCTTTATGTTCATTTAGCCACAACATTCTCCTTAAGATTTATTGGGCAGAGACAATGTTCTTAAAGATCATTGGGGCTAGGATATTGTTTGTGATGTTCAATGGGCAATGAGATTATTCTTTATTTTCTTTAGATTAGAACATGTTCAGGTACAATAATTGCTCATTGGGTTAATTGAGCTAAAATTTATTTGCGCTATAGATAGGTTTTTTTTATTAAAGTAAAGATATTTCCCTCTTATTTCATTTGATTTCAACATGATTGCATTCAACAAAGGGTTGCTTGGCTAATATTATGTTGATGACTTGATAAATAAAAATATGTTTTATAGATTTGTGTTGTCTTGAATTTGGAACTGTCCATTATTTGAGGTTCTTTGATAATCCATTCCCTGCAATTAAGCAGCCACAGTACAGAATCTATTCAGACAGAAATTATATTGTTATGTCTGTTTAATGCATACACATACTAAATTAGTTGATAAACATGCCATTATCATGTGAGGATTGTTTTGCTGTATACAATGAATGTTTCAGGTGACAATGGAAACATCTCCATGTAATTTGAAATACATGTATATACATTTTTATGCAAAATAAAACATTTATAATTGGTCACAGAAAATTATACTGTTTACAAAGGTTTTATAACAATAATTGCAACAAAATTTGATATGAAACCATTAAATTTGTTGTTATAACATACCTAAAGTTCATTACTCTTATTTATATGACCAAAATGCTCTGCTTAGCAGGAAATAATCCCATAATTAAAACACAAAATTTAGTGTCGACTGGTTCAGAGTTTCATTTTTTGTTGATATAATGTATAAAGGTATACTCATTAGATACATAACCAGTCAATTTGTGAAAATGTTACATCCAATTACTGTATCATGTGTCTCGAAATCTGTGAGAAAAAACAAACATTGTGGGCACATCTTTTCATACTTCTGTCCATAATGAGGCCAATAATGGGTAGCTATACAACTTGTTAATGTTGTTGGAGACATTGAGGCTTACATAAGGTGTCATAAATATCACTATAAACAAAAACATACAGATAATTATACATAATATACTGATTTTTTTGTGAAATATAATCCATTAGGATTATATAATTCTTTTTTTGTGTGTATTAATACAAAATATTAGCCACAGCATTTTTTGACCATTGCTAATGACTTATTTGTGGTGCTGTCTTTCTTGATAATTGAAATAGTCGGCTAAATTAAGATGTTGTTAGAGCTGAATTTGTCAGGTAATCAAAAATACTGTCTGAGAAAACTGTTGTTTTTTTATCTAGAATAAAATACATTTGTACACTAATTGCTTTTGAACAGTTTACAGGACTGGGGCTTCCTGAATGAATGTAATCGCTTTTAAACAGTTGACAAAATGTAACTTGAATGAAGTCAATGACTCTTGAACAGTTAAGGTGTATTTTGAATGAAGTAAAATTTTTATTGCTTTTGAACAATTTACTTATAATTAGTTTACAGGACTGTAGTAACTTGAACAAAATTGATTACTTTTGATTAGTTTACAGTCATATGTATCTTGAATGTAGTTGATTACTTTTGGTTAATTTGTAAGATATGTATCTTGAATGGAGAAGTTGATAACTTTAGTTGAGTTTACAGGGTTTGTTGAATGAAGTTAATTACTTTTGTTTGATTTACATCTATATCTTGAATGAAGTTGATTACTTAAGTTTAGTTTACAGGTGTTGTTTAGTTTACATATGTATCTTGATGAAATTGCTTACTGTTGTCTATTCTACAGGTTTATCTTGGATGAAGTTGATTACTTTAGTTTAGTTTACAGATGTATTTTGAATGTAGTTATTTACTTTTGGTTTAATACATCAATTCTGTATCTTGAATGAACAAGTTGATTACTTTTAATGGTTAATTAACATCTGTATTTTGAGTAAAGTAGGTTCCTTTTGTTTATTTTACATGTTTATTACTTTTGATTAGTTTACATCTATGCATTAAAAATCTTGGACAGTCTTGATTGAAGTAGATTACTTTTAAATAGTTTTCATGTATGTTTTGAAACATTCAATAAATTAGTAGATTTCTTTTGAACAGATTATATTATACTTTTGTTCTATATATTTCAGGGATATACAGATGAACCTATTAGTAAGGTATTATGCAATGTTGAAGATGGTCAAGTGGTACAACTTGACAGGTAAGGAAACAGTATAACAATTCCTAAATCAAACAAGAGTGTTGTTATATAATTTTCAAGCGGTATTAGTCACTGCTAAATGTAACAGTTTATTCTTAAGACTATTCATGTAGTAAAATGGGTTTGAACCCCGCCAGGGACATTGTATTATCTCTCTTGACATAAATGATGAGTGCATTAGGGGCTTGAAAACATAAGGTCAATATATCTTGAAAATTCCTACTATTTTTTCTGACCTTAACTTTTAAGTCTTTATCTGAGTATGACAAGTTTCTGTAGACAGTTGTAATGTTTCTGACATTCTCATTTTCGACTAAGATAAAACACGAATCACTGTATCTCAGTTAATTTGACATCAAATTTAGCACATGCTGGTATGTCTACAGATTACCACTATGTGGTAGCTAGAGTTACAGAGAATCATCCTAAGTGTGACAAGTGATATAACATGTATCTGTCAATTTTTTTGTCACCTAAATGTCCTACAGGATATTGACCTTGGGGATCTCTGGCACTGCCTGACCTTTATTTTGAGCTTAATTTGGAGCATCATCTGGTTGTTCTTATCCCATGTCAGTATGAATATTGTTTTAAAACCTAGTTTTCAAGGTTTCTTAGTTATTTCTAGTCCAATCATAATTCCTACTTTCCTTGGATGTCTGATGAGGACAATACTTTAAGGTCACTAACATTTCAACACCTGTTCCTCCATTCTAAAAGGGCATGGATTCTAATGCAAGAATAAGGCTTTGTTCAGAGGAAGCCTTATAATGTCCCTTGCTCATGGAAAACTTGAAGCTTTATTTGAATCACTCTTGATTCCTTTTCCTACAGGGTTTTTCTAGCAGTAATGACATTTAAGGATACATGGTCTTCAACCCAGTAAGGCTTGAACCCACAATCCCATGACACCTTAACCACCATGTCAACATCCCCTTTCTAGGTTTAATAATGAAGCTTGCAAGATCTCATTGTTGAAATCAACCAATTTGGATTCAAATCCCTTTGCCATTCCTTTTACATTATCTTTTCGTGCTGTATTTCTCACGCTCTGTTTTGTCTTAGATTTGTATCAATAGATTTTTTATGTCAGATTTTGTTTTGTCAGCAAAACCCACTTCTAATGTTAAGTGAAATCTGTTGTGGGACTGTCAAACTGTGAGAGAATAGTAGTTTCTAATGTAGTTTTTTGTTGTTGATTTTTTCAATTTCATAAAGAAAATAATCATGCATCTAGAAATTACTTGTTGTATACATGTTTGAGTAATGATCATTTTGGATGCTTATTGACTTTCTGTAATGGGAAGGGATTTTCTTCTTTGTCTCATTTAATTCCGTGTCAAATATGAATTACTGCTCTATATATTCTCAGAGGATTTTTTTCATATAGCAGATGACTTTTTTCTTTGCCGGAGTTTGCCCATATTGAAGAACAAAGGCCATTTTAACAGCTGCAAGCCTCCAGATGAGCCAATATATTTCTAGAAAATCAAACTTGAGAAAAAATGAACTAAGAATTTAAGAAAAGTAAAAAGATTCAAGTAATAATTGCATACCTCCATATGAGCTAAAATATTTTTAAAAATTCAGAGAAAAATCTATTATGATTTTAAGAATAGATTTAAGATTCAAGAAATAATTTACATATTATGTGTGATTACAGACTGATTTTGAAATATTTGTCACCATATCTCTACTGCATTTCTACTGTGTGACTAACACTTTCTTAACTGCGTGACTAACTAAATAGCCCTTATTTTTGCATATTTTGACATCTTTTTGGAACTTTATGTGAATTGTAAGTGCTGATATTGCAATGTGTAAATTATTTTCTTTGTTCACTTTATAGTATTTTACTCCCTAATACGTTTTCATAATTTTCATAAAAAATTTAGCATGAATCTTGAGGTGTGCTGATTAAATATCAGTACAAATGTACCATTGTTTGAAAGAACAACAATGCATTTGGATAGGTTTTTGTTTTCATGTATTTCTAATATCAGATATGTGGATCTGGAAACCAATTCTTTTCAACATTAATTGATATATAAATAAATATATATAATATATACATGTCTGTACATGTCAAGGATTAAAAAGATAAGGTCTGCATTATTAATTTGAAAAATTATTATGTTTTTTTTTTCAAACAAAGAAAGGCATTGCCTTAAGATGTCCTTCAAGTTTGTGGTATCAATATATATTGCCAAGGGTATTTAGAATCAATAATATTAACAAAGTATGCATGCCTCCTCCTTCACAATGGTCGTTAATGTCCCTGTTATACTTAATATGCAAGGAAGGGCTTCAGTTGCCAAGTTGTTGTTGTTGACCTCAGATTACATGCCCTTCCCCCAATGAACATTAAATTTCATTGGCTATATATCATTGTCATACAGAAAAAAACATCACTGTACAATATATATAGAACTCGGTTATTGACCCTCTGTAGAACTGTCATCTAAGCAATAATTCCTATAAATCACTGTTTTTTTCCCCAGAAATGTTTTTGTTTGATATTTTACCATTTTAGATTTACGTCTGCTATGAAGTTTTTTCATCCATTTCTATTGTCATCTATTTCTTGGGCTTTTTATTAAATTTGCCCATTTGCCTTGATTGTATCTTAAGAAATTGAAAAACACAGGAACCCCATTCTTAAAACAACTCAAAAATCTTTCTTTCTTTTGTTTCACATAACCTGTGACTTTTGATATATAATCACAAAGTAGCTCTTTATACTGGGCAAGTGACACATTATACATGTATTATTCGAACATTTTGCCTTGAAATTCCTCAAATTATACACACTTGGTGAAAATATTAAAAAATCTCACATTGTACTGAAATACAAATCTATATGCAATCAAATGCTTTTTGCTCAGAAGTTTCTTGCTATTTAATTGAAATATGAAATATGTTGAAATTTAATTAAAATAAGAATTGTTGTGAATAGTTTGTCAATTATTAATTAAAGCTCCTGAAATAATGCTCAGAGGGATACCTGAAACTCTTCTACTAATAGTACAGCAGTAATATGGCCATATGATCTGAACAAAGTGAAGGAATAATTTTAACCTTTTACTCAATCAATGGTAATAATTTTGAAATAATTTTGAACATTTTATTTCAGATGGAATGTCACTGTAACTGACAACAAACATGCAGATCCCGAACCTATAGAAGAGGAGGTCAAGGCCAAATTACCTCTTGACGTCTTCAACAACTACTTTAGTTTAGGTGCCGATGCACATGTTGCCCTGGAGTTCCATGAATCTCGAGGTTTGACTATATTTTTTTGTATTTGTATTTGAAAATTACAATCAAACCTGTTTTTTAATGACCGTTTTGTTTTTTTTTTCTAATGGCAAAGTAGAGCTATTGTCATGGCCAAAATCATTGGCTTTGTAGGTTACCCTTTTGGTTAAGATTTAGTTTATGTTATTAATTTTAATCAGTGATATTTATGAATAACAAAATGATGCCCCTAACTATTGTTTATGGACAAAATCCCCTCAACCAAAAGTGTTTGACTATGGAAAAAGGACCTTCTTTTTCACTTTTAGTCATTTTAAAAAAAATCAATCAAGAGGCTTTTGTCTTACACCGTTTATGCATGTTTAATATATAATTGTTATAGATGGGAAAAAGTGTGTCTATGTGTCTATACTTCCAACAATTTTGGTCAGTTATTAATGTTTTCGGCACAAAAATCTCAGATCAATTTTTTGTCATGAATTTTTTTTTTAATGACAATAAAACTCAATAAAAGTAAAATTGATGAAGTGTTTTTTGAAACAATTTTTTTAAAAGGACTCTTAGATTTTCTTTTAAGATAATAACAAGAAAAAAATGATGGATGAGCATTTGATGGTCCCTGAACGAATTTGAGCCTAGACTGATTGATGATGTTTATGTTTTAACCGAGAAAAAGAAGTCACTTTTTGATGTGTTTTCATTCTATATTTCAGAGGCAAATCCAGAAAAATTCAACAGTAGATTCCGGAATAAAATGTTTTATGCAGGGGTATGTATATAAATGAGATTTTATACAGAGTTATGAATATTAATGGAGAAAATTTGTAAACATATGAGTATTTTTGATTTTACAGGAAGAATGTGGCGTCCATTTTCTATCATTTTGTAAGGAAATGGTAACTTTTTAAAAATGAATTGAAAAGATATATGTTTGAATTTTCATAAGATTAAAATAAATTTTCAATTTTTACCATGAGTTGGTGAATGATTTAGATTTTAGAATATAATTATCTTATTTGAAAATTAAGTCATTTTTTGATAAATGTAATATCATGTAATGTTTTCATGATACAAAAACACCCTAAGATCGAGAAATAATTTAACATATTGAAATTCTAATGTTGGTAAAATTACCATTAATTTTGCCAATTCCACCATTATAGAGCCAAGCCAGTCGGCATGCTTGTATGTAGTCAGTTACCAAAATCTTTTTTTTTTTTTGCTCAGTTTTTGTATTTGGATACTAATATATCCATTACCATATAGGATATTCAAGATTTTTTTAACCCGAAACAGTTACAAAACTTCAACATGGGATAATGTATATTCCATGACGGGTTGACATTTTACTGGTTTTCCAGAGGGAGTGACGAGTAAAGATTCACTAGTTTTTAGTGATTTTTTACTTGTAAAAACCCCTGAATCTCAGAGGGTTTCAGCATAGACCTAGCCAAATCCTCGGGGGCCCAGGGTGGGGTCGGAGCGATTGGGGCGGTAGGGGGCATCGTTAACCCCTCTGGATCAATTTGTGTCATAGCAATTGATAACTTAATAACAGAATAAATCTGTATCAAAAATAAACAAGCAGGCTTAGAGTTCATGTCAGACTGAAATAAAATTTTGTCCTCTGGCAAGATGATGTTTATTTCCTGATGTGTAAACACCAGAAACTCAAATTTAAGGAAGAAGAAGATAAAATAGTTGCATGTCAAAACTCTTAGAGGGATTATTATAACTCAATGTTCTGTCACCCCAAATTATTGTCATTTTATCCCAGGATTACATATATTTTAGTTTTCTGCCAAAAACAAAACTAATGTCCTCCAATGGAGAGATTTGACAACAAATTTGTTAATGTTGAAAATAAACATGTGTTATGTTCAAGATAATAATAAGCTATGTTCAAAATGATCAATTTATTTGCCATGCAGTTAAATTAGAATCCCCAAAACATTTACAAAAACTAAATTTCACAGCAAAATTTTAGGGAAGATTTTTTTTTTTAAACTTTTAAGGATATCTTGTTTTTAGATCAACTACTTTTACTTGACAAGGGCTTTGTGATTAAAGTATCTTGTCTTTTAACCTGGGATTGAGGGTTCAATCCCTACTCTGGTCATGACAAAGAAAAAGTCGAGCTATTATAATCGCTTCAGCATAATTTTCGTTGTCTTAATGCAGAAATTTTAATGTAGCCCATTATTGAAATTTTTTGAAAGATCAACATGAAACTTGGAATATTTGTGTATCATGACAAGTGTAAAACAAGGGGCATAATTTTGAAAGTAAAATTTTTGGAGTAATGCCCCTTATAATGTAAAATTAACAGACAAGGATTAACACTGCATGCCGTGCTTTGTTTTTAACAAGTAATTGCTATTACTTTTTATAGATCAGTGAAAACAGAATATGGAAGATAAACATTTTTCTGACTAATGGTTGTCAACCAGTCAGTCATGATAGAAAGAAAATTATGAAATATCAAGTCCAATGACCAACCTCCTTTTCAAATGAGCTTACAATACAAGCCTTGATTTATTGAACTTTACCCTGAATCTGTTGAATTTGTATAATGGATTTGCCCAAGTTTTGAATTATGAACAGTCCATTTTAAATTTTAAGGGATTTTCATATCAAAATACTAAAATTCAACTTCAAACAGTAACGAACCTGGTCAGACTGCCTGGTTGTGCATACTGGGCTGGTTCTACACTTATGGCAAAGGCTGGTCTTTTTCATTCCTGACAGGATAAGGGTTAATAGTCTGGTTACAACAACGAATGGTTATTGTGGGTTTGATTCATTTCAGGCTGGTGGACGTGATATGTTAAAAAGAAGTTGGAGAGGATTCTCTGAACAAATAAAACTTGTCGTAAGTAGAATTGAGATTAAAATTATAATTCTCTGTATTTTCATTCATGTTAAGTTCATTTCATGTTTATTTATGTCATATTTCTGTGCTTACAAATGTTTATAAATGTGACATTCTTATGTTTGTAAAGGTAACCTTTGTATTTTTACAAAATTAATGTGACATTCTTATATTTATAAAATGTGACATTCTAATATTCATAAAATGTAACATTCTTTTGTTTACATTTTGTAACATTCTTATGTTTAGAAAATGTGAAATGATCATGTTTATGACTATGTGACATCTTATATTACAGATGTGACATTCCTTTGTTTACAAAATATGACATTCCTATGTTTATAAAATGTTAAATGATCATGTTTATGACTATGTGACATCTTATATTACAGATGTGACATTCCTTTGTTTACAAAATGTGACATTCATATGTTTATAAAATGCTTAATTTTCATGTTGGTGTTTAATGTGACATTCTTTTGTTACAAATGTGACATTAATGTGTTTATAATGTATGACATTCCTATGTTTACAGTGTGATGGTGTTGATTTAACACAGAAGATTGTGGATATGAAACTTCATTCTCTCTTATTTCTCAACATTCCAAGGTAAATTCAGTAGAACTATTGTTGCTATAGTAACACTTATGACTCGTATATATGCCACCAGTATAAAGACTGGCCCACTATAGTTCATCTGCACAGTCTAATCATATTTGTATTTGTGATAATTTTTACACTGGCCACCGAGATGAACCCATTTGAACCCAAATTTTTGTAAATTTTTGTTCCCGGGATAAACCCATTTGAACCCGAATTTTTGTAAACTTTTTGTTTCCGTGGTTGTATTCTCGTCAGCAGCAACTTTTCAAGCAGTATATACCTCCGGCCCTTTCTTTGTTCAATGGTGGTAAGGAGTCAGTCATACTTCCAGGGTATTGTTGTTTCACACAAAAAGGCTCTTGTAAGCACAACCCTCTGGAATTCGTCACAGCAGGTCAACTAATCGTCAGTGATACTTACAGTGTACGATGACTACTGACCTTGACCTGTTGTTTGCCTTCTTGGCAATTAACATGCCTGGGGAAATATTTGGGGAAGTGTTTTACTTATGATGTATAAAGTTGGTTTTATATGATTAGAATGACATTTCTAGTCTCCGATGGTTTTTATGGGATTTTTTAGGGGGAAGGGGGAAAATAGGGTGAGGAAAGTATCATTTCATTGTATAAGATATTACCATTGTTGCATTGTTTATTGTATTATTTTAATCATACCACAGTTTGTCTTATTTTAATTACACCACTAGAAGTATTGGGAAACCTCAGTGATAACTTTTTTGCAAGTTTATTTCTGTAATAAGCTTGTATAAAATGTGATTACTTCATACAAGGAAATAACACATCACTGTATATCTTATTTACTGTAATATTTAAAGCATTTTAATATCGTATGAACAACGTCATTTATGTTGTATGTTGTTTTCTTTTCTAGGAAAGAAATAGAATATATCAATTTTGTCGGAATTGTTGTTTGGCACTTTCCCTTTTCTTGATTTTTGTTAATAAATTTTGATATTTCCTGATTGCTGCACTTCTATAATTTGAAATTCTTGATATTTTAATGGGATAGATTTTCCTTAAATTGTAATTGTCTGGTATTTCAGTTGGTACTTAAATAATCCAAATAAATTTATAAGTAAACATATGAGCCGCATCAGGACAAAACCAACATAGTGCGTTTGCAACCAACACGCATCCGCGCAGTCTGATCAGGATCCATGCTGTTCGCTTACCAACCCTATTACAAGTAGAGAAACTGAAAGCGAACAGCATGGATCCTGATCAGACTGCGCGGATGCGCAGGCTGGTCTGGATCCATGCTGGTCGCAAAATCATTATGTTGGTTTTGTCGTGACGCGGCTCATATAAAGCTTATTGTTAAACAGCAGCTGTTGTAATTAATGTTATTTATGGTTAAGGAGAGGTTTGTTATTATTAGACAAAAAGTATATCTATTTTAATCATATAAACAGAATTTGTTTATGGAATAAATGCTTGTTAATTAGGAGATGGATATCAATTTTGAGTGTACAATAATGCATGGTTCGAGTTCAAATGTGTAGGAATATAATCACAAAGGCCAATATTAAGGCCTGAGTGATTAATTACAAGGCATTTGAACAATACATCGGATATAATTATACTGCAATGCAAGAAAAATTAGTATGTATTTCCATTCTAACATGCCAATAAAAAAGAGAATTGATAAAAGATATGTTAAACTACATTAAGCGTAGAAGTAATTTAACTGACGTCATTTGTTTTATAGACATCGTATGATGTCATATTGACGTGTTAGCATCCCTGTCTAATGCTGTTCTCGTATCATGTAATAATGCACGTGATTGCCCTAACTGTTTGAATTAAATTCCATTTGTATTTAACATAAAATTTGCTAAGTATCATAATGGATTATGAATGTTTGTACACTTTTTAAACTCCTAAAATTTCAACTTTTTCCTGGATTTGAATCTGGAGGTTTGCAACTTTAACCCATAACCTGCAGGAACCTGAACTGATTGGCCTTTGCCACCAGTACGTAAGCCATGCCAGCCTGGCCATTGTGTGCAGTCTGAAAAGGCTTTATACTGTTGGTAGCTCAGATATTATATTTTGATATTTAGATAACCTTAACTCTCAAATGGACTGTTCCAAATTCCAATGTTTGACAAATCAGTTACATAAATTCAGCCAGTTAAGAGTTAAACTATGACTTTTTATGGGTGTTTCTGTCTTCCCACTATATATCCTGATTATTTATAAAGCTTTAGCACAGTCACTTTGACACAGACAATTTGGTGTGAAGTCACTTTTGAATTGCCTTTCTTTTACGTTTTCTGATAACATATTTGGCATTACAATGTGTCTTTATTTTTCAGAGAAAAGTATTTGAATGCCAAAACATCAGTTTGAATTTTGATAATTATTTTGCTTAGGCAAACATTGTCCATTAATATCTTGTAATCATGTAGATTTTATCCCAAACAACAGCAAATTTTAGTGATGAAGTTGTCAACTCGTAGCTATGATTTAGACCTTGTGAAATTAAATATTCATGAAGTTAGTAAAAGGATGGGTGTCATACCCCTATTGCAATTGAATTTAGTGTAATGATGTAGTCTCTGGAGGTTTGTAACCAGTTTAGTTTTCGGAAGTTTTGCTGCACTGCTTCATCACACATCTAGGAAAACTTTGTTAGTTAATGGATTTGGTGCAGAAAAGATAGTTTGACGGATATAATTCTCGAAAACATAACCAAAGTAGTTACATAGGGAATTTTGTAAGAGAAAACAGAGGTGTTTAAGCTTCACTTTTTGAGGACATTACGGAAATTGCGGCTCTCTAATTGTCATGGCCAACTTGGTGTAGGCGGTGGTTAAGTCTTTCTTTTATGGTCAATTAACTTCAATACTAATAAAACTATTAACATTGAAACTTGATATGCCAATGGACCTTGATCAGTTCCACCCACCACATCCATTTTCTGGTGAAGGTCATTAGGACTTTTATTATCACTTTATTTAGAACAGAAACTTTATTTAAGACTTTATTATCCATCACTGTGGAAAAGTGGAGTGCAGTCTGCCCCTTAGAAAGCTCTTGTTGATGTTTTAAAAGCATCACAGACAAATCTTTTAAGTGTTCTTTACGTTTTTGTGTGCACTTTTGGCTTTAGATTACATTTGTGTATTATAGAGAGCTGATTTTTCATTTAGTACGACCTGGGCCTGAAAGATTTTTTTGTTCTTTGCTTTATTTTCTTTGTATCAAATAGCTGTATTTAAAACATGTTAAGTGCACATTTTATTAGTTTGACAATTCGAAGAATTGCACTCATCCAGATGTCAGGTCACACTTTGGTTAAAAGTTTGTGTGCAAGTTGGTATCTCTCAAACTACTGAAGGGAATGGATTGAAACTTCACACACTTATTGGAGAGCATAATAGAAGGTCACTGTCCAAGGCCATTATTTTAACATGGACTTTGACAGAATAATGGCCCTTTTAGACCTTAGAAATATCTACATTATCCAGGCTCTTGTTTTTATATCAAGCACTGAAAACAGTCAAGCAAGTTGTCTGTCATCAGCTCTGGTTATTTCTTAACAATTATAATAGGTAGTATGATAATTTTTTCTTTTTCAGATATGCAAGTGGTACAGTGCCGTGGGGCAATCCAAATGCATCAGGGTTTGAGCCCCAGAAACATGATGATGGTTATCTTGAAGTTATTGGTTTTACATACTCATCTTTGGTAAGTTATTATAATTATGATGTAGTGAGCCGATGTTCTTTGGTGATATACCACGCCAATGTTTTTTGATAAGTTGTTATGAGATGTAGTGATCCAATGTTCTTTGATAAGTTATTATGAGATGTAGTGATCCAATGTTCTTTGGTGAGTTATTATGAGATGTACCTGGACAATGTTCTTTGATAAGTTATTATGAGATGTAGTGATCCAATGTTCTTTGGTGAGTTATTAGGAGATGTACCTGGACAATGTTCTTTGATAAGTTATTATGAGATGTAGTGATCCAATGTTCTTTGATAAGTTATTATGAGATGTAGTGATCCAATGGTCTTTGGTGAGTTATTAGGAGATGTACCTGGACAATGTTCTTTGATAAGTTATTATGAGATGTAGTGATCCAATGTTCTTTGGTGAGTTATTAGGAGATGTACCTGGACAATGTTCTTTGATAAGTTATTATGAGATGTAGTGATCCAATGTTCTTTGGTGAGTTATTAGGAGATGTACCTGGACAATGTTCTTTGATAAGTTATTATGAGATGTAGTGATCCAATGTTCTTTGATAAGTTATTATGAGATGTAGTGATCCAATGTTCTTTGGTGAGTTATTAGGAGATGTACCTGGACAATGTTCTTTGATAAGTTATTATGAGATGTAGTGATCCAATGTTCTTTGGTGAGTTATTTGGAGATGTACCTGGACAATGTTCTTTGATAAGTTATTATGAGATGTAGAGAGGACAATGTTCTTTGGTGAGTTATTAGGAGATGTACCTGGACAATGTTCTTTGATAAGTTATTATGAGATGTAGAGAGGACAATGTTCTTTGGTGAGTTATTAGGAGATGTACCTGGACAATGTTCTTTGATAAGTTATTACGAGATGTAGTGATCCAATGTTCTTTGATAAGTTATTATGAGATGTAGTGATCCAATGTTCTTTGGTGAGTTATTAGGAGATGTACCTGGATAATGTTCTTTGATAAGTTATTATGAGATGTAGTGATCCAATGTGCTTTGGTGAGTTATTAGGAGATGTACCTGGACAATGTTCTTTGATAAGTTATTATGAGATGTAGTGATCCAATGTTCTTTGATAAGTTGTTATGAGATGTACCTGGACAATGTTCTTTGATAAGTTATTATGAGATGTAGTGATCCAATGTTCTTTGGTGAGTTATTATGAGATGTACCTGGACAATGTTCTTTGATAAGTTATTATGAGATGTAGTGATCCAATGTTCTTTGGTGAGTTATTAGGAGATGTACCTGGACAATGTTCTTTGATAAGTTATTATGAGATGTAGTGATCCAATGTTCTTTGATAAGTTATTATGAGATGTAGTGATCCAATGTTCTTTGGTGAGTTATTATGAGATGTACCTGGACAATGTTCTTTGATAAGTTATTATGAGATGTAGTGATCCAATGTTCTTTGGTGAGTTATTAGGAGATGTACCTGGACAATGTTCTTTGATAAGTTATTATGAGATGTAGTGATCCAATGTTCTTTGGTGAGGTATTAGGAGATGTACCTGGACAATGTTTTTTGATAAGTTATTATGAGATGTAGTGATCTAATGTTCTTTGGTGAGTTATTAGGAGATGTACCTGGACAATGTTTTTTGATAAGTTATTATGAGATGTAGTGATCCAATGTTCTTTGGTGAGTTATTAGGAGATGTACCTGGACAATGTTCTTTGATAAGTTATTATGAGATTTAGAGAGGACAATGTTCTTTGGTATGTTAATACGTGTTGTAGGAAGCCAAACTTCTTTGGTAAGTTATTATGCGATAAAGTGATCCAATGTTATTTGGTAACTAAAAATATGCTGCAAGGTTAAGTTAGACATTTTGTAAGAAGTAGAAAAAAGAAGATAATTCACCAAGCATATGGTGAATATTTATGTAAAAAGTAGAAATTTAGCATAATTATGGTGAATGTTTGCTTGAAAAGTACTAATTTAAAAATGAACATAATTTGCAAACTTATGGTGAATGTTTTGTTGGTAAAGTAGAAACATAAGCCATATTTATGGCAGATTATGGTAGACGTTTATTGGCAATGTAAAAATTGACCATCATTAGCCAAGCAAATGGTAGATGTTTTTCCTAAAATGAGAAGATTATTCACTTTCAGGCAACTTTACAAATAGGAGGTCATGGTGAGAGATTGGTACAATGTAGGGAGGTAAAACTGACCACAACAAAACCTATACCAATGCAGCTTGATGGCGAACCTTGCCGTCTAGCGCCCTCTGTGATACGAATCAGTCTTCGTAACCAGGTCAACATGATAATGAAACCAAAGAGGCGGGGCTCTGTGCCTATCACCAATGAGTAAGTCTTTATTCTGGTGAAATGTTTTGTAATTTTGATGATATATCTTAATTTAAAGAAACAAAATTATACTTCCGTGTTATTTCATGTTTATGCTTTTCCTCGTTGTTTCACATTTATATTGTCGTACTATTTAGAATGTAGATGATGCATGGAAGAAATTAATGGTTAATCTAAATCCTTCACTCAGACCCCACTGAATTTTTGTAATGGAACAGCCTTGCTTTGACTTTGATTCAGTCCATTGTTGATTTCGGGGGTGTTCAACGTCTAAGACAAAAATAATATAGAGTACAAATTCATCATTTTATGACATGTTATTCATGAAATCTTGTGTTATTCATGAAATCTTGTGAAATAACGCATTACCATTGTTTATTGTTGAGATGGAAAAAAATGATAATTGACAATTCTGAAACAATTTGCTGTGTGGGCTTTTAACGATGAAAGATATCTTGAAAATGCAACTTCATTTTTCTGGTGGAAATTCAAAGCTTAAATTAATACTAAAACCCTTTTACTAGAATGTCAGTTTAATGTGTTTTAAGACACATTCTGTGTTAAATGGCCTGGAAAAATACAGCGTTGGGACAGTGCCGTGTCATAAATGCTTTTAGATATATATCATTAATTGAACTCCAAGATTCCCTTTGGGTTCATTTTGGCTTCTTTGCAACCAGTTGCATTAAGGCAGGGTTTTAAATAATACAGTCCACAGTCACATGACTTTTGTGTAATCAGTTTTCTCTTAGAATGGGTTAATACAGAAATACTAGAAATAAAAATAAGTAGTAGAGATGATGTTATTTATAGATTTGTGGTGACATGCTTGGTTAAGTGAAAACTCTCCTGTAATGGGGATAAATTAAGTTGTCCGTATTCTAGGATAGGTCAATTGAAAATATGTTAGAAAATGTTCTGACAGGTTTTAATCTATACGATATTGTCATGAATACTATTTTTGTGCAGAGGAGAGGATTAACTCTGAAACTGTTCAATTTCTTAAATTGACTTGTTGAACTATCGATTTTCGGGGTTAGCAAGATGAAAATTGGAAGTTAATTATGCAGGGATATGCAGGCTGGCATGGCACTAATACTGATGGCAAAGTTGTGGCTGAGGGGTTACTTTTAAGGGTTGAGGCATCAGAATTGCAGCCACTATTTATCCCTGTGTGATATTTGTAAAAGGCAACTAAATGGGTTTGAATTATTGGAGTCTACGCATTACTCTGAGCTTCAGCAGGTGAGGTGGTTTTGACCCTTGTGTTGCTTTGCGCAACACCACCAAGGTTAGCCCAAATCATCTTTCCTGCTTTGGCGCCATATGACCTTTGACTGTTTGTTTGCTGTAAAAACAAACCAAACAATCAAGGTTCCGGCTGGGCAAGGGTGTCAGTGGTGTTTAATCTCTTTATAAATATTTGAATCCTGTAATTATTGTAATTAGTTTAGCTTAAAGAACAGCCAGTTATTGACTTCAGCAGGATTCATGTAACATAGAGTAAAAAACTTAAAAAAAAGTTTATTAGTGTTGTGGAATGTAACTTAAAACGCTAAGAAATTTTATTTGAAGACTCAAATTATAAGATTATCTAATTCTAGCGTATGTTGTAAGTACATGTAATTGAATACACACATTATTTTATCCAAGTAAGAATGTTTTAAAACATGATCTAAAATCAATTATGAAATCTGAGAGTATTTTATTGATGCTGGAAATAGAATTTCCATGAAACAAGACAACATTAAGGTTCAGTGATACGTCTTGGGCATTTTAATTGAATTTTCCAAGTTTAAGTCAATGATATTGCAATGTATTTCAATAAATTTGCCATATATGAAATAAAAATGAAGAGAATTAATTTCAGGAAATTTCAGGGTTTAGTTTAATGAGAATCTCAGGTACTTGCACACTTAAAAGTTCAAATTACAGTGCAATAGTTTACAAATGATTTCCAACCCGAGAGAGATAAAATAGTTTGCTATTTTAAAGGGGTTGATTTAGTTACATACAAAAATGTACAATGTTCATATTATAACAAGGAAATGACATTGTCCAAAAAAAGCAATATAATATATGTTGTATATTAAGAAAAATACAATGTACACTTACATTAGATTGCAATGTACATATAACATTTAAAGTACATTGTACATGTACAAATTCCATAAAATACAATGACTGTACATTTTGGCCTAATGCACAGTGTGCCTATTAATAGAATGCATAATGTTCATAAAGCAAAAAAAAAGAAATTGTCCATATATTAAAAAGTACAGTGTATGATTTAATATTGAACATAAATGTATAATATTTTGAATGTGCATGAATATCAAAAAGTACATTATAGCTGTATCAAAAAAGCATTACACTTTAATCCTTGTGTAACCACACTTAATATTTGAAATCTATTTTAGGGAAAAAATTTTAAATATATATTGTACGGACTGAAAAATTAATGCAGCGCAGAGCATGATTGGACAGCACAGATGTGCCAGATTATCTTGGTGTGCATAACTCAGTCACTGCTAGCAAGCTATATTGTTAAACAACAGTTGTGCATAAATTTATAATTCTCAGATTATGCTGTCTGGATAAAAGAAAATTATAGTCTTTTGGCAGTTCAAAGAACTGTGGACATCCTTTAAATTGGCAATGGACTGCTCAAATTTCAAAGCATCACACGTCTTCAAGTCAATTTCATGAATTTATTGCATTAGGGAAATAATTCCAGTTAAATCCATCTTTTATGTAATTTTGAATTTGTTAAGAGACCAATTTTTAGTCAATTGTTTCTGACTTTTGAAGTTTATCGGATCTATTAAAGACATGAAAAAAAAGAAATTGAATGCAAATTTCAAAATTTTATTTTTGATGGATCTAGTATTTACATCATATTCCATAATGAAGAGTGCTTTTAATATTTTTGTGTCGCCTCTACGGAGTAGTGGCGACATATAGGGATCACTTCTCCGTTGTCCGTCTGTCCGTCCGTCCGTCCATCACAAAACTTGTCCGGACTACTCCTCATAAACTACTGGTGCAATTTCATCCAAACTTTACAGGAATGATCAGTAGCAAGTCTAGTTGTGCATATTGTCAGCATTTTCCGGTTCAATGGTTTTTGTCAGAGTTATGGCCCTTTAATAATTTTTATTTTTAAAGTTTGTCCAGACTACTTCTCTTATACCACTAATGCAATTTCAATGAAACTTTACAGGATTAATCTGTAGCTCAAGTCCTTGCGCATATTGCACGGGTTTTCTGGTTGAATGATTTTTGGCCGAGTTATGGCCCTTTGATAAAAAGGTGTTTTTTTCTGTGTGTTGCCAGATACGCAAAAGCTTGTCCGGACTACTCCATATAAACTACTGGTGCAATTTTATCTAAACTTTACAGGAATGATCAGTACCAAGTCAAGTTGTGCACTGTCCGTCTGTCTGTCCGTCTGTCACAAAATTTGTCCCAACATGAAATTGGCCATCATGAGGCGACACATGTGATTACTGATCGCTCTTGTTATTGTTATTAATCTGATTTTTTTTCATGACTTAATTATTATAAGATTGAAAGAAAACCTGTTTGAATGTGTTCAACAATTATTTGAAATTTTAATTAAAAGCATTGAATTGATTGAAGAATAATTTATGTTTTCAGGCTATTTTAATAAACTTTCGAAAACTGAGAATTAAATGTTAAAGGTTGATTAAATAATAATGAATATCTTCATATTATGCAAATTTGGTGCAGCCATGCACTGGTTCGGGACAGTTTTGTTCAATCCAGCCTTCAGTCCTGATTTTGCTTTTTTCAGTCCACCCTCGGTACCTGAGCGGCTACGAATACAGGTCAGCCGCATCGCAATGCGGGACTACGAGTTGTTGAATTACGATAAAGATAGGCTACGGGCAGCTTGTAAGTCTTTATCAGTGCCAGATATGCCCACTAACACGTACACACCCTAGAGCATGATGGGATATGGGCTACACTATTTAATCACCTAGCATTTTATATATATATATTACTTTACATATTTATGCTTTATATTTAAATGCAACTTGTTATATACCTGTTTATATTTGGCGTTGTAAAAATGGTGTATTACACAAATTAATACATCTTTCATGAAATTGATAATTTGTATTGTATTTGGATATCATCTGCTGTGATATTGCTTGAATGCACCTGATTTGAGTACCGTTAAATATGGTTAAATATGAAGAGGTATATAACATTTAGGGTAGCAGTATAAGAATACTTTGATTATGGACATGTATTTGACACTCTTGATTTTATTAATCTGGATCTCTCTGGTTATGTCAGTGTCTTAATTGTACTATGAATTACTTGATGTACAAAATCTGCTATGCCCAAATATTCGTCCTTAGATCAAGATGTTCTTATAATAACCTTAGCTTCTTTAACTAAAAAATTTAACAATTGTAACTAAAAAATTTAACAATTGTATTTATGATAATATACAAAGAAGTATTTACATACTATGTTTCAGGCCTCTCTGGTGGCATTTTGAATTTTTTTTTTTTTTTTTTTTTGAAAAATTTATCTCCACTTTTATTTTCAAGCAAATGTTTTTTTTCAATGATTCTCACTGGAATTTTTGTAGTGAAATTATTAAAGAATATAGAAAGAATTATTTAGAACAATATTGAGATTTTTTATTAAACTGATATAAACTGATCTTTTATTTTTTTTAATTAAAATGTTTTTTTCTAATAGCAAATTTCTTTTAAAAATTTTAAATGAAAATAAATAAAAAAAAAATAAATAAATAAAACTTGAAGCATAGTTTGTGAGGCCAAGATTTCATGTACAGTACATGTATGATTTACATAATCATGGTAATGACTGTTTATAGAATTTTTCAAAAAAAAAATCTCAATTTGTGTTTAAATGCCAAAAAATATTATTTGTGCTAAAAGACTAGTGTAAAACATAAAAATTATTGGAAATCAATCATTGCATCATAAAATCTTGGCTAATTCTAATTGAATGAAAGAGTACCAAAATTTTCTGGTATTCTGGAAATAAGGAATAATATATTTAGTCTTGTTTATCATCTATAAGTGATGATTATAATCCTTTAAAGCCTTGATTTAAAATGATATATATATTTTTTTTTACATATTTTAGATCTAATTCCTTTATCAGTCTTCTTACCCTTTTTCTACAAAATATGCATGACCCTTTTTTTATTAATTACTAATTTTTTTTTTGCTTTAATTTTTCCCACTCTAAATTTTCATATGATAAAATTATATATTATATTTGACTGACTTTCCAAAATAGTGTCTTATTTCTGATTTTAAATTTTATCTTTTGCTGTTTATATATTTAAAAAAAGAAAGAAAAAGAATATGACATTATCAAATGAAAAAAAAAACAATAACCATATATTTCGACATATAAATGAAGGACAACAATATTTCTGTTCTTTTAAACCACTGCCGTCTTTGGTCGCCAGGCAGTTTTTCCTGTAAGATATGTAATTGTATGATATTATATCGAACCAAATATTTACGACTTTGAGGGCCGTAACAATCTCACAATTTCATAAAAGCTTGTAATAATGTTAGGTTTTATATGTAAACTCAGCCTGATGAATGTCGGAAAAACCGGTGAAAAAACAAAATTTTACGACCACTCACTTTTTATCATGCCAGTCTTTATTCTCTAGCAAATGACAAGAGGGTTATTAAGATCGTAATTTTGGACTAAGATTCAATAACTTATATGTTGATAAATATCAGATTTTTATTCGCAGACTTTTTATTCCGTCTCCGGCAATATAAATTATTACCTTCCAACTTCGTCAGCTCGATATAAATATCAAACTCCCTCATGTTTTAATGGCGTCTGCTATTGAAATGATGAAAAGTAGAAATGTTGATAAAATTACTGGTTTCTGTTAATGAATTACAATGAATGTATCAAACGTGGTCAAATTTGGTCAACCCTTAAAGTCTGAGACTTTTTATGATTGAAGTATATCTGTTTAAATTTTTGGAAAACCAGTAACAATATTAATAATTTTTGTAAGAAACTGGTCTAATGTTATTCATCCAAAACATTAAGGTTTAGTGTTATAAAAACTCTTACTTAGTGAATAGGAAATAATTGCACTCAGACCATGATCAGATGGCATAGATTATTCCGGCTGATCTAAGCCTGTACTGGTCACATGGGTTGCATCAACAGGGTTTTTTGATTGAAGATATTTATGAAATGATAATTAAGACCATAATTGCCATATGATAATTATGTTAAGATAATCAATATTAGTTATCATATCACAATTATTGTCTTAATTATCTTTTCATAAATATCTTCAATCAAAAATCCCTGTTGATGCTACCCATGGGACATTATCACCATAATAACATAAGATAATTATTTCAAGATATGATAATTTTAAGATATGATACTTAAGATAATTAAAGATAATTATGAGAATATTTTGTGGTTTATGTTGGGTATCACTAGTACACCTTGCTTTTAATAATGCACAATTCACTTGCAGTTGTTTGGTGGAGGTTTGTATTACATAGTGGTATATCTCAGTAACTGTAATACATTTATATCATAGCCTATTTTGAAACCTGCCATTATCAACCTTATGAACCACGTCACGACAAAACCAACAATGTGCGTTTGCGACCAGCATGGATCCAGACCAGTCTCAGGATCCATGCTGTTCGCTATAATCACTTTCTCTACTTGTTATAGGGTTTGTAAGCAAACAGCATGGATCCTGATCAGACTGCGCGGATGCGCAGGCTGGTCTGGATCCATGCTGGTTGCAAACCCATTATGTTGGTTTTGTCATGGCACGGCTCATATAGTGTAGTGTATCATGACAAACATTTGGAAGTTTGCCAGCCAACAGTATAGAGCCTGGTCATAGTGAACTGATGACTATAGGGTAGCCTGGCTCTATACTAGAGGCACAGGCTGTACTGCTGGGTTTAGTCATGTATGGTTTTACTGTAAACAAACTATAACAGTACTGAGTTGTACCATATATAATATTGTCATATAACTGTTTACAGTACTAATATAAACAGTCAAGTGCTTTATGATATAAATAAACAATGTTTTGTATGTCATTTATCATTTATATTTTAGTAATATGTGAAGTATTCTTAATATATTTTTGTTGTTTTAGTTTCTATTTGTTTATCATAAAAAATTAATTATTCGGCACTAAGAAAATTTAATGTTCTGCATTAAATTAAATGATTATTTTGTTTAAAGTTTTGTTTGTCGTTCAAATTTGTTCAAATATTTATTGTGCAAGTTGTATAATTGTTAGCTGTCCCGGTGGGAATCATCGTCGTGGACAACAACGCCAACCTGGAGGAGGTTCGAACTCACATCAACAGACTTCATGAGGTAACGATACCATTTAATAAGAGACCATGGGGATTATGGGTATGATCATAATTTGTCATAATTAACAGTCATATTGGGCTGTCTAACAGAGTGGACTTAGAAATCTCAAAAAATGATATTATATTTAACTTTTGCCTCACTAAATATTTTAAATAGACATGTCCATCAATCAGTATAGATAAGGCACCATCTTGTAAGCTCAATAGGTAAAGCGTCCGATTCCCAAGCAGTGCAGGTCACTTTGGTTGTGATTGATCATGAAATCCTTTGTACAGTCATTCACACTGCAATCAGTTCTTGGCGAAGGCAACAGGTACTGGTAAACTGCTTCAAAGACTGCCCAGGAACGATGCAGTGGCTGAACTGTGCTCTGGTAATTTCAGTTTGACTTACTGCCTTGATACAGAGTGATAACTATCAACATCACCACCACCATTAATCTAGATAAAACCATTCATCATAGAGAAATTTCTAAATTTGTAGGTTAAGGGTTTATATGAAAAACGTATCCTAATCTAAGGCATGAAGGATTATGTTTAAACTGCATTGTCTATATAAAAAGTAATAATGATATAACAAGTAATAATGATACATTTAAACATAATTTCAGGACCAGATGACGACAATAGAGTCACCAGATTCCTCCATATCTTCACTTTCATCTAAATGGTGCTTTCTAGACTGTAAGTTACAAAAATCTATCTATTTTCCTGTAATGGACTAGTCCATTCATATTTTTGGACTGTCCATTGTTATATTCAGGTGTTTCATATATGAGCCTCGGGTTTGCAACCAGCATGGATCCAGACCAGCCTGAGCATCTGCGCAGTCTGATCAGGATCCATGTTGTTCGCTTACCAACCCTATTACAAGTAGGGAAACTGATAGCGAACAGCATGGATCCTGATCAGACTGCGCAGATGTGCAGGCTGGTCTTGATCCATGCTGGTCGCAAACGCACTATGTTGGTTTTGTCGTGACGCGGTATATATAATTTTTGCAACTACCAATTTCACTGACATATTCAAAGATTAATAAGGGATGTGTTAGAAAAATCGAGGTAGCTGATTTTAAGGCACCTGTGTCCTATTTTTGGTAAGAAACCTTGTTTTTATCTTTTTATGTAAAAAGCTTATCCAGCTGTTTGTTCAAACCTGATATCACACTTTGCACGATATAATTTGCAAAGGGTGTCACGCCAGGTGGGAAATTATAAAAGCACATTAACTGTGTCATATTTTGCCTGATACAGTGGTCAAGGGTTTGCCCCTAAGTTCTTATTAATTAAAGTTGTTAAATGTTCTGAACGAAGTCTATATGACTTAAAATCCAACACAACCTGTCTTTGGAAATTTCTTTAATAATGTTATGATCTTTTTTAGAAAAACGTTATGTTGAAAATGTTTGTTTTAACAATTTTAGCAACAACTGCAGAAAGATTTTTCCGAATTGACCGATCTCAGGAAAATTTACACTACATTACGGACATATCATCAGAGGACCTTTATATTCTTGACCCCGATATGACCTCCAAAGGTCGTAACAACAACAACTTAGAGACATTAGTAGACAAGAATACATCGGTTGTGAAGGAAAACAATTTCACGTCTTCAAAAGATAGCGAGCTTGTTTTCACATTTTCAATGCCAGTGACACCTCCAAAATCACCAAGGTAATTTACCAAGGACGATAAAAGTATGGAGTAATGTTGTCTTACAGTTGATTTTAACCCTTAACCTGCTAGAACCAAATGTGATTAGCCTTTGTCACCGGTATAGAGCCAGGCCCGTATGGACATCCAAGCAGGCTGACCAGGCTCAATACTGTTTGAAGCTCAATTTTTGGTTTTTGTTAAAGTGACATTATGCCCTCCCATAGGTAGATAATTATACAGTGAACAGGTGAAAGTCAAAATAAGTTAACATTTTCTCATAATTCCTGTCAGTTTTATAATTTACTTCACATGAACGATAAATAACTCACTAGCCCCTGTGAAATGGGTGTAATTATCCATCGGAATGTATCTGTAACTTTTCAATTTATGAAAAGAGTGGGGCAGTCTTTTTATATATTTAGGTAGATTTATTTTTTACCCTAAACATTTTCAAATATCATATGTTGGTCAATCACCATTATAACGACTAGTTTATTGAAATGTATAGTCAATTAAAGTCAATTTGACAATAAAAAAATGAGCATAATGTCACTTTAATGGAATCCCTCAAAATTCATATGGAACATTCCAAATTCAAAGCAGGGCAAATCCATTACACAAATGTAGCAGGTTAAGGGGTTTAAGCCAGTAAAGCAATGCTATGCTTACAAACAGCTTTTTAATGATGTTTTAAGGTTTGGGAAAAGTCTTCTTTAACTTATTTCGTAAGCTTTTGTATCTATGTTAATTCAACTGTGATGCATTTGATTATGTCAATGAATCTTTTTTAGAAATGGTGATGAATTTTTTTTTTATGAAACTAAACAATGAATATTTCATCTTAATTTTATATATTTGTATTAAAATTTCGCTTTTACCTTTATATGATTATAAGTAATTGCTGTATTACACATATGATTCTAAAGCTGCGCTTGCTGTAAGCTTCCTTTATAAATGAGAAATTGAGTACATGCTCCTTTTAGCTGGCGTCTGAAATGGACATTTGACCATTTTTACGATTGAATACACAATTAGGATAACTCACTTGCCCTGTTGATTTATAATAATTATATTGTGGATATTTAAGTTTTTTTCTATAAATACAGGATTTACTTTCATAAAGTGGTATGAAAATAAATATTTCATGAGTGGCGGTAGCCACAAGTGATATTGATAATTTTCATACCACAAGATGTAAATAAATCCTGTATTTACAGAAAAATATTAGAATTTTCTGTTTATTATGTACATTTTGCCCTTTGTGTGATGGTTGAAAATTAACACTTACATTTCCATTTACACATTTCACATTAGGGAACATTTGGAAAATATGTTTCACTGCAGTGAAAAATAATTTTTTATAGTGAAAATACAGAAAATGAAAATAAGCATTTTATTTTATCAATATTTCTCAATATTTCAATTATAAGTATATAATAAACGAGTATATATGCACAATTTCTGGTGGTTAGGTTGCATCGGTTATGGTTACTTGTAATGGTCACTAACTTTGAACCTTTTATCCCTTCACTACTGTAGCTTAGTACATGGAATACTGAAAGTACTATGATACCAGGAAAGCTATTATCATGCCTAACATACTGGAAGGCTGGTTGGTGGTTCCGCTTGCTTTTACCTGAAATTACGCCTGGCTTCGAGCTCGGAGCTGCAGTAAAAAGATTAAAAGTTGCTGTGAGACAAAAAATATGCCCTAAAGAAAATGAAAACCTTTTAAAATAAAAGATGAATGGCTATAAAAAGAATAGACGTTATCCGGAACTCAGCAAATGTGGGGTTTTCCCAGCTAATCTGTAGGTGCAAACTAACTTTTACCGTTATAGCTTCACGGTGCACTGCCAGTCACAATAGATTAGTCAACCTGTTTCGCTTATGTTCGAAGCTGTAACTGTAATAAGTTTGTTTATACCTACAGATTAGCTTGGAAAAACCCAAATATTCTTAATTGCGGAGTAAATCTATTCAAGCAATAACTTGGAACATGTTATATTATAGAGTACAGATCTTAGATGCCAGGAGGAATGGTGTAGCATTGTAATATATTTAAGTTTCAATTTTTTTTCTCTTTTTCTGCCTTATTCAAAAGGACACTTAAATTTCATATGTGTTTTTATTGGCATTCTGAAGTTCAGATTTTTATTGTTGTTTTTATGCCACCGCAGCATCTGCGATGCGGTGGCATATAGCGATTCACCTGTGTGTGTGTTGGTGTGCTTGTTTGTGTGTGTGTGTTATATAGATTATATAGTGAACTTAAAAAGTCTTCTTTTGAAAAACCACTAGTCCAATTTAAACCAAACTTGGCAGGATTGATCCTTGGGTGAAGGGCTTCCAAAGTTGTTCAAAGAATTTCATTCCATGCAATAATCTGGTTGCCATGGCAACCGAAAGGAATTTTAAGAATAAATTTAAAAAATCTTCTTGTAAAGACCCAAAATGCCTAGAGCTTAGATATTTTGGATAAGGCATTGTCTGGTAGACCTCTACCAAGATTGTTCAAATTATAGCCCTGGGGTCAAAATCGGCCCCGCCCCAGGGGTCATTGATTTTCACTATATGTACATATAGTAAAAACTAAAAATACCTTCTTGTAGAGACCCAAAAGGCCTAGAGCGTAGATATTTGCATTGTCTGGTAGACCTCTACCCAGATTGCCCTAGGGTCAAAATGGGCCACGCCCCGGGGGTCATTGATTTTCACTGTATGTTCATATAGTAAAAACTTAAAATACCTTCTTGTAATGACCCAAAAGGGCTAGAGCTTAGATGTTTTGCATAAGGCATTTTCTGGTAGACCCTTACCAAGATTGTTCAAATTATAGCCCTGGGGTCAAAATCGGCCCCGTCCCAAGGGTCATTGATTTTCACTATATGTACATATAGTTAAAACTTAAAATACCTTCTTATAAGGACCCAAAAGGCCTAGAGCTTAGATATTTTGCATAAGGCATTGTCTGGTAGACCTCTACCCAGATTGTTCAAATTATAGCCCTGGGGTTAAAATCGACCCAGCCCCGGGGGTCATTGGTTATCCTTATATGTATATAGTAAAAACTTACAGTAAAAACTTTTAAAAAAATCTTCTAGTAATTGACAAATGCTAGAGGTAAGATATTTTGCATGAAACATTGTGTAGTGAAGCTCTAGCAAGATTGTTCAAATTATAGCCCTGGGGTCAAAATTGGCCCCACCCCTAGGGGTCATTGATTTTCACTATGAACATAGAGTAAAAAATTTAAAAATCTTCTTATCTGAAGGTACAAGGCTTAAAGCTTTGATATTTGGTATATAATATCATCTTTGGGTCCTCTACTAAAGTTGTTTTAATTATGCCCCTAGTGTTGAAATTGCCCTGCCCCAGAGGCGCTAGATTTCCTTATATGTATAAAGTAAAAACTTGAAAAATCTTCTTCTCTGAATTGACAAAGGCTAGAGTTTAAATATATGGCATGAGACTTTGCGAAGTGAACCTCTACCAAGATTGTTCAAATTTTAGCCCTGGGGTCAAAATTGGTTCTGCCCCGGGGGTCATTGATTTACATTATGTATATCTAGTAAAAAAATAAAAAATATTTTTGTCTGAAGGTACAAGGCATAGAGCTTTCATGTTTGCTATATAATTTCATCTATAGGTCCTCTACCAAAGTTATTCAAATTTTTCCACTGGTGTCAAAACTGGCCCTGCCCGGGGGCATGATTCTCATTATGTACACATAGTAAAAACAAAAAATAAATCAAATGTTTTCTGAATGGGAGAAAGCTACAGCTTAGATATTTGACTTGAAATGTTGTTAAGTGGACCTGTATCAAGATTGTTTTGAATTAAACCCTTGGGTCAAAATTTTGCCTTGTCCAAGGGGACAGTGACCTACTTTCTTGTCCTTTGATGTACAGCAATGAAATTTTGACCATGTGCACAGTTTTAGTTGTAAAATTGAACTTTGATATCAGGTGACCTAGATTTTGATAATGTGACCTACTTTCTTGTGCTTTGATCTACAGCTATGAAATTTGAACCATGTGCACAGATTAAGATGTAAAGTGGACTTTGATATCAGCTTACCTAGATTTTGACAAAGTGTCTTACTGTGTTGTCCTTTGATGTAGTCATGAAATTTAGGCTGCGTGAAATATGACCTTCACCACCAACTTACTAGACTCAAGTGCATTGATATATTCCTGCTCTGATCTTTTATTAGCTCACCTGTCACAAAGTGACAGGGTGAGCTTTTGTGATCGCACACGTCCGGCGTCCGTCCGTAAACTTTTGCTTTAAATGACATCTCCTCATAAACCACTGAGCCAATTTCATCCAAACTTCACAGGAATGTTCCTTTGGTGGTCACCTTTAAAAATTGTTCAAAGAATTTAATTCCATGCAGAACTCTGGTTGCCATGGCAACCGAAAGAAAAATCTTTAAATATCTTCTTTTAAACAACCCTAAGAGCTAGAGCTTAGATATTTGGCATGAAACATCTTCTAGTGAGTGTCTACCAAGTTTGTTCAAATCAAAGCCCTAGGGTCAAAATTGGCCCCGCCCCGGGGGGTCATTGATTTTCCCTATATGCATATAGTAAAAACTTAAAAAATCTTCTTTTAAAGAACCGTAAGAGCTAGAGCTTAGATATTTGGCATGAAACATCTTCTAGTGAATGTCTACCAAGTCTGTTCAAATAAAAGCCCTGCGGTCAAAATTGGCCCCGCCCCAGGGGGTCATTGATTTTCCCTATATGCATATAGTAAAAACTTAAAAAATCTTCTTTTAAAGAACCATAAGAGCTAGAGCTTAGATATTTAGCATGAAACATCTTCTAGTGAATGTCTACCAAGTTTGTTCAAATAAAAGCCTTGGGGTCAAAATTGGCCCTGCCCCAGGGGGTCATTGATTTTCCCTATATGCATATAGTAAAAACTTAAAAAATCTTCTTATTAAGAACTCAAAGAGCTAGAGCTAAGATATTTAGCATGAAACATGTTCTAATGGGTGTCTACCAAGTATGTTCAAATAAAAGCCCTGGGGTCAAAACTGGCCCCGCCCGGGGGGGTCATTGATTTTCCAAGTGTATAGCAAAAACTTAAAAATCTTCTTTGAAAAAAACCAAATAGCTAGAGTTTAGATATTAAGCATGAAACATCTTTAAGTAAATATCTACAAAGTTTGTTCAAATAAAAGCCCGGGGGTCAAAACTGGCCCTGCCCCAGGGGTGTCATTGTTTTTTATTATATGTGTATAGTAAAAACTTTAAAAATCTTCTTTTAAAAAACCCAATGAGCTAGAACTTAGATGTTTAGCATGAAACATCTTCTTATGGGTGTCTACCAAGTCTGTTCAAATAAACAAATATAAACCCTTGGGTAAAAATTGGCCCGGGGGGGGGGGGGGGGCTATATACAGGTGAGCGACCTCAGGGCCATCATGGCCCTCTTGTTTGATTAACAATAGATTTAATCACTAATCTGATAATAAGAATTAGATAGGTCAGGGATCTATGCATTATGACAATCTTCAATTGTATAGAAACAAAAAAAAATCTGTTCCTACACTCAGTGTGGCCATACCACGTGACATTGACGTCATTTTTGGCATCATTTCCAAGACAAATATTGCTCGATTCGGAAAAGAAAATAGCCGTAAATATTTTATTTCTGTATCAATATCATTGGGATATGCACCAGTCTACGGGGAAAAATATAAGCTTTCCACAGAATATTGGATCTTCGTCAGTTTATAAGCCGTTTTATCAAACACTTTGCATAACCTTGGAAGTTGCTTGTATTAGTGCGGGCTTCGGTTGCAAGTTATTTCGTTTTCTGGCGTTATTTGGTCTACGCCATGATAAATAGGTCAGGTTTACATCAACCGGGGGTACAGACAGCAAAATCCTACCTTAATATGTTTATATGGTTATTATATATGGCGTAAATCTTGCCATTTTCTTCAATTGTCAATTCTGGCACCAGTTCCAAGTCGAAAAAAGGGACTACAGTTTAAAGCAGAATTATGAATCTGTTGCAAATGCGAAGCAACATGCCTACCGTTCTCTCTTTATAATTATGTTAATCATAAAAACATTTGTTATTTACTGTACGATTTACATAAACACAAATGAATATTTAAATGATTTTTACTTGCTGCGCTATAACATGTATAAGTGTTTTTAAAAGTCGTAAAATTGTTGTCTGTACATATGTATTTGTAAAGAAATTGATTTGCTCTTTAATCATTGTTCTTTCACGGTAATGATTATGAAAACTCTATATGTGTCATGTAGCAATACTAAACGTATTCAAAATAGAGAGAAAACAGAAACCCAAAACGGCAAAATTGACTTAGCTAGAATGTCCAATGAACGTACACAATCAGGATCACTTTCATTTTTATGTTGTAAAGCGTTATGCCTCAACGCGGCAATTTCAAAGTCAAAGGGTATTCTTTTGTAAAAGAGTTATTTATACGTATAACCATAATGTTATAAACCTGTAGCAAGTATAATAGATTCAGCTTTTTATTACAGCGGCACTCGTTGATAAAAAATATTTTACATCCTGTTTTCATACCCACGGTAACCGTTTTTCGTGAACTGGATATAACTTAGTTCACTTAAGAACACTAAACACTATTTTATTATTGCAATTATTTCTGTTGATAAACTACATATCTGACAATTTTTTTAATTATATCAGTCAATCGAGCTTTATCAGAGAGCTCACCAATACACATTGTAAAGAGAGGAAGGGAACGGAATATTTATGGTTTGAAAACATTTAAATCGAGTAGAATTTTTAACAATAATGTCTCTTCCAACTGAATAAAAACGATAGGGCTATTTGGGACTATTTCTTATCGATGTGGTCATTGGCTGTAAATGCATGGATTATTGCACGCGGCATGACCTGCATATGTCCTTAACAGGATTTTTGTTGCATTTTAAGATTTAAAGAAGGACCACATACTAGTATTAAAATCTAAGACATGATAAACATAATGCATATGCCAAATAAATGAATTATCTTATATGTGAATAAAGAAGTAAATAATTTGACAGTTGAAGAATAAAATTGAATATACTCTTCAAATGTAATCGTAATTTTACCTAGCTTATGTTAGCTATCAATAATTCAATGGACGCATCAGTGTCATATATGGACCCAGTCGTGTTGCTATTACATACATGTTAATGTAAATATTTATATAATTATTGATAATCAATGTTATGTCCGACTTTTAGAATGTTTTGTTTCAAGAAATTTGACTTTGATCGATGGCTGTTGGTTTGTAAAATCATTTATCTATTTACTATTTTCTACTTTGTTTACTCCACATGGCGTCCATTCTCGTTTTCTGTACGAAATCTGCCGTGGTCATAGTATTATTTTTACAATAGGTTTATCTCTTAGATTTGGTTTGCTAAATTGCTAATCATGATCATGCAACTACATAGTTAGGTGAAGAAGCAGGCGCTTGTTTTGGTTGAGTCTATTATGTTTTGTTTAGGGGGTTGAGTTGTCATACACAAATTTACAATTTACATGCATTGATTTCCAATGATTGTTATTATCTTAAATGCTTCTGGGATTGTTTTTTATCAATTCATTTGTAAATATAAGATTGTTATATGTCTATTAACGGAATAATTTTAATGAACACAAAATTAGTTCACACCTACAATGAACATGTGTATTGTAACGTGATGGTTTAAGCCAATGAAAAACACGTCAATATTATTATACTCGTGCAAAGAGTAAATCGATAATCTTTATGTAGCCAGCAAACTTTGAATTGCAAGTATTTTTTCATATCTTTTCAGCAACTTTTCGAGGATTCATATCGTAAAATGGCTGCCATTTACAGTATCAAGTGATTATCCCAAGCACGACCGCGACTTAGCGCGGGAATTTTAATTAAGCTTACCCCGGCGCGTATACCTTTTTCATATTTTATTGTAATAAATATTTACAAACTGTGTCTTTCGGGTTTTTTTTTATCAATATATAACCAATAATGAGGTTAATATGAATAAATAATCATATCTCAAATCTTTGACTATGATTTACAATGAAATTCTACCTTAAGTGTATTAAAAAGGTTTTTAATTTCCTGTAATTTTATTTTGTGATTATGCTTCAAAGCAGTCAATGACCGTGAATTTTCTTTTCATATTTTGATTTCCTTGAAATCATTTTTCTCATCTGAAGGCATGCAACTTTAATATGGTGATACATTAATTACATTCCATGAAAATGTTTAAAGATATAAAATATCTCATGACATGTTTGTTCATTTTACATTACACCTTTAATTCAGCAAACATAAAGTCTTCACAAAAAGTAGTATGCAATCGTACCTATATTACATACGAATGTATGTAATATTTTTCTTGTTTATTGGCGACTCAGGGCTATTTTGGGCCTTTTTGATAAATAGTAAATAGAGAATCATAAGTAACGCAAGTAAGTAACAATACTATCAGGTTTACACGCAAAGTTGCAAGTTATATGTAATGCTATTTAAAATTGTTCTACACAAAGAACAAAATCTGACTGATGATGAATATGCTTATAGTTAAATAAGCATAAAATGTGAACGCCATGTTAATGCGCGTGACAATTAGATTCAGGATTTTCATTCTAAATTGTGATTTTTGTTTATCAAACTTTATAGAAATTTATTATACGGCAATTCCAGAAAAATATATACCTTTTCAAAGTCTCTCTTTTGAGGACAGAAGAACCTATTCGTCACCTTCACGAGTGTCAGTGTTTGTCAGTTACTCTTTACAAAAAAATAGACTGAAAACATTACCTTAAGCCTTTTTACACCACTCGCGTTATAGTGTAACCCTTTCCGTAGCATTGTTTTATTTTAACTCTTTTTCTCATTGAGAGCAAATTTATTTCTTATCAATTTCGCCATTGTGAAATAGAATAAATCACATTTTACTACATAGGATAAGATGAGCAATACTTTAAACATCTTCAAAACGAAACCAAAATATTATTTTTCGGTGCACTATTGCGATACAAGTAAGTGTTATTGCTTTAAGGAACAATCAGTTTTTTCACAATCTCTTTGTGAAAGATCAACAATGAAACAGTAAATTGTAGAAAGAGAACGGTAGGCATGTTGCTTTGCATTTGCAACAGATTCATAATTCTGCTTTAAACTGTAGTCCCTTTTTTCGACTTGGAACTGGTGCCAGAATATTGACAATTGAAGAAAATGGCAAGATTTACGCCATCAATAATAACCATATAAACATATTAAGGTAGGATTTTGCTGTCTGTACCCCCGGTTGATGTAAACCTGACCTATTAATCATGGCGTAGACCAAATAACGCCAGAAAACGAAATAGCTTGCAACCGAAGCCCGCTCTAATACAAGCAACTTCCAAGGTTATGCAAAGTGTTTGATAAAACGGCTTATAAACTGACGAAGATCCAATATTCTGTGGAAAGCTTATATTTTTCCCCGTAGACTGGTGCATATCCCAAAGATATTGATACAGAAATAAAATATTTACGGCTATTTTCTTTTCCGAATCGAGCAATATTTGTCTTGGAAATGATGCCAAAAATGACGTAAATGTCACGTGGTATGGCCACACTGACACTACTATTTAGTGTTGTATTAATGCGGTGGCATAGCATTTTTCTCAAATGCAATCTTGTTTTTAACACAAATATGCCTATTTAAAGAGTATAGGTTTATATTTTTGTATTGCACTTACTTATCTTAAGCGATAATTATGAAATTGTGTTAGTGTTGTTGTTTTGTTTTGTTTTTATTTTGGATGAAATATATTTATCATTTTCTAGCTGTTCCTATTGAATTTGGCAGTGATTAACTATTTACATAATCAGAAAAATGATGGAATTAACATTTGACTTCTCTACTGTCAAACCTGTGTTTTAAGCCACCTCTGAAATTAAAGAAAGAATCTCAATTATTTAAGTGCTGGCCTGTATAGCAAGGTGATCACTATTATTTGTCTTGCTCAACTATTAAAATCAGTGTGTAAACCAGAAAAACAAACAAACATTACCTCACCTGCTAAAGAACAATATAGCGTTACATAGATTTTAACATAATTATACCTGTTTTTTACTACAGTTGTACTTAGACACATTTGTGATAATTTCCATTAACAAGCACGGAGAATAGTCGAGTTTGCAGTCTTGTCAACAGCTTTTGTGTTTTTATTTCAGTCTTTTATAAGGAGGGTTTAATACACAGTTTTGACTATATTAATTGTAAATCTCTCTGAAGAGTATATTTCTATCTTTTGCTATATCTTATCTTATTTGTTATGTTTTAGATTTGAGCAATCTCTTACAAGGCCGGAGAGCACAGAAAACCTGTTATCACCACCAAACCAACCTGGTTCAAATAACAGGTGCTTCTTACTATGTTTCCTTGTCTTCCAGATGCTTGATTTCCATAAAAACATTGATCATGATCTTGCAGGAGCATTGTCTTATATATTATGTTCATCAGGGTCTATAAATAGATAACAATGGGTCAAAGGTCATAAAACGTAAAGTTATTTAATGTATATGCAAAGCAACGCTGATATTGGTGACATGTCTGCAATATAGCTCTGTCATTGGTCATTGCTTTAAAAATTTGAATTTTGAGTAGCCAATCAATGATTGTCTTACATATTCTATTCAGATCTGACAATTGATAAAAGTGGATTTTGAAATGAAAGGCATTTAATTGTTTAATAATGGTTTAAATTCAAAAGTATTTCTTTTTAAATTATGATTCCCTCTATATGAGGGATTTAAGAGATTAATGTCAATATTTGTTAAATATTTTAAATCATATTGTATCATATGACATAGCTTGAGCGAGGCTCTATTTCTCCATGAAAATTGATCTTGGACATCGGGTCTCTGATGGTCACTTGTGTCTCACTGATTAAGAAATCATGTTAAAATTAGAAGTGGGTCACTTATGAAGAAATTGGTAATTACTGGTTAGTTATCCAGGAAAGCCGGTAACATGGATAAGAACAAAAACGTGTTGAAATCAGCGTTCAAATCCAGAAGAACAATCAAACTAAATATTAACATAGTTTCCACAAGTATCATGAAACATTTGGAAAGAAAACATTTTGCATTTTAAATGTCATATCCTGATTATCAGCTTTAATATGATCTTAGAATTTTCTGTTTGATCTTAATGCAGTAACAGGTTATCTGCTTATATAAATCAATAGTAGTTACCCCATTACTGCACTAAGGTGATAAATTATGTAACAATGATTGCTCAAACATTTAATGCTATGTGCTTATTAAATTTAATTGCCAGTTATGCAATGCTTATTAATTGGCAGATGCTAAAATGTCAAGATTTAGTTTGACGTTGCTCATTATTTTGGACTATTGCATTCTGTAATTGTAATGTAATGCTGTTGTGAAATTATATTGTAATGGTAATTAGCAATTATTTATTTGACAGTTATGTAAATTGGTTGAAAACAACAATGGCTTTCCATACAAAAGTGAATGTTTTGTAACATAAAAGCCTTGTTTTCCCCATTATGGGTTTTCCCATTATTATGGGGACTGAGACGTCACACCAAATGACTGCTCCCTTAATATATTTACTAGTAATCGCACCATTTTGGAACTAGGAAGCTGAAAAAGACTTCTGCCTCTTGTTAGATTTGAACCCAAAACCTATGTATTAAAGGTTGTGGTGCTCTAATCCTACACAATTCTTCGTACATACTGCAATGGTTTTCAAAACTATGGCCATTGAATATTTCCTGTTTTATTGCATGATGGATTGCCATAACTAAATTAACTTTCAGCCAAGTATAGGCAGTCATTTAACTTTTCCTTATTACAAAATCCTTCATAACATTGCATGTTGTTTTATACAATTCCACTGCCTTTTTATAGTAAATTTACACAATCTTCTATAGTACACATTATAACAAATATACAATTCTTGACTTATGAGGCATGTATCTCAAATGAACTTAAATTCTGTACAAATTTAGAAAGATATTAAGAATTTTTGTGAAGGTCATTGTTTGAATAGAGGTTACGGTTATTCTGAAAGGTCAATTTGTACCAGGCTTTTACTTAAAGTTCTGGGTTTTTAAAACATATACAGGTCTGTTTTTTACATTTAAGGTTGAGGTCTTCTTTTTACATTTAAGGTCAAGGTCTCTTGAGGTAACAAAAAGTTTAATTCAGGGGTATTCACATATGTGTTCGTTGTTTTGTATTTTATAAGGATATTTTTTTGGGGGGGGGGGGGATAATTTAAAAATAAAAGAGAAAAAAGAGAAAAATCGGATAAATTTTATTTTCTTAGAAACAAATGGTTAATACATGCCTTCTATGTAACGATTTTGGTTTGTGCATTTTTTTCAGCTCAGAACCAGGGTCACCAAATGCTCCCATTGCAGCCCCTGTTAGACCATTTCATTTTACAACAACTGGAGAAAAGCCAAAACCCCTTACACCAGCAGACAAAAGTAAGTTAGTCCATATGGCTTTGTTTTGCTTCTTAATTTTATGAATGTTTATTGGATACTTGCATTGGGAAGTTAACACTCCAGACGGTCAATGGTTTTATAGTGTGATAACTGCTTGCAGCAGATTTTGTTTGTACAGACTTTATTAGTCTGGCTATTTGAAAAATAAGGAGAGCTATATTGTACTGACATCAGTGTTGGAGTCGCTGTCTCACTTTGGTTAAGTTTTCACATGCAAGTTGGCATCTCCATAACTACTGAAGAGAATAGGTTGGAACTTGAACACACTCATGCTCTGATTATCTGAAATGATGGGCACAAGTCACATAACTCGAGCTTTTGTTTTAGTTTGTGTAGGAACCTGTAAAGTTATAGTCACACTCTCAAATTAGTTATTTGAACACACCGGAAGATTGTGTGTAAAGTTTCATGCTCAAGGAAGCACAGATGCCTGACGTCTAATATCCCCTTCATACTTTCTCATATCTGTAATAAACATTGTTTAGTATATGTATAAGGGTGGGGCGTCTGTTCGCCTTGTGGTTAAGGTTGTTGACTTCAAACTACTTGTCCGTCACCGCTATGCATTCAAATCCTGATAGGGACTTTGGATTTTTTCATGTGAGGAAGTTATCCAGCTAGCTTATGGAATGTCTGGTTCTTCTCAGGTCCCCGTTTCTGCCTGAAATAATGCACAGAATTAGACCTGAGGTCATCCTTTACCAGTACAGCTGGAATGTCGCCATATGACCTTTAATGTGTTGGTGTGACGTAAAACCCTATCAAACAAGCAAACAATAATATATAAAGGTAGGGGGTGTTTGTGTACAACATCAGGCACCTGAGCAAGGAAGCAATGACTTGCCCTTGAACCTATGTGGCCTGCAATCCTAATGTAACTAGTCTGAAGTGTTAACAAGTCAATCATGTTGCCACTTGCACCTGATTTGATGCTGTGTGAAGCATTCATGAATCTTTTTACACCAGTAAAGTCAGGAAATTTCTATATGATTTTTACAGTGTAGGTGTGAGTGGAAACAAACCACAAAAAAAAAAAATTCAAAAAGAAATTTTTTTTTCCCAGAGTAGCTTTAATGTTATCAATCGTGGAAGCCATATAAATTATTTATATGGTTTCCAGATTAAAACATTTGCACTGCTGAAAAAGTATTAACTTCCAGTAGAATTCAATTAGGCTTAGCAGGAATGCACAATAATGTAAATTAATGGACTGGCTTTCACAAAACTGTCAATTGCTCGAAAAATTCATTCAAACTTATTTCATTAAAATAATTTTTTTACGCATAATTTAATATTGGTGATATTGAAATTTTAGATTAGTGAAATGTGAATGTTGGGAGACATTTATGCAAATCATTGACAAGGCATAGATTCAGCGTTTTTAGTTAAAAATTTTTATACTTGTATTTCAATTAACTTAAAAAGAAAAATATGTTAAGATTTCAGACTTGAATAGATTTGCACTGCTAGTTTATATGTAGATTAAATCATTGCTAATATTGCATTTGCATGTTGCCAAGGCAATATCTTGTTTTATGTATACTATTATCAGTTAAGTGGTAATCACAGTGTCAAGGTCACCAGTTTTCAAGGTCATATCATTTTCAAGGTGATATAATATGTAGGCATGATCAATTAGCTAGGAAGGCAGTTTCAAATTGGTTAGTTCTTTTAACTTGCTAAATTTATCAAATGGACTTGTCCAGCTTCCATTTTTGGGACTGTCCATTGTCAACTTTGGGGATATCAAGATGAAAATTTAAAGTTAGGCAGACATTAGAGCTGGGTCAGACTGCACAGATTCAGATTCGGCAGGGTAAATGTAAACATAACCAGACGTTCAAGGGCATAACCTTCATTGTGAAAGCCAGTCTGACATGTAAGTCGAAATTGTACCTGGGTTTGTTGATATTTGGTGGGTGGGGGGAGTGGTTTGCGAGCGGGAGGATGTTTTGTACATAAATTGTAAAGATCATATTCCTGTTGGCTTAATTAAAACTGCTGATACATGTTTCAAAATTTAGCCATTATAGAATAAGGTATTGAAAATTAGAGGACAATTAAGAAATAAGACACATCCACCTTGGACTTGTGCACTTTAATGCAATTTATCATCTCGGGGCCTGGTTTCAATTCCACACTCCACTTCTGTCCGGAATTAACTATTGATAGAATTTAGAATCCTCACAAAACTTCATGGTCCTAAAGAATATAAAGACAAAAGAGATACCTGCATGTGTAACTGGCAAAGTGGTCAAGGTAGCTTAATTAAAATCACTTGCCTCATAGCTGTGTGATCAAACCCTTTTATGGAAATCACATGATGATTTATGAGATCTAGGCAAGTTATACATCTAGGTTCTGTGAAGTGATTGCTTCTATTTTTACCTGCCGGTGATGAAGGACAGTTGTCTACCAGGTCTTTGATTACCAACATTTTTTGGGGGTTTTTTTTCCAAAAAAAAAGAACATGAAATCAAAGAAGTGAAAGGGCGTCGCTATAGATAGATTTACAGTGTGATTTCCTTGTTTATTAGGTGATAATTAATGTTACAATTGATAGATCGAGAAAAAGATTGATTTGTTCATCGATGATGATTTATGTTAGTATTGATAGATTCAGGCAAAGATTGATTTGAGCCGCGTCATGACAAAACCAACATAATAAGTTTGCGACCAGCATGGATCCTGACCAGCCTGCGCATCCGCGCAGTCTGATCAGGATCCATGCTGTTCGCTATCAGTTTCTTTACTTGTTATAGGGTTTGTATAAGCGAACAGCATGGATCCTGATCAGACTGCGCAGATGCACAGGCTGGTCTGGATTCATGCTGGTCGTAAACCCATTATGTTGGTTTTGTCATGATGCGGCTCATTTAATTTTGTTAATTTCAGTGATGATTGATGCATCAAAGCGTGGTGATTTACGGAAGCTTGCGGAGCTTCACGAGCATGGTGCTGACCTTCTGTGCACAGATCAATACGGCATGACGGCGTTACATCATGCGGCAAGATTTGGTCACAAAGAAATTGTTAAATACCTTGTAAAAAATGGTAAGTATCTGGAACTATGAAAGATATACTGTTAATATACGAGTAATATCAAAATACTTTGAATTTACTTAATTTCATGGGCATGAAATGAAAATTTGTTGGATCTTAGGTCAAACTATGAAAGCACAAAAATTTGTTCACCACAAATAATAATGATATATGAATAATAAGCAGGCAGCAGTAAATGAGTAGTCTGGTCTGGCGGATTTGTGTCTCACAGCTGATAAGAAACCATGCAACGGGGGGGGGGGCAGAGATATGGCCAAAATTGTGTTAAAGCATGCTTAAAAATCAGAAAAATAAGCAAACAAGAGATCAGCTTACTGGTCAATTGCTATATACCAGTGACAAAAGCGAGTCATTATCTCCCCTTACAAAGATTAAACCAGTTACTGGCTAGATGTAGAAAGTGATCACTGATTAGCCTTTGCCACCAGTATAAAGCTGCCTTCCATATTTTGAACTCTTTAGTCTGACAAGGCTCTTTACTGCTGCTAGTATAATTTGTATTAGCATTTTGATATTGAAATCCCTAAAACCTTGAATGGACTGATCCAAATTCAAAAGAGGGCAAATCCATTTCACAAATTCAGCCAATGAAACAGTGTGCAAAGATGAACAGTGTGCAATGATGAACAGACTTTTAATAGTCTTAGTAGCTATATCAGTTGGCACAGGAAAATGTAGATATTTCCTTGGTGTTCAGAGAATTACAAAATATCAAAAGTGTAGAAAATGTTATTTTTTTAAATAAAGATACGTGGTTGAAACTGGTTATATTTGGATGAAACTGATTAACTTAATTACATGTATGTCATATAATTTCTGGGTCTAGATTTTCATTTAATGCAACTATAATAATATATCTTGCATCTAAAAAAATACCCAATTAAACAGAAATGACATGTTTATTTCAACAAAACATGCATAATTACTAGTAATTTTACGAAATTATACATACATAACTACTGTTATTTTATAGTCTCTTATTACATATAAATGACAGGGCTTGAGGTATTTATCTCTTATTACATAGAAATTTTACCTGTCTTAACAGAAAAATATCTTGGTTTCTTGGAAATGTTAGGGGGAAAATAGTAGAAAAAATATTTATCTAATGTTGAATATCTGATATTTTTTTGTTTTACCCTATCTGCACTAGAGGTCTGCTTAGAATTGCTCATATGTTCAGTAGCCAGAAATATTTTTGATTTTAGGTGTTAATGAATATATTTAATCTTAATGAATATAATTAATCTCAATGAATGTATTTAATCTTTTGATTAAAAAGTAGAATCTGTCCTGCTTTCGATAGACCAGCTTATATTTAGTGTAAATGAAAAAGTATAATATTATTGCTACAGCCAACTTTCTAAGAATATTTTCACAGCATTTGAACTATTCACATAGGTAATTTGATGCAAATATATGAAGATTGGCAGACTTATGCCCTCTAATTAAGCATAAAATTCAGCCTTTTCAGACTTGTGTCACGTGTAATTCCATAAATATTACTGCTGCAGCCATGTATTAATTTAATCATCATGTGAATTTTTGCACTATTACAGTTTAACAGGGTTACAGCCCTTGATTTAGCAAATTATTATATGTCACAATGACATAAATATCCAAAAGTATTACAGTTACTGTTGTGTTTATTGTACAGATAATTTTTGACAAAACAATGGATTGTGGGGGAATCTTTGTCCTATAGACACATTTCTAGCTACTTCCAGGACTCGCCTTTTTATTTGTAAGCAAGAAATATTCTATATTAAAATGAATAATTTCTTGTTTATTTGAACAAAGATATCGTAATAAATAAAAATGTCTAATTTGGGCAACTCTGGCAGTTTTGATATCTTGACCTAAATGTTTCCAGAAATTGAGATGCTCGTCTTTTCCCCCTTCCTGTATGAGATATGATATCTAACTTTTAATTAAAAGCTCTTTCTTTGCTTCGGAACAAAATGACATATTTAGATTGCTTTATGTTATTTTCTGGAAATGGTAGAAAGATTACTAAAGGTCTCTTAATTAAAGTAATGAAGGTTTTCTTGTTTGATTTATTAAAAAAGAAAATTATATGACATTTTAATAAGAAAATTTATTATATATCTGTAACAAGATATTAAATGGGTAACAGACACTGTCTTGTGTTATGGCATATGAAAGTAGAATAGATAAATATGATTGTCTTCATTCTAGGGAACTCAGAGATAGAAAGTTAATTTGTTCGTTCAAATGTTATTGCTTAAGTTGTTATTGCTAAAGTATGCTATTTTCGAAGCACTGAGAATTATTGTCTAACTTCAGGCAATTTACTTGGGTTGTTTTGTTAAATGAACAATGCTATTACATTTGTTTTTATTTTTGTATTCAGTGAATGAAGATTTTAATTCTGGGACATCTTTCACTCAGACATATTGCCATAAGGTTCATCAGTGGTATTTAATGAAATTTTAGAATGGTACTTTCCCCTATCAGTGTGTGATGGTTGTTTTTCTGTTTGATAAATAAATCAAGATTTTTAGAATATATCCTCTATTCTTTTCTATATCATGAATTAACATATTTATATATTATTATAAAGAGAATTTACCCTTTAACCTGCTGATTTTTTAAAATGGATTAGTCCTGCTTTGGATTAAGAACAGTCCATTCAAAGATTAAGGGATTTCAATGTCAAAATACAAAAATTAAGCAACCTGCAACAATATATAGCCTGGTCAGACTACATGGGTGTGAAGGCAGGCCTGGCTGAGCTACTGGTGACAAGGGCTTTTCCATCCTAAACATTTGTTATAATCAATTATTGTTCATGCAATCACCATTGTAATAGTCAATCTTTTGAAGTCAGCAACTAATTATATACTCAGATTGACAGTGAAAAAAAATTAGAATAATGCCACTTTAAGCCAAAATATATGTTGGAGTTAAAATGAGTAGAACAGCCTTAAGTATTCAAAGACTGCCCCATTCTTTTCATAAATTAAACATTACAGATAATTTCTGAAGGATAATTTATAGATATTTATGTGGGTGAATGGTGATTATTGATTATTCAGGTGACAAATAATTGTAAAATTGAAAGGAAATATTACAAAATGTATAGTTATTGTTAGTTTTACCTGAACACTCACCATTTACCCTTTGATGTGCATTATGTCACTCATTTTAGTATTTACATGTATTAAGGTTTTGAATAAGTGTGTGTGGACTGACAAGATAGTAGTACAAAACTCTCGACTGTGACACTATGTTTCAAATTTAAGAATACCTACCAATCCTACAGTCTCTTATTTATTGCCTATTAGTTGACATCATATAAGAATCATTCTGTTTTCATGTCTGGTTCAGTATCTGTTCACATGCTTGTAAATTTAATTTATAACTTTTATAGACATTCTTCTAAGAGGATAGGTTTTCTAAACATCTGTGGCCTGTTGTAATTCCATTCATCTTAAGTGTTTAATAAGGTTTCCATTTAAAATTTATAGAGAAAATAATCAGCAATAGTTGAATAGATATTATTAAAATACTTAGTTGGAGACAGTTTTTTTAAGAAAAAAGATATGTGACTTAAACGAACACTGTCATAAAAGAGAAGTTAATTATTTATAGACCTACATCAAAATTTGATGGAACATTTAGGTCTATCTGTAAAAACTATTTCTAGTCTCATTATATCAAAATCCTCAGTCGAGTCCCTTTAATAATTAAAGCTGTACACTCAAGGTGGTAAAAGTAAAGTAATTTCAACAGCATAGTAAGTGGCATTTCCAGGCCAACCCTATTAAATAACACCTAATGCCAAGTTTCTAAATAAGTCATATTTTATCTCAATTGTACTTTTTTAACAATTCTCTTTTTTCCTTTATTTCAGCCCCTCCTGTGATATTAGATATGGTGGACTATGAAAAGTAAGTCTTTAAGTTGATTTTATATTATGATTGTAACTAATTTGTTACTATATTATACTCTTACCCTGAGCCAATTGAGGCGAGTGTATTTACCCATGTGACCACTGCAGACACAAAGATCAGCGGACACATTAAAAATTTTAATTCTGTGCTGTTTGATTGTGGCCTGCACAGTTGGTTATTCAGTCAGATTAGTATTTATTTTCCACATGATAAGAATGACTATATAAAACAATTGCATCCAGATGAGTAAAATAAAAATTTTATGAAACAAACTGAAGAAGTACATGTAAAATGCATCTAAAATTTAAGAACTGTATTAATATTCGCAACGCGGGCAAGACTTTGATTTATTTCGAGAAATATGACTAATGTAGTTTGAAAAATATGACAGTCTTTTCTTATGCCTAATAATTATATGACAGACTTTTCTTATGCCTAAAAATATTTGTTGTATCTTTTTTTAAAGAACTCATGTCTTACATGTAGATTATATTAATTTATTTTTTGCTTCATTTTTCAGAGGCCAGACAGCATTACATAAGGCTGCGTGGTACCAGCGCAGGACTATATGTTGTGTACTGGTAGAGGCTCGAGCCTGTCTGACCAGGAAAGACAACCAAGGTAACACGCCAAGAATGCAGGCATTGAGAGCGGACGACAGGGAACTGGCAGCTTATCTAGAAAGTAAGCGGAAAAATATCATGACATTTTGAGCATGTTTTAAGAAGCAGGTTTCTCAATTTAAGCTTAAGCTCGTCTCTTTCAAAGAAAAAGTTGAGTCATTATGATCGTGACGTCGTTGTCATTGTTCAAAACCTAAAATGTAGCCCATAATTTTGATTATTATTATTTTTTTTAAGTTATCAGTACGAAACAGGGAATACTTGCTTATCATGACAAGATGCAATTGTTAAACAAGGGGCATAATTCTAAAAACAATACTAATGGAATTATGCCCCTTTTTAATTTAAAGTTTTAATGGATGAGCATTAACTCAGCATGCAGTGCTCTTGTCTGTGCTTTAATTTTAAACTTTAGAAAAATTTCTAGATCTAATTTACGTAATAGGAAGAATAGATCTACTTGATTCACTGAGAAATTTATTTTAAGTTGTAAGGCAATAACATATATATATATATATTATAACATAATTATTTTCATATTTGTCAGCAGTAAACTGGTATGTTAATCATGGTGCAAGGGAAATCTATAATTAGCTAAAATCAAATAAAGTCCCTATTTATAGCTACAAATTTTTTTCAATTTATGATATTAGATCTATAATTAGGTAGTAAACAAGTCATAGTTGATATAAACCAGTCTTCTTGATTGGTACACAAGTTTACCACAACCAGTCTCTGTACAAAATTGTTTTGGAAACCAATCTGCACTCAAAGTTATTAAATCAGTCTATACTGAAAATTATTATTTAACCAGTATACACTAAAAATTATTATTAAACCAGTCAACAACCAAACTTATTATTATTCTAAGCCAGTTTCCTGTATAGCAAACCAGTCTCGAGAATAAAAATTTCAGTTGCCAATTTGAATTAATGATGTTGTTATTCTGTAAAACTTATTCAAAACCAGTCTTAGACTAATTAATTACTGATTCTTCTTATGTAAAATACAGCTATTAATGTAATTTAATAAAAGATTCAAAGCTTGTCCAAAAAAAAGGAAAGTTTCAGCAAATGTTTAAACCAGTCTGATGATTTTCAGATTATGAGAAATTATGGATAGGTGCCTCTGAAACTCAGCCGCCAAATATAAAGTAAAATATCCACATACCTACATATATTATATATGCACAGATAGGTTGCTTTATAATGCACTATGATTATTAATCGAGGAAAATACCCATCATTATTATATTTAAAGCCACCTGGACAGCAATGTTATTTTTTCAGAAAGATCATTGAGCTTGAAAGAGAAAATCTTCAAAACCAGTATAAGCAAGAAAGAAAAACACTCAACATCATGGTTTTGTTAAAATTCTCACATCTGCTTAAATTAAGGAATAATACATGTTTATTAAGTAGGTTTGATTGATAATATAATCTCATATATTCTTCTCTTGGATTTTATCCTTTTTTCTTCAGTTTGCTTAATAAAGCTTTCAACACTCTTGCAAAACTTAATTAATTATAACCTTAATTATAACCTTGATCAGCATGTATGTATTTGAAGGGCTATTTACTTATGTTAAAGACTGTGGCTGAGGGGTTGCCTTTAAGGGTTGAGGCATCAGAATTGCAGCTTCTGTTTATTCCTGTGTGACCTTAAGAGGCGACAAAATGGGTCAAAATTACTGAAGTCTATGCATTTCTTAGCTCCAGCAGGCTAGGTGGTTTGACCCTTGGTGTTGCTTTAAGTTTGTAACACCTAAGGTTAGCCAGAAGCAGTCCTTTCCTATTTAGGTGTCGTATGAAAATTGTGTTGGTAGGTCGTAAAACCAAACGAAATAAACAAACATCACTTTTGGTACAGCAGGTTAAGTGTTAAAACCCCAATTACTGCCCTCCCTCCACAGATTTCCATCCACCTTCAGCGTTCCCGAACCCCTATTCTGTAATTATATGTATTCTGAATGAAGTAACGCGGTAATCAATTTGTTAAAGTAAAGGAGAAATTTCTTGCAGAACCGTACAGTAAAATCATGTAAAAAAATGAAAGTAAGTTGGCCAACAGTATAGACCCCCAGCCTTTGCTTGAAACTGGTTGTTAAAGTTAATAACTTTTAGTTCCAGCAGGTAATTAGTAAACTGCAATAAGTAGATATAACATTCATAGAAATGGCTTTGTAAGGGTGTATATGTTCACCAGTTTTATATAATCTATTGTAACTAGCTTCTTTAATATAACTCGTGTTATTGTATGCATTTCTGAAGAAGCACTTGAAATAGAATTTCATTTTGACAAAATCTTGTTTGCTTTGTTTTTGGACTTTTTATTCTAGAATATAACAAGCAAAATAGCAATCTCCACACAGTGATCTCCCCTTAATTCTTCGGCGTAGATCTCTGCCACCAAGGTCCCAATATATCAGAATTTCTGATATATTATATTTTTTCAAAAATTGTTTTATTTACTGCTTTTATCTATCAGTTAAGTTTTTTCTCATTGATTAAACAATGTTTATGGATAAATAAATAAATAATATGAATATTTAGAAATAATTTTAAAAAATATGAGAATATTTTCTACCGAGACAATATTTTGATATTTTATATTTTTTAGCTTTTGAATTTATTTTTCGTTATTTTGTATACTTTTGATAATTTTTTGATAAACTATATCGATCGTAGGCACTAAAAGTTAAAAATAATACAGAAAGAGAAAAATAACGTTAGATTTTCTTTGTAACGGTCGATATTTGCATTTGATTTTCGACGTTACGTCATGTGACTTTCATCATCATGTGACGTCTTTGAAGGCAGTGATTACAATTCTGCCAAGGGAGGTAATCAGTGTGAGGAGTTTGGCAAAATAGTTCTTAGAATATAATTTTGGGGTATCATGTTTTTGTCATGCAATCATTTGTATTTCAATACTGGCATTTAAAGGAGCTCCACTGATGTCAAAAAGTCTGATAACATAAAATTTGAAAATTGTACTTTAATATATTAAATGGGTCAGTTAAAATGGAAAAAATAGGGAAAAGATAAAAAAAGAAATATACGTAAAATTCCATTGACTATGTAATTGAAATATAATGTAATTGCAGAAGTGCAAGTCTAACCATGATTTGAGTTAAAAGCATTAATTAAAAGCTAAAGATGATTATTCTGGTGAAGAAAAAAAATATGAACAATAATAATCTGAAAATTTCCGTACAAAATATTGGTATAGAAGACATCAAGACTTAGTGGTATAAAAATTCTCGAAAAAAATCCAGTTTCGTAAGTTCAGAAAACCTCAGTAGAGTCCCTTTAAGTGGCAAAAACAATTTTCAGACCTGAGTGCCAGTAGTTGGAACAATGTTAATTTGCACATCAATGTAATCTGACTGTACTCCAAACTGTTGCTGCCTAGTTTAATTATTTCAATATAATATTCTGTTAAACAAACTGAAACTGAAAAGTAAAAAATTCAAAGCAATACAACCATGTCTGTAATTCAAATTAACTGGGATAAGAGTGACTAGAAGCATTGTGTAATGACATGTACATGTATGGGTAACTTATCTATCTTTATGTTTGGATCTTTAAATCTTTGATTGTTTATTCGTATTTGGTGAATATTAATAACTTGTTGTCCAGAATAGTTGCTTTTACCTAGGCTAACTGTTAATTAACTAACTGAAATGAACTAGTAGTAATATATAGTAATAGTAGTATATATTTAGCATCAGCACCAAATATAAAGGCCGCAAAATATCGCTGCCCTCTCCCTACCCAATCCCAGTGATTTTTACCATTTCTGGAAAAGATTTTAAATTTCCACCTCAAGTCCCCAATCCCAGAAGGAAAAATAAAATGATTTTTGACATTTCTGGAAGACAAAAAAAAGAGAAAAGATTTAAAGTACCACACTTCTTGTCTTAAATTGCTTTACATTTCAAGGCAGTATTCAAGAGAGATAAAAATGTTTCGACCAAAGTCTTTTATGTAACAATTTCTTCCATTGGTCACTTTTAAATCTTTGCCAAGTAACAGTCTGAAAAAAAATATATGAAATTTAAGCTATGATTCCCCTTGTTCACTTATAAATACATCTTTGCACACATGATTTTGCAAGCAAGACCTAATTTTAGTTCTTTGAAAAGGACTTACTGGAATCTTTTTCTATTTGAATTCAAAGGAAGAAATGGGTACTTTATATTTATTTGTTAATCCAAAAGCTTCTTAATACATCGGCTTTGCAATACATTGTTACTAAATGCTGTAGTTATATTTTTGATAGAAGATAGATCTGTACCTAAGTGGAATAATAGACATAAATTACATGTAAATATTTATTTATTTACAGGAAGATATTTTTATGTTTTTTGCACTGTCCGTCTGTTTTCAACATTTAAATCTCTTACACTGTTTTATTCATTATCACCAAGAATGCCTTTGCTAGGTTTTTTTCCAAAAGTTGGTTCTTTTTTCCCCAGTGGTGAAAAGTTATGTATGTGAAATTAATTGTAATTTGTCTATAGAGAAACCCGTTAATCATGTAAAAAATCAAGACAACACATTCTACTTAAGTTTTGACTTTAATTATGTCTTCCTCAGAAATGAAAATCAACAACATACATTCAGTGACAAGAGTACATTTCAGGCAGTAACTACCCATTAATATGACATTTAGAGCACATATTGAAATCCGTTGTTTTATTGTTTTGTAAAATATTTGTAAGATATTTATGAAGAATATTCATACTGGGAATGAGTCATTCTTGAGACCTGTATTGCGTACAGTAAAACTACATGTGTACAAAGAAATGATTGTAATAATGTATTTTGTTATTGGATAATCCATATGCAATATATTTTTTAATTTGCTATAATATACAGGTGTGATACTGTGTGTATTTATGTAAAATGTTGCCTCTTGTGTTGATGTAATAATCATATACAGTCAAACTTGTGAACAAAGGCTATCTAAAGGAGAGACTGAACAATAATAATGGCCTTTCTAGACAAGTGTTCTTGATTTAGAGGTAACTTTGTTCTATTTAATCAATAAAGATTTGTCAAAGAATGGCCTTAATTCACTGGGGTGGTCTTAATTCATTGGGTGATCTTTATTTGGAGGTAGTATTAAAAATAGGTTTGACTGTATATCTAAGTTTCTGGCAGTTTGCCAGTGATTTATCAATCACATACCAGTGATTTAATTCAATCACTTAATTTATATACTTGTTTATTTTATGGTTTTTAGGTCAGGAACACTTCCAGATGGTCGTTTCAGAAGATCAAGAAACCGCGGTGTGACACATTCCCCCCTCAGAGTCTACCAGACATCTGATTCTCAGAAAAACAAGCTCACAGAATTTTAAAATACAGACTGTTGTTCAAAGTAACAAATTGTTAGCAGATTATTTTGTGCTGTTGACTTTTTTTTTAAAAGATTTTTTTTTTGTTATTTTCAAGATTTTTTTTTTATTGCGATGTAAAGTGCTGTTTCTAGTTGATGACAATGATCGTTTGTTTTAGACCATCAGTTTTGAGGTTTAAGTGTACATGTTATTTTGAATGTGTTGTTGTCATGACAAAGTCCCAGTTTTTAGCACTAAGAGCAAAAAAGTTCTATGTTGTTTTGTTCTGCTATGAAGTTCTCGAGTTATTTCAAGAAAGGTTATGGGTTTTTAGCATTAATATCTTTTTGTTAAATTGTGGTATTTAATTCTTTATCACATTGGAAATATGTTTTATTGTACCCTATTTAGTACTCCTTACAGGAATCATGTCCCCGTCAGTTAGACAGTATCACGGTAATCAAAACATGTGCTGATTTGCATACGAAACGAACTGTAGCACCACTTACAAACATGAAAGAGTGACCATAAAATTATTTCCTGATTATTTACTTAACTGATTGATATAGTATGTGTTTTTAAAGTCGATACCAGTAAAAGACATATTCAGTAAAATATGATAAACAAGATCAATAAGGAAAGGCGGCGTTCAATGATCGCAAAAAAACGATCCAGCAACAAGTAAATTAATAAAGTCCTTTTCATTCGTACTAATTTATGGAAATATTGAGTTCTGTGGTACTCAAAGGGCCCCTGAGCACCACATTTCTTAATTGAAAACTAAGTTTGTAAAAGTGAGAAACTAAAGGCATGTAATAGTTGTTCCTGATGGTAGTCTCAAAAGCAGGCTAAATGTTCAAAAGTTTTGAGGAAAAGGAAAAGTCAAGAAAACGGTTGTTTGTGCAGTATTGAAAAATGTATTATTTTTGGTAAATGCAAATGTGTTTGAAAATGAAATGAAAGATAAAGGTGGTTTGAACACAAAATTGTTACGTTGAAAAGCTTGAGAATAGGACAAAGTTTTTTTTTAAGTTATCCCGGCCACTTTCTCTGAGACATAATGTCATAAAATTATTTTTATACCTTTTAAGCATATGACATAAATTTTGAATTACAAAATGGGCAATGGAGATTTATTTGATGGCCTTTAGGCAAAGTATAACTCAAAATAAAGGGAAGTCATTATTTATGCATGGTATTGCAGAATTTATTGGAATTTTCATGGAAGCATCGACAAGTTTGTAACATTTTTTTTATTATTGAAGAATAGGTGTGTGCATTATTAATGAAAGCTTTGAAGATTATCATGTGCCAGCTTTTAAATTTCAATTTAAACAATTTGAAAATAGCCAGCCAGGGAACAATGCTTTAGGGTGTTCGATTTAACTTGACAAATTGCGGAATGAAGTTTGCAATAAAATTTTGTTTTATGCTTTGTGTAGTTTAATTATTACGTGCATTGTAATTCAAAAGGATTGCATTTTTAGGCAACAAAGAATTAACAGAATGAATTCATATTTTGGATGAGCTGTGTTTTGCAATAATGCATTTTAATATTGCTTTGAAATTTAATGGTTAGCATAAATTAAACACTACCCCATAGAAAAAAAATGACCTGTTGATGGAAAGCTAGATTTTTTGTATGATAAAATCAACTAATTTCATTAAAATTTACATGGTCAAATTAAAACAGTTTGCAAGGTCAAATTAAAACAATTTATAAGGTCAAATTAAAACAATTTACCAAGTCATATTACAATTGATATAGCTATATACATAACTGTATCAATACCCTTTAAATTACTTAAGTCAAATCGGTGTTTAAGCCCACTTCTGAATAAAGACCACCCCATAAATAAAGACCATTCTTTGAAAAACCTTCATCAGAGTTATCTCTGAATTAAGACCACTTGTCTATAAAAGCCATGTATGGTGTCCTTTATTCACAGGTTCATCTGTAACTGTTCAACTTTCATATTTGAAATGGTCTGTTATTACTTTTAGGGATATGACAATTTGGATGTTTTTAAAGCTTTGTGTGACTACAAAAATGTACTGGCTGGCCAGGCGGTATCCTGGTAGCAAAAGGTTTAAACCCGTAACCTGCTGAATTTCTAAAATGGACTTAATCAGAATTGTCCATTATCAAGTTTGGGGATACTCAGATGAGAATTTAAAGTTAATCACCAAACAGTATAGAGCCTGGTCAGATTGCACGGATGTGCATGCTGGCCTGGCTCTATACTGGTGGCAAAGGCCAATTAGTTTCAGCAGTGGGTAACGGCATGTAACATAATATTCATTAAACATTTTTTTTTTTACTAATGTCTCCATGTTTATTTCATTGTTTTTACCATTAGAATCACAGAGGTGTGTTTGAAATTGGAAGAACCAATGGAAGTCAAGCTTTTGTATATCATGTGACTGTTGTTTCCCAGTGTTCCTTGTTTTATATATATATATATATATGTTACGATAATACTGTTCAACACCAGTATGCAATCTTATTGTTCTTTTTTTAATGGATGTATTATTTTTAATGCTCGGAGGAGCGCTATGTTTCAAAATGTGTACTAATTAATTGACCTATATTCATACATATCAATGTGATTGTTTACCGTTCATCGAATAAAATGCTTGAATTAAATGCTTGATGCATTATCTCATTCAACCTTATAGGTATGATATAAATATAATATTGTATTTTATATTATTGCATTTTATAGGTTTTTTTTCTTTTTCATTGTTTTTTTGTGTTTTTTTTTCTTAAAAACATTCCAAAATTTCTTCTCTTTTTTTTCTTTTTGTCGTCAGAACAATGTTGTTGTCATGTTCTTGTTGTTGTTGTTTTTTTGTTGTTTTTTTTTAAACTGTGTAATCACCACATTTGTAACATTTTCAGATATTCATAAAGGATCACCAAATGTTAATCATTATTTTAAACCATATCTCAAATGTACTTGTCCATCTTTTATTCGGGACAAAACCATTCATCATTTCTTGGGGAGAATTTTGAAATTCTGTACTGACTGAATAACAACCATGCAGATGGAGATCAGACGGCCTGATGTGCTGGCTAATCTTCGTCTGCACTAATCACATATGTTAATTCAGTAGCCACTTGCAGACTGTAAGTACAACTAATATTATATAGGTTTAAATCAACTTATTATATATTATAAAGCAATTTTCCTGTTTCCTGAGAATGCAGTTTTATTTGTGCAAAATTATTACATATAAAAATGGGCATCAAAAAAGTTTTAACTGAACTCTTAAAAAAGGAATATATTCCAATTAATGGAGGAATGTACCTTAATTAAATAATTAGCCTATGATAAGGAATGAAATTTGTTTTGCAGAACCAACTCTTTTTTGTCTACTTTTTAATAGAATTTTCTTTCCTGTATTTCTATTTTACCAACTTATAAGGTTGGTAAAATTTTGGAAATTATGTACAGATATAGTAATGTGAAATTAATCAGGAATGATCAGATATAGTTTTCTTATATATCAGGCTTTACTTGGCCCATAACCTGCTAAAACGTTTAAAGCATTTGCCACCAGTATAGAGCCGGGCAAGTCTGTACATTTGTGCCAGTCCGGTCAAGGCTCTATACTGTTGGTAGCCCTAATTTCTTTTTATTTTAAATATTAAAATCCCTTCAGCTTTAAATGAAATGTTCCAAATCCAAAGTAGGTCTATTCCATTACATAATTTTCGCAGGTTAAAGGTTAGTGTGGGTTATAATTACAAGACTTAATGTTTAAAATAAAAACTGCTGGTTGGAATGCTGGAAGTGTTTGTGTCTCATTCAAAACTTGCCTGCTACACAGCCATGCAGTCAGATTAAGCCTTAGCAACTGACAAGTTCTTTTACATTAATACATGTATAACAGGGTAAAGATTAGGGGTGTCACGGTAAGCAAAAATGATGAACGGCGACCTAGTAAACGTGTTAAACGTAACCGACTGTAGTAATAAAATTCTTAGATTTTCAGCATTAACTTTTTTTCTTCATAACAAGATAAAATATTTTGTTTGTATTTTGTTGTACTCAACAATGATTACAATAGAAGTCCGAAAATAAAATAACTATTTTCCGTTAGCACATTACTCTTATACGATCAGATAGCATGAAATTAGAGAAAACAACTGAAATACTAATAGAATGTCTTATGTTGTTATTAAAAAACTAAGGTAATGTTCAGGATAAATTTTTTTAATCAACACTTTGTCTAATACATGTACTAACATGGATTACCGGTTGTTTAGTTTCCTAACCGGATTTTAGCTAAAAAGCTATTGTACCCGTTTAAACGTGACATCCCTAGTAAAGATTAATGACAAAACTATTCTGCATTACATGACATTTACAATTTTGCTTAGAAGCAGTTCTTGAAGCTTTGTCTCTCTGAAAGCAATATTATGGTGAATCGTTTTCTATTGAGATATTTTAAAACTGTATTTGAGCCGTGTCACGACAAAACCAACATAGTGTGTTTGCGACCAGCATGGATCCAAACCAGCCTGCGCATTCGCGCAGTCTGATCAGGATCCATGCTGTTCGCTATCAGTTTCTATGCGCAGGCTGGTCTGGATGCATGCTGGTCGCAAACGTACTATGTTGGTTTTGTCGTGACGCGGCTCATTTATGTATGAAGGGTGTATTATCAAACATTTTGTACCAACCATTTTGATTTTTTTTTTATCATATATCTTTTGTCTCTTGAATAAATATCCACTGTCATTTTAATTAACACCTTTGTTACTAAGGAATATTTTTTTCTCATATTTATTTATAGAAATATCATTGAATATAAAAAAATAAAAGATTGAAATATCTTGTATAAGAAGTGTTTCATGTTTTTTTTCCACGAAGACATTCTTAATCTAGCAGGGCTGCCACTGATTATAAAAATGCTATATACTATCAAATCTGTGTTGAGACCACCTCGGAACAAAGATAACCCTGCAGGTCATGTTATGATAACTTTGATTAAATGAATAATGAAACCTCCAAATAAAGGTCCCTAGTCTATGTCTCTTGTTTGGCCTTTGTCTTCACAGGTTCGACTGTAAATACGCAAATAAAGCTATTTTTATGCCCGAAACATGGAAGAAGACATCCCTCTGTACATCCTTACATACATATGAGCATATTTGCTTGTTTTATTGGGTTTTTAAGTCACACCTACTCTTCAAGGGTGACATTTTCACCTTTACTGGTGGAGAAAGATTTCAGGTGCCCCTCTGTGCATTATTTCAGGCAAAAGCCGGTACCTGAATATAAAAACCAGACCTTCCTCAAGATATCTGGATAGTCCCTGGCAGCAAACCCACAGCAGTGCACATATCCTGTTATCCATGTTTAATCCATTTCTGAGCAGTGGTTTATACTGTATATAGTCTTCTGTTCTAAATAACTTTAGTTATCAAGGGAAAATAACTCTATATAAGATAGTAATATACTTTACACAATAGTTTTCTCCCATCTGGAAGATTAAGAAGAGCAACTCTGCTTGAATGATAGCTGAAAAATTCAGCTAGTTACAGTCAACTTGGATGATGCTGTCACAGAATGGCTAAAACGTCGCAATATACATTTCAATAAAAAGTGCATAATCATTTAAATTGAATGGTTTGTTGAATCCTTGTAAAAAACTTTTAATTATTAAGAGTAATTTTGAGAAATTTTGCTCATAGGGTTCTCAGACTGTAATCAGTATTTAAAAGGCTGCCTGGATAATAAAACTGAATTATTAAAAACAATTGCTGGCAAAAAAACAACAACAAAAACAACTAACCATTACATTATTTTCATTATTGCCTGAAACTTTATCTTACTGCATCCTAGTGAATTAAACGATAGCTCAAGGGTGTAAAGTATTGTATTGTTTGATTTTATTAACCTGTCAATTCCATACTCATTATACGGTCAATGCACAGAATATATTAATATTCGATAAATGTTCGGTAAATTCCGTGAGAGGTACGCAGTAAGATGTGATTAAATTCATCTAGTTTCTATGAATTAGTTACACTGACCGTTATAGCGCAATAGGGTAAACCACGGGTATATAATATCAAAATGTCCTACATCATGTAAGATCGAGACAGTGTATGTCCATGGTTTTTTTTCTTATTCATAACCATTTTCAAAATTTTTGAAGTTATGGTTGTTCTGTTTTTAATATGTTTTGTACTCTTTTGTAAATACTATATTTTTGTATATAATTGATACTGAAAATTCATTCGGATTATAATCAATAAATGTAAATTCAGTGCCGTAAAATACAATACAAAATGTGACAATTCAGTGTTTCTTAGTTGTTTCATTCCGTGTAGACAATTTTGCAAGCGCTTGACCATTTTCTTTAAAAAAACCTAAAAAAAAGAGAGAATAAGTCTAAAAAGAATGTCAAAAAAGGGATCGAACCTCGGACCTCTCATACATTAGGTAATTACTTAACCGACTGTGCTATTGCGGATGTTACGAGAACCTTAATTAAGTTAGTGGGAGTTTTCCAAACGTTAGTGATATACTCCATATTAATTCTCGTAAAATAAATGGACAAAACCGAAGTGGGAGCGAATATTTAAATGAGTGCTATAATGTATTCATTTTTGACAGGTCAATAAAATCAGACTATACATGTAATAAGTCTACACCCTTCTTTTAGTAATGACCAAAAAAAAGCAAAAAACAATTTTACAGACTACCAGACTACAAGTGTCGAAAGTCAATTTTAGTTTTAAGTTCACTAACCAGTAATCACATGACAGTGAATATATAAAGCAAACAAAGCTGTCAAACAGACAGATTGTTCTACCCATCTTGGTATACAATAGTAAAAAACAAGAGCAGTGCAGTTTTCTAAGTTAAAGTTATTTTCTAAGTCAACCATTTTAGGGAACTATTCCTTTTTGTAAATATCAATTCAAGAGTCAATGGCCTACAATTATGATCATTGCATGCATCAAGTTAAAAGTGAATACCTTAAAGTATGTGCAACAGAAACACTGGCAAGTAAGACGTTGACAATTAATTTTTGGAAGATCATTGACATACAGGCGTGTTATTAAATCAAAAGCTTTTTGAGAAATTTAGCACTTTATTATCAAAAATAAATTTTATATATATACACTGTATCACATAATATGTGTAAACAGAAATGACCCTCAATTACAACCAGTCACGACTTAACAACCAATCTGCCATTTGCTGCTAAAAATTAATCACATTTAATTTCCCACAGTTAGCTTTCATTACTAGTAGCTGCTTAAGCATGACCTTCTTTTGACCGGCTCTCCTCTCTTGTAAATCCCGCCTTTTTTCTGTACTTTGGTTATCTTTCAACACACATGGCAATGCCCATCCCGCCTCCAATGCACAGTGCTGCCACGCCCCTTTTAGCTCCGGTTCTCTCCATAGCATACAACAGAGTGACAAGAACCCGAGCTCCTGATGCCCCTATCGGATGACCTATAGCAATGGCGCCACCATTTATATTAACCTTTAAAAAAAGATCTTCTGTAAATCCAACAATACACGATTAATGACTTAACAATTAAACCTTTCACTTCTCACCTTGAAAATTGTCATGCACAATTTGTTGTCAGTTTACAACCCAAAACTTTAACTTATGAGTAGGCAGGTAAACATACATTTTCTTTATTAAACTACACATCTTTTGTCCAAATGTGGTATACAAAAATTTGCTCTATACTTCCTAAGACATTGATTTTCACAAAAATATATGAATTATACTTTTATTGGTTAAAAAAGTTAATGATCTCATTTACATATAAGTAACCTGAAAGATGATTGGCCAGAATCATAAATTCATTAGCATGTTTATAAACAACAAAATGATAACTTAAAGCCAGAATAGTTAATAAAACTAGAACTGCCACGGCGTGAATACCCCTGCATACCACTTTGTCAGAATCAACAGTGGCCATTTAGAGCTCAAGGACAACGTCCCTGCCAAATCTGAGGTTACTAAGCCAGTGCTATGTATTCTACATGCTTCAAATGTGAAAATGTCAAAATCAATACACTGCGGACAGGCAGTCTTAAGCAATTGAGGGGAAAAGCTTTTTTTAGTTGACCTTTGACCCAGTGACCTTAAAATCAAAAGGGGTCACCTACTAATCATGACTAACCTCGATGCCAAATATGAAGACTGTGGGTCAAAGGAATCTTAAGTAATTGAGCGGACAAGCTTTTTTAGTCAAGGCCCCTGTGAGCTTGACCTTTGACCCAGTGACCTCAAAATCAAAAGGGGTCATTTACTAATCATGACTAACTTCCATGCCAAATATGAAGACTGTGCGTCAAAGGAATCTTAAGTTATTGGGCAGACAAGTTTTTAATAGTCAAGGCCCCTGTGACCTTGACCTTTGACCCAGTGTCCTAAAAATCAATAGGGGTCATCTACTAATCATGACTAACCTCCGTGCCAAATATGAAGATTGTGGGTCCAAGGAATCTTAAGTTATTGAGCGGACAAGCTTTTTGCAGTCAAGGCCCCTGTGACCTTGACCTTTGACCTGGTGACCTCAAAATCAATAGGGGTCATCTTATAATCATGACTAACCTCCATGTCAAATATGAAGACTGTGGGTCCCAGGAATCTTAATTTATTGGGCGGACAAGCTTTTTGAAGTCAAGGCACCTGTGACCTTGACCTTTAACCTGGTGACCTCAAAATCAATAGGCGTCATCTATTCATCATGATTAACCTCCATGCCAAATATGAAGACTGTGGGTCAAAGGAATCTTAAGTTATTGGGCGGACAATCTTTTTGAAGTCAAGGCCCCTGTGACCTTGACCTTTGACCTGGTGACCTCAAAATCAATAGGGGTCATCTACTCGTCATGACTAACCTCCATGCCAAATACGAAGACTGTGGGTCAAAGGAATCTTAAGTTATTGGGTGGACAAGCTTTTTGAAGCCAAGGCCCCTGTGACCTTTGACCTGGTGACCTCAAAATCAATAGGGGTCATCTAATCATAATGACTAACCTCCATGCCAAATATGAAGACTGTGGGTCCAAGGAATCTTAAGTTATTGGGCAGACAAGCTTTTTGAAGTCAAGGCCCCTGTGACCTTGACCTTTGACCTGGTGACCTCAAAATCAATAGGGGTCATCTACTAATTATGACTAACCTCCATGCCAAATATGAAGACTGTGGGTCCAAGGAATCTTAAGTTATTGCGCGGAAAAAGCTTTTTGAAGTCAAGGCCCTTGTGACCTTGACTTTTGACCTGGTGACCTCAAAATCAATAGGGGTCATCTACTAATCATGACTAACCTCCATGCCAAATATGAAGACTGTGGGTCAAAGGAATCTTAAGCTATTGGGCCGACAAGAAAAAACCGACCGACGCCCAACTGACGGACGGATGGACAAGCTGATTCCAGTATACCCCCATTACAACTTTGTTGTGCGGGGGTATAATTATTATTTCCTTTTCATCTAATACGTAAGCAATAAAATGATTAGCCAAATAAGTTTACTTCATTTGTATATGAAGCACAAAACAATTAGCCGGAACAATAATTACCTTATTTATATCTACCCCAAGATCTTTAACCACCGCTATTGACTGGGCAGCAAATGCTTCATTTAATTCAAACAAATCTACACTATCTAGTTTCCACTGGGCTTTCTCCACCTGCCAAATGAGAAACAAATACACATGTATTCAATTTCAAACATAAAACTTATTTTCATTTCAAGTCACTGGTACTAAAATTTTTGCGGCAACTTTAGAGAATAAACATGGGGAGAAAGGCACTTTTAACTATTTTTTATTGCTACACACAACCAAAAATAAATTATTTAACCCCTTTCTCATAGATATAAAACATGTAAAAAATATTTGATATAATTATGTCTTGCAGGACCTTGCCTGTTAAAATTGTCATATATTATTATCTGTAATATCACCTTCTGCCTTTACAGTTTGGTCTAAAAATAAACTGAAAGTAGATCACTTCCAGGGCACAGAATAATAAAATTCAACTGATTTTCTTTCAATAATACATAAATTATTTGATAATTAATAAAAGAAACAAGTCAACATCAGGGTAAGATAAATTCAGTGTTTTACTTGACTGATCAGAGAGATATATTTGTATTCGTATTTCACCCTTGGAGGGTTTCTAATGTCATGTGATTGACTTACAGCTTTCTTTACAGCAGAGATTGGACCGGTTCCCATCACGGAAGGATCTACACCAGTCTGGGCCCATGAAACAATTTTAGCCAAGGGAACCAGCCCCAATTTCCCAGCATCCTCTTTGGACATCATCAATACAGCTGCAGCTCCATCATTGATTCCTGATTGGATAAAAAAAATTTATATACATGTACTATATTAAAACACAGAAAAAGCGGGATATAGGAGGTGCAAAACGACCAACACCAGGGTAGGTTTAACTGCTTTTAATGATGGTCAACCGGTTTCGGTCTCACTATAGACCTTCTTCAGGACACATTTACATTGAAAATTAATAGCTAAAGTACACAAAATGATCATATATGTAAATGACGTATGTTACTATATATAGTAACATGAACGTTCTGGTAATTGGCACTGTGCCAAGTCCTTGGTTAGTTTATTGATGAGACAGTTTACATTTTTCTGGTGATCTGGATGATATGATGAGTAATGGGGGTAGAGGTGAGCGTCGGTGGGTTTCGAGTATACCGTTGTGTTTAAGTACCCATTAGAGTCTTTTGTGATTGTAACATCCAAAATGTGAGCCGTTTCTGTGTCGACTTCGTAAGTGAACTTGATTGACATGTGAAAGCTGTTTATAGCCTCCAGGAAGGAATACAATTCCTGTCGAGGGTGGGCCCATATCATAAAAATATCGTCAATGAACCGCCACCATTCCAATGGTTTATATTTTTGGGTTGCGAGAAATCTTGTTTCTAGGTAGGACATAAATCAATATACTTTTGTAGATATTCAATGTGGTGTTGAGTACGTGTATTTTGTATGTGTAGTTTTTTGAGTACTTTAAATCTCGTGATATTCGATTCTTCTATTTTACGTGGTTGATCGGATTCGATTTTCTGTTACTTTGGGTTTGAATTAGTCTGTACCGAAAATACCGGAAGTGTTGTCAAGGAGGCTGACGGTGTTACTGCAGATGTCTCTACGTATGTTTCGTCTTCACTGCGGTCGAGATTCATTTGTTGGCTATGTACTATATTAGTTATACAAGTTGCTGAGATATTCCCCAAAATGTGGCCAGAATGAGATTTACATGAGGGTGCTAGCTGAGGGTTAAATAAAACTCAGACTGCTACATTTTCTGTATATTTCATCAGCAACCTATATTTACTCTTTTTCTTTTTTAAAAATACAAAATGGGAAAATAAACAAGAGCTGTCGGTAGGACATCATGCTCGACTATTCTAAGTGCTTGATAGTAAAAGAGCCTTGATAATGTTAAATTTTTTAAGTCCACAAAAGAGCTAATTTTTTTTTATAAATTCAAGTTATAGGCCTTGGAGAGAGTCTAATTATACAGTATTGGCTTGAATGTTCGAAAGGTAATGTCACAAGGGTGTTTTATTGAGTATAATAATACTAATTACCTATGAATACATAAATTTGACAGAAAAGGTACAAAGGCTTGTTATTAAGATGTTTTATCAAGTAAATTTCAGCTTTATTATTATTAATGCTTAAATTGTCCCAAAAAAGGCACAAACCCTTCAGTAGTTACTGAGATAACAGCTTACAAGCAAAACTTTACCATGAATTTCTAAGTTGAAAAAGGGGAGAAAAATCAGCCTAAATGCAAGATAGAATTATGGATCTTTGTCAGTGACCTACAATTATGACCCTAAATGCATATGTGAAGTTTTAAATAAATATCTTTAATAGTTATTGAGATATGTAAAACTTGCATGTAAACATTAACCAAGAGACTAAGTAGAAAAGGGGATATGAATCAGCCTTAATGCAAGATAGAGTTATGGAACTTGGTCAGTGACATACAATTATGACCCTCCAATGATGACCCTACGTGCATGTGTAAAGTTTCAAGTAAATATCTTTGAAGACCTTTAACCTTTAACCAAAATTTCTAAGTTCCAAAGGGGCATAATTCTGTCAATATTGTAGGCAGAGTTATCCAACTTGTCAATCTGATGTACCTTGTTACTATAAATAAGTATTGTAAGTTTCAATTGAATATCTCAAGCAATAATTGAGATATTTGACTTTACAAAAAACTTTAACCAAAATTTCTAAGTTAAAAAGGGGCATAATTCTGTCAATATTGTAGGCAGAGTTATCCAACTTGTCAATCTGATGTACCTTGTTACTATAAATAAGTATTGTAAGTTTCAATTGAATATCTCAAGCAATAATTGAGATAATTGACTTTACAAAAAACTTTAACCAAAATTTCTAGGTTAAAAAGGGGCATAATTCTGTCAATATTGTAGGCAGAGTTATCCAACTTGTCAATCTGATGTACCTTGTTACTATAAATAACTATTGTAAGTTTCAATTGAATATCACAAGTAATAATTGAGATATTTGACTTTACAAAAAACTTTAACCAACGCCGACGAGGACGCTGACGCCGACGCAGGGGCGACTACAATAGCTCTCATATTCTTCGAATAGTCGAGCTAATAATGAGGAGTTACTTCCTATTTCTTGTATGTTTCCCTACAGAATGCCTCATAAACACATTTAGATATAATTTTCATGGACTTTCACAAAGTTAATGACTGTAGCACAATGACTTTTCCAGTAACAATGAAGATCTGTTCACTAATAATAAATCAGTTGAGAGATATAGTTTAATACATATACATAATTCTTCTTATGAGGGAACACATTAATTTTTCAGCAAGTCAAACCGTATCATCCGTCTACATCATCAGTTTGGAAACACTTGTTGCTTTTTTTAAAAGCAAGCAGCTTATTTATATTATTTTGTAGCATTTTAGATGAAAAAAAATTCAAGTTTTATCAAACGACAACATAGATGTGCCAGCTGATCTTGGTCTGCATTGGTCACATGGGTTAATTCATTCCCCACCAGGTGACTAAGGGTGACTGCAGTCTTCTTACCAACTATTATACTAAAAGTTTTTTCTTGCTTTTTTAAGGAAAACCTTGGGTGCCCTTCCATGCATTATTTCAGGCACAAATCGGCAAATGAGTAGAACCACCTACATTCCCTTAGTTAACTGGATATCCTCCTCACATGAAAGAATCCAAAGTCCCTGTCAGGATTTGAACCCACAGCAGTGAGGGGTAAGTGGTTTGAAGACAATGACCTTAACCACTCAACCACAAACATGTAACAGGACTCAAAGTACACAATAAAATAATACCAGATGCATTTCCGGCTGTCACTGTGCCGGTCCCATCTGTTACAAATGCTGGTTTTAACTTCTGTAAACCTTCTATTGTAGAGCTTGGTCTTGGAAACTCGTCTTCTTTTACTTCTTCTACACCTTCAAATAATAAAATCAAAAGTCTTCCAAATCATACCAGTCACTTTATTTACACTTTATAGCAAAGTTGAAACAACCTTACAGAGAGTTTTCAAAAAAGCTTTACGAGGGGTGTTCAAAAAGTTTTGAGACTAATGTGCTTCCGTAGAAAATTACCATTCAATTTGCACGAAATTCACGAGATCTTTTTGTTAGGCTTTCGATGACAATTGAGTAAAATTTCATTGAAATCAAATCATGCGTTTAAAGGTTATTGTGTATTATTTATCATATACTCGTATACACTGGTCATTTGTACATGTACTTATGAAACCTAGTGAAAAATTAGAGATTCGAGGATACATAAAAGTGCGGTGTAGTTTAGGAATTACTGCTGAGAAGATTCTGAATGAAGTGCATAGTCACTTTGGAATCAATAGTGTTTCGAAAAGCACTGTGTACAGGTGGTTCAAAGCATTCACCGATGGATTGGATAATGTCAAAGACAGGAACCGTTCTGGCAGACCTCAAACAGCAATCACTTCCAGAAACATTGCTGCTGTGAAAAATCTAATAGAAGATGATGCTCGGTATACGGTACGCGAGATAGCTTATTATCTGAACTTATCAACGGGTACCATTCAGAGCATTCTGACGAAGGAATTGAATTTAAGAAAAGTTTGTGCAAGATGGGTACCCCATCTCCTGACCGAGGACCAGAAAAAGGAAATAGTGCGTCTTGCGAAAGAAACATTGAAAAAATTCAAAAATCTCAATTCAAGGAAAATAAATGAACTGATTACGGGAGACGAAACATGGATCTACTATTTTGAGCCCCAGAGACGCATAAACAACAAGCAATGGCTCCGCAAGGACCAAGCTAGACCCACCATTCCTAAAAGGACTAAGAGCGCTAAAAAAGTGATGTATGCGGTTTTCTTTAATTCGCAAGGCCCTGTGGTACAAGTTGCAGTTCCAGAAGGGAAAACTGTCACTGGAAAGTTCTACCGGGATAAGATTTTGAAACGTGTCAAGGCGTTTTATGAAAATCGTGGCCCAAGAACTGGTTTGAGAGGGTTGTACCTCATTCATGATAACGCTTCATCTCATAAATGTGATATAGTACAAAGGTTCATCGAGGAAGAAAAAATTGTACAAGTGAAGCATCCCCCTTATTCTCCCGATCTAAGTCCGTGCGACTTTTTCCTCTTCCCCGAAGTCAAGAAACGGCTTTCTGGACGGCGTTACGCATCACGCAGCGCGCTGGGAAGTGCGCTCTACCAGTGCCTTTTGGGTATCCCTAAGGGGAACTACTCTGACGCTTTCCGGAGGTGGATAGATCAACTTCAGAAGTGTATTCGGGTTCATGGAAACTATTTTGAGGGATTAAGATAGAAAAAAAAATGATATATATTGTTGTTTTTATTTTATTGCTACAGTCTCAAAACTTTTTGAACACCCCTTGTATAAGCTTCCTACTCAAACTGTAACGTTTATTTTATATACTTTATTATGTAAAGGTAAAGATTACAAATAAATGAGCTGTGTCATGACAAAATCAACATAGTGCGTTTGCGACCAGCATGGATTCAAACCAGTCTGCGCATCCGCACAGTCTGATCAGGATCCATGCTGTTTGCTATCAGTTTCTCTACTTGTAATAGGGTTTGTAAGCGAACAGCATGGATCCTGATCAGATGCGCAGGCTGGTCTGGATCCATGCTGGTCGCAAACGCACTATGTTGATTTTGTCATGACACGGCTCAAATGTTATTTAAACTAAACAACTTTTTTGATAGGATTGGTGCTGACTGTAGCAGTATTCACTCCATGCACTAGGGTATTTCATTCAACTTTAACTTTATCCTTTTTATCTAATAAAGTTATCTTATGAATATACGTATTAATATCTTATGAAAAATGAAAAACAATTTACACTGTATATTTAAATATGGTCAAGCCCTCCGAACAAAAACCCTTAAAACTGTCAAAATTTGATCAGTCTCGACATCTTCCCTTTTTCTGGTTGGGTTTTAAGTCACACCAAAACTTATAAAGGTCATACAACTTTACTGGTGAAGGAAAACCTCATGATTGTGCCTTTCTGCATTTTTCAGACAAAAGCGTGCACCCTAGTAGAACTGCCAATGTTCCAGAGGTAAGCTAGCTGAATAACTTTCCAAAATGTTTGTTTGTTTGATTGGGTTTTACGTCTAACCAACACAGTATAGGTCATTTGGCGACCGTCCAGCTTAACTGGTGGAGGAAGACCTCAGGTGCCCTTCCTTGCATTATTTCAGGCATGAACGGGCACCTGAGTAGAACCACCGACGTTCCGTAAAACTTTCCCAAAATAAAAGAATCCAAATTTCTTGGCGAGAGTCAAACCCAGGGGTGAGGGCAAGTGGATCAAAGTAAGCGAACTTAACTAATCAGCCACAGAGGCTTCTTATATTTTCAACAAAGTGAGAGAAAACATATGTAACAAACATTTGACTGGTACTGTAATCTGAACAAATTTCTTTACAAAAAAGTAAAAACATTTCATACCAGTCCGAGATTTGACAGGTACTGTAACTATCTCCTTTTGAAAGAAACCATTTTGTCTGGCCGTGGCACATTTTTGTTGTGATAGTAATGAGAACTGGTCTTGATCCTGTCTGGATATTTTCCACTGCTTGGCTACATTTTCCGCTGAAATTCAAGTATCGAAATTACATTTGAGCCGTGTCACGACAAAACCAACAAAGTGCGTTTGCGACAAGCATGGATCAAGACCAGCCTGCGCATCCGCACAGTCTGATCAGGATCCATGCTGTTTGCTATCAGTTTCTCTAATTGTTATAGGGTTTGTAAGCGAACAGCATGGATCCTGATCAGACTGCGCGGACGTGCAGGCTGGTCTGGATCCATGCTGGTCGCAAACGCACTATGTTGGTTTTGTCATGGTGCGGCTCTTTTGTAATTTGTTCCAGCTCATTTACTTTTTTAGATTTTATGTACATTTTTCTTAGTAGAGTATATTATAGCACAATTATTTAAAAAGCTTGAAGCTTATCTAACCTTTATCATGCTGAATGGACTTGTCTAGCTTGTAGTTTTGGACCTGTTCATTATCAATTTTGGGGATATCAAGATGAAAATTTAAATTGGGTGTAACGCCATTTGTACAGTTTCACTGAGCCTCTAAATTAAAGCTCCTGTAACTCAATTTTTTTAAGGTTTTATATCATAAATATAATGCTCAAATAAAGATTTATCAATACTGGAAGTTCCAAAAAGCATTATTTGTAAAGATATTACTGAATTTTACATTTCATGTTAATAAAGGGAGGTAATTAGAAATTTATTTTCTATAAAGTCTAAGTCAAATTTTTCAATAAGAAATGAATGCATATATTTTAATGATTGCATATAATGTGGACAAAATTTAATATTCGCAGTACATATTTTACATTTTCTTTGATATTTGAAAATTGTTTAAGAAGCACAATTATATGCATATATTAAATTTTTGATAAGAGTGGTAACAACCTTAATAACAAGAGCCATGTCAACATGGCCATCCCCCGCCGAATGTGTTTGCTCATTGGAAGAATGTATATGTAGTAGAGCAGAATAACTCCATTTTAAGGTCTTTTGGTAATGAAAACTGATGGCTATAGTGATTACAGATTTGAAACCTATGTGAATACTGATGGCTGAAAATAACAAAGGGCAATTACTGAAAAATAATGCAGGGTAGGTTATCATTCTTGTGTGCTGCATCCCTCATCAGTAAAATCTATCCACCTATGAAGTTTCAAGTTGATACCTCCAATACTTTTAAGAAAAAAATTGAATTGAAAAATTAAGTATGAAAAATAACAAAGGGCAATAACTCAAAAATTATTAAAGGTAGAGTTATTATTATTGTGCACTGTAAACCTCCTGAGTTAGATCTATGCACCTATAAAGTTTCATAATGATATCTCAAAGGCCTTTTGAGTTATGCTCTGGACAAAAATTAATTTTGAAAAATAACAAAGGGCAATAACTAAACAATTATGCAGGGTAGAGTTATCGTTCTTGTGCACTGCACTCCTCCTCAATGAGAATCCACCAGCTATGAAGTTTGCAAGTTGATACCTCAAATACTTTTTGAGATAAGCTCCGGACAAAATATTATGAAAAAGAACAAAAGAGGAATAAAGCTCAAAAATTGTATAGGGAAGAGTTATCATTCTTGTGCACAGCATTCCTCCTCAATAATATCTATCCACCTATGACATTTCATGTTGACATCTCAAAACACTTTTGAGTTATGCTCCACTCGGGTGAAAAATTAGGTATGAAAAATAACAAAGGGCAATAATCAAAAATTATGAAAGGTAGAGTTATCATTCTTGTGCACTGCACACCTCCTGAGTGAGATTCTATGCACCTATGAAGTTTCATGTTGATATCTCAAGGCTTTTTGAGTTATGCTCTGGACAAAAATCAATTTTGAAAAATAACAAAGGGCAATAACTAAAAAAATTATGCAGGGTAGAGTATCATTCTTGTGCACTGCACTCCTCCTCAATGAAATCCATCCAGCTATGAAGTTTCAAGTTGATACCTCAAATACTTTTTGAGATAAGCTCAGGACAAAATAGCATGAAAAAGAAACAAAGGGCAATAACTCAAAAATTGTATAGGGAAGAGTTATCATTCTTGCGCACAGCATTCCTCCTCAATAAGATCTATCCACCTATGACATTTCATGTTGATAATCTCAAACACTTTTGAGTTATGCTCCAACTCAGGTGAAAAATAAAGTATGAAAAATAACAAAGGGCAATAACTAAAAAATTAGGAAGGGTACAGCTATCACTCTTGTGCACTGCATACCTCTTGAGTGAGATCTATGCACCTATGAAGTTTCATGTTTGATATCTCATAGGCTTTTTGAGTTATGCTCTGGACAAAAATCAATTTTGAAAAATAACAAAGGGCAATAACTCAAAAATTATGCAGGGTAGAGTTATCATTCTTGTGCACTGCACTCCTCCTCAATGAGGTCTATCCGCCTATGAAGTTTCAAGTTGATAACTCAAATACATTTAGAGATATGCTCCGAACAAAAATGTCGGACGGACGGACGGAAGGACGGAAGGTCGGACGGACGGAGACTATTACTATATCCCCCGCTGCCTTTTCGGCGGGGGATAATAACATACAGGATCTTTAAACTCTCGGCATAGGCTTATCACTTTCGGTTCCAGCACGGTAAAAGTAACATATGTCTGGTTCCTACAGTACGCTCACTGCGGGTTTTGCTTTTTCCGCGATACCACCGCGGACGATTTTTTTTATCGCGGACAAACGCGGGGGTTCGTCCGCGATGAGAAGCCTAATTTCCCCGCGATCCCCGGTGTTCAGTTGTTTCCACCGCGGACAAAATTCTGACAACCGTTTCTTCATTTATCGATAAAATCAGTCACCCCGTTTCCGCGGGGGTAACGCCCATGGTCAGTTGGTCAGTATAAATTAACCTCCACAAAAAAATAGACGTTTTATTATTTTTTAACGTCATCTTTTTTACACAATGACTTGAAAATTGACCCAATCGTCTCCTTAAATGTTAATTATACGTTACATTATTTGAACGGAATTTGAAATAAAAATAATTACAGCTGTACCTGTTTTTGTTGTTGTTTTTAATATTTTTTTATAAACGTCCACAAAACTATTCGTCCACATACCAATATTTTTACAACTGAAATCGTCATTTATCACTGTCATCTTTACTTGTTCATTCCTTGTGGTTCTAATAAGTATTATTGCTGTTAAACTATATGGGAGCCAATACTTAGTAAAAAAAGGACATTTGTGCTGATTTCTCAATGATGACTGACGCTACAGTACATGTATTAATAATAATTAGGCTGCCTTTTACAAATTATAAATTACATTATTATCCTCAGAATTAATTTCAATGAAAACTTAATATAATTAAATACAAGAAAGCAAAGACAATTACGTTCAATTGTATGTACTTAAAACTACATGTTGTGTAACAAGGTGTATTTTCGGGTGTGTTTTGAGATGTTCCCCAGTTTCCTGTGTTTTTATCCCCATATTGTTTATGTAAGAGTGCTTTCCCCTTGACTTGGGCGGGAATTTGTACGTGTCTCGTGAATCTCGTTTTTTCATTTCGTTCAGTGCGTTGGTTGGTAGCCATTGAGAGAGGAAGGTCTCTCTGTTCAGAAGTTGTGATGTTTTTTACACTTTAACATGTTTCTTTTTGGTTGGAAACAGTTCATCTTTGTATAAGCAGCACTCGGTGAGATTCATTTGTGTGGATTTGTGTGGATGATGGCGTATATCTTATTTGTGTAAAAGGGCTAAAGATCCTACAGATCTTGCCTACCTTGTTCACATGCTTATATGATTACGTAGACTGATGGTTGGTAACATGGTTTACAAGATGTACCGGTATACTTTGTGAATATGTCAGATGAACTGTTGTAAATAATGTAAAGATTTGGTTTGTCAATAAACTACATAATTATGATCGAACCTGAAGAGAAGATTTTGTACATATTGATACCCCTGAAGAGAGATCCCAAAATTACAGTTGTCTACAAATACTATTATTCCATATGAAACAATAATATCTTAAGATAAAAAATAAAATGGAAAAATATTTTTAACTTGGTGAAAAACGGTCTGATGGAAGTTTCTTCAGAAAATAATCTGCCATGTGCTTGTTTGCCTTATATACATGTAATGTGTACATGCATACTGTTCATAATAAAATAACAAAAGTACAACGTCAAGTTTAACAAAATTCTGCAAAAAAAAAATCTATAAAAAAATAAAAAAAAGAACAAGCAAACAACCTACTAAAACAAAATAAAATAAACTTCAACAGTTGATACAAACTTTCAAAACATATAACATCTACGCTCACACCTGTAATTTAGATAAAATCAAGAATATCATTTTAATGTATATTTTGGTGAAATAAACGCTTTCTTTTTTATGTTCCAAATAAAAAAGACTTTATGATCAACAGCAAATAAACAGAAACAGTAAAACGCATCTGACAATTTGAAAGAAGACGTCCTGGAATATTGGCCTGAAATAAAATTGTTGAGGGTTACGTTTTCAAAGTTTTTAAATAAGAAACAAAAGCTGGCATATAAATTGTTGTAGTATCTTTTTCATAAATTTAATGTCATATGCCGAATTTTTCATTATTTGACTTCAAGTTTCTCACTACCATGAAGTTGCGACAACAATGATTTATCTTGATGTCGAATACATATTATACATTACCCAACACAATAACAAGAAGAAGAACAAGAAAAACACTGCATTTGTACATGTACTTTTATTACAACAAAAAAGAAAGAAAACAACAAAATTTTACATATAGTTACATGTATATGTACAGTACATGTTACAGTACATGTACGTACGTATACTGATGTTTAAATACAGTAATTAATTTTTAAAATTTAAGGTTCCACCGCGTTGACCGGGTGTTTGACCGCCGCGTTCTCCGCAATTTACCACTGCGTTCGCGGGGTGGAAACGGTTTCAGCCGCCGATTTATGTCTGCGGTGGTGAAAATTTTCTGTCCGCGGGTCACGCGGACAATATCTGAGCAAATTTTCGTCCGCGGTAAACCTCATCCGCGGGGTCACGCGGGTTTTGAAAAAGCC